TAAAAAAAAGTATCGATCCGGTCCATGTGGTTCAGTCTACACTTGGAATTAGGAACCGGTCCAACGATCATCGGTTCCAAATTTTAGAAATCAGGAACTGGACCAGTTTCTCCTAGGAATTGTCCAAAATCAGCCAGTTTGGTTCAGTTTCAGTGCTCACCCCTACTTTATATCGTAAGTTTTGAAAATAGTCACTACTTATTACAATATCATCTAACATATCTATGAGGTAAAAAAACAAGAATGACATTTTTATGAGATTATTCATACAGGTTGTTAAAACCTCACGATTCGATGATACGGTTTTACAGGACCCCGCAACTATGTTACCTAAAATCTCAATTTTAACATTCTTGGTTTGGGGGGCTTTTCAATTTCGCTACTCAATTACCCCTCTTCTCTATATTAACTCAAATTATCTTGGATTAAGCCAATGCGGCCAAAATCATTATCTAGACCAATCCAAATGAAAAGCAGACCTGGCAGATCAATAGGTTTGTAATAAATCAAATTTGTAATTAATTTTATGTTATATATGTAGCTAGAGCAAGTACCTTGAAAATGAACCTACATAGAGGTGCAATATATGAAGATTTTCCAATTTTTGCTGTACTGGACATTATAATTGAACCTTGTAGAGACGCTAGAGCCTTGAGGGGTTTGGCTTCTATGGCTTAGTTGGGAGGTCAAGTAACATCAAGTTTGAAAATCAAAGGGCCTTCAACATGCCTAGGTAGAAGCGGAGCAACTCAACACCCCTGCTTCAATTCCCTATGACTAGTCATCATCCTAAAAAGTCAAAAAGTCCTTAGGATTAGGATAAAGCTGCCCTCTTAAATGCGAGAAGGGAAAAAAAGCAAGAAAATAAAACTTTTAATTAAACTGATGGGGCTAGATTATTCACTAGGGCCCTTTAGATTCTTAGCACGTTTAGGCCCATATTCATTGTTTTTTGGAAGCCCATTATGGACCAATGAATGGAGTCTCACCTGGCCCAGAACAAAGATCGAGGAAATCAGTAAAATGTCTCCTTAATGTCACAATCATATTCTGTTCACATGACTAATCTGATCTAATTAGCAAGATAAGACACCATTAGTCTGTCGTGTTAATGACGGTTGCCAGACATTGCATCGTGCGATGTTACACGATAACGGACACCGGCGAGAGCGAAGTTTTCGGGCCAAATTGTAATTTGATTGCCTAATTGGAAGGAGAAGCACCCAAACGATGGCGAAGTCATGGAAAATGACAGGCTCATGTCGATATTGATGGAAGTTTTTATAGATACACAATTAGAATTAGTTTCCCATGGTTGGCAATTAAATAAATGTAATCTCTTGCGTTGATCAATTTGAAGGAAAGATAGCAAAGACAAGACTAAACTCAAAACTAGTCCTTGATCATGCACTTTACTGTAAATCTTTGTAAAACTAGTCAATTCAGTCACTTTTACTTTCGGTGCCTGTTTAACTACTCTTCTATGTAACTTTTAGGATTAATATCACAAAAATTCTCATATGACAAATTTACCCCAAACTAATTATTTGACCATTAAAAATCCCAAACTGATACACCTGTGATAATTTTACCTTATGTTAGTTTCTCTTAAATTTTACCGTCAAATTGTTGAGTTTAATGACACGTGATAGTTAAAGGGTGTACCGGTTTGTGGATTTTACCCTCTATTTGTCATAGATGTACAAGTTTATGATTTTTTGTAGTATTAATCTAATTTAACGGAGGATAAATTTGTCACAAATGTACCATTTTGAGGTTTTTTATGGTAACAAATTAGTTTTTTGTAAATTGGTCATAAGTGTACCGGTTTGGGATTTTTTATGGTCAAAAAATTAATTTGGAATAAATTTGTCACAGGTGTACCGGTTTGGGGTTTTTCGTAATATTAACCCTAACTTTTATTGTCGTCATCATCTAAATTCGCATAGAAAGATGGCTAATTAGCTAATCCTATAAAAGAATCAATCTAAAACAACATTAATAAAAGTACAATCGAAATATTTCTAAGGGTGTCTGGTTATAAAAAGAGTGTTATTTTTTTTTACGTAGTAAAACAAGGGCATACCCTTGAACAAGGGCACCTTTTCCACTAGTTTGACCCCTCGAACTTACACGATTAGTAGGACCAATTTTTCGCCCGACGATGTTTCATAATGTCCGCCACGCATTATTATTTGCAAGTTTAGAAGATTGAATCATGCGCAAACACGTGTCGATCCGCAATAGTTTGTCTTATCCGCTTTTTTAATATTATTCTTTGCCGAAGAAATTAGAAAGAACTTTGATATGAAAAAGCCAAGAGACTCTGCTTGCCAAGTCAAGGAATTTCTCCACACGTAAAGACATTATATTATTGCATCCATTAGTAACACCACCTATACATAGCATTATCTTTAGTTAGTTCAAGCTCATGTCCAAGAAAAGTTAGGTGGCGACATCAAATAACTATAAAAAAAAAAAAAGTAGCGTACATGGTTTTCACTCTTTCAGCACATATTATATGGTCTAAAAAAACACAAAAAACAATATACCCCATGGATAAGCACTCCGCGGATCTATTTAATTCAAAAAATATACGAAAAAAATGTAATAATTTCATATACTTGTGGTGAGCATTTTGATTAGGACTTTAGGCGATCAAAATCGGTGATCCTTGTGATGGAATGTACATGCAATCTTATATGAGTATTACTTATCCTTGTGCCAAGAATAACCCATGATCGATCTATTCCATTTCTATTATTCCCGGTTCCCAAAATTGAGAATCGGGGACTGGACCGATTGTTCCTAGGATCGAGGACCAAACTGGACCCGGTTCTAGTTCCGGTCCAATGGAACCGACTACTTAGGGCTTAGTTCACATTTTACTAATTTTTATCTATGAATCTATGTCAATGAAGTTCACTTACAGTTTATTTCACATTTTACTAATTTTTTTGAAAAAATAAAAAAAATAAAAAAAATTATTGTAGTCGGTTCGGTCCGGTTCCTCATTGGAACTGGGAATCAGACCGCCTGGACACCGGTTCCACTTTTAGGAACCGAAAACCGAATCGACATTCTCAGGAATCGGACCACACCGAACGGTCCTGGTCTAGTCTGGGCGGTTCCCGGATTGGGTGATCTGTTTTGTACACTCCTAATTTTTATGCGTCTCGCGTCTCTCTAATGCATATGCTATTCATGTTGGGAATGGCGGTTCGAAGGCAAAGATACACTCGTTCAAACTCGCCTCTCTTATTTTCGATCATAAACGATGGTGCGGAATCCAACTTGGAAGGCCCTACCGACTCATCGTTTAAACCCTACAAATCAAATATGGCGGGAAAAGCTTAAAGACACAGTTGATGCAGACTCGATCGGTGTTCATGTCACTGTCTCATGAGTTGGCCGGCTTTTCCGTTTTTATGATTAGGTTCTCAATCGTCAAGCCAGCATTGTTTATTGGTATTGATCTCGATTGGTTTGAAAAAAGAATCGGGCAACTCTTCCATCGGTGGATGAGAAAGTACCTTATTGGCGACGGGATGAAATCAGTTATTTGTTTGTTCTTACATATGATGGAACTTACTTTTGAATGTTTAGAACATCTCAAATATGATCGGTGACACGTGATATATTTGGCGCACGATATACTTTCTTTATTTACAACAGCAAAGAAATCCTCATCCGACCTTACGTCTTTGAGAATGCATCTTAATAGCTAACGAGGTGAGATCAATCAATGATCTTTAGTAAAGTCTGCTTGTTCTTACTTAATTGTACAAAGACTTTATCTTAAACCATGAAGTATCTCTGAGAATCTCCGTTTTGAGATTGGACAATAAAGCTTGGAGCCTGATGGAAATGGAACCTTCTCGTTGATCAACTGTGAGGATCAATACTATGGAACGTTTCGGAACCAATTTAACCTCAATATCTTGAAAATTTGATGCATTTAACCACGTTGTTCATTACATAAATGCCTCAGGCCAAAACTTTTACGAACGATCAATTTAGTGCCAAAACTTTTTAAAAGCGTTCATTTAAGTTACTCAAGTGAGTTACGTCAGATTTTCCATCACTGAAATTACTTAAGTGATCTCTCTTTAGAAGTTGTAATACTTAAATGATCATTCGAAAAGTTTTGACATCAAAGCGGTCGCCATACAGTAATTATAACACCGATATCGTCCTTATCCCTTATAGTATACTCTCTCAGCCTATAGAGAGGCTACTTCATTATACATGCATATACCATATGCCTTCTTGAAATTAGGGCATAAGAAATACCTGATCCGAGTTGAAAATTTCGGGTCTTTTCAATTCGGGTAATAAGTAAAGGAATTTGGGTAGTTTGACGACTCGGTTCAGGCTGGGTTTGGGGTTTGTTTCTTGCTTCTCCTTCTTCCCTTCCCTTCGCACACGCATAACACAACCACATTCGGCCATCTCCCTCTGCCCTCTTTTGTGCACACCTTCCACCAGCCCCGACGCCCATCGTCGTCGCAACAAACCCTTCACACGGGTTTGGTTTGATGAAATCTAAGTGTGGAAAACTCGAGCATGTGAGCGATTGTAATTTTGATTCTCCGATGTTTATAATGAATTATTTGCTGCTGGTTCTCCCATGTAAGTGTACCGACACTCAGACGGAATCACATAAATCTATGGTGGCCTTTATCGTTTCTCGTCTATTTCTTCAATAATTTCGCATCGACTTAAATTGCAGGATCATGTCAGTTTCCGCATTTAATTTTACAGCACGCGACGATTGTTTGAAAAATCACCTTTGCCTCTTAAAAATTACTGGCAGAATCTGGAAAAATCAGTGGTTCAGTCCACAATGTTTCAGAATATTTCAAACGGATGTGCTACATTGTTTGTGCAGGTCAAGAGGCATTCCAGATGTGCCTGTGAATTTTCCCATTCGAAGTTCATATCATTTTCCCATGTCTGATTCTTCTTTATACATGCTATGAAAATAAGTTCGCTATCGGTTCCTCCATCGCTCATACTTCAATGCTTATCATATAAAGCACAGTACAAGGAAATCATACTCCTCAGCCTTTAGCATTCACAGGAAGTCAAGACAGAGAGATTCATGAAGCAGACATTGCAACAAAGAACACTTCAATTGAATTTGAGTCGGGCTGAATGAAGGGTTGAAGCTCTCCCATGAATGGCGGAAGTTTAGATCAAACAGCACCTCTACACTACACAAGATGGCCACCCAACTGGTGGCCCGACACGAGGAACTTCCGATGTAGTGATCCGAGATCGAAGCTTCAGCCTTCGAAATCGGTCTTCACCCACTGCCCATACTTGCACCTCATCCTCTCATCCAGCTCTTTGGCCTTGACCTCCGCGATCTTGGCCGCGTTCGCCATCGATTCCTCCTGCACCCTCGCGATCCTCATGCTCCGCTTCTTCTCCACCGCGTCCCTCTCGGCGCCCAGCCCTTCGTACTCCCTCACCCAGCAGCTGTGCACGGCGCACGTCAGCACCAGCACCACCAGCTCCATCAGCAGCATCGCCATCAGGACCCCGCACTCCAGCCTCACCAGGACCTTAGCCTCCTTCGGGTCTCTCCGCGACTTCAGCAGCGAGAGGCTCGACGCCTCTTTGGTGAACAGCGCCAGGACCCCGATCACCTGCCCCGACAGCGAGGCGAGCAGGATCGAGACGTGGGTCACGAAGCAGAAGCGGGTGAGCTGGGAGTAGAAGCCCACAAAAGAGGAGACAAGCGACATCGACGAAATCATGAGGAACGCAAGGCCGAGCGAAGTCGGGGGCATTCTGAGGAGGATCACGGGAGCGAAAGATGCGGCGGAGAGGATGAACAGAAAGAAGTTTAGGCACGAGAGCAGGAGATTCGGGAACGAGCAAGAACTTCTCGACTTGACGGCGGACATCTTCTTTATCGAATTCGATGGAGCTGAGGAATTTTCTTGTTCGAATGAAATGGAAGACTGATGAATCTCTCTATATAGAACAAGAACTGAGAAATTCGAACGTTAAAAAGAAAGGCAAAGTTTTAAAAGTTCAACGGCTAGGACACAGGTTGGAGAGGGGGCCCGCTTTATTTATTTATTTATCTTTGGGTTTGTGCAATCATTTTGCTCCCTCCCATGCAATTTCAAAAGCCAAAAGGCACACATTTTGTTAATAAGGCTTCCTTATCAACAAATAAAAATATCTACGAGAGAAGATTTCCAATAAAAAAAATATTTTTGGGAGAAGATTTCCGATAAATATATTTGTTAGAGAAGATTTTGAGATATGATATGAGAATTGTATCAAAAGAGGCGCACGAAAATAAGGATGGTGAAAGTGAAACGACGGGATAAAACATAATATTGTTACCCGATCAAAAGTACGTGTCAAAAAATTTATACATAAAAATGCGTATAGTCGAGAAATTTTTTTTTGGGCTACGTTGGCACGTCGCTTTGAATATGTAATTGTGACTCCTGAGAATGCATTATAAGTTAAATTAAATTAACAAGGCCAAAACAATAATCACTCTAACAATCGTTCTTGGTAGTACATCCCTGGCAACTTCGCTGGCATGTCTGGTGGATCTCCCGACTCTAGCAGATGCCAGAAGCATAAAACGAAAACGAAAAGGAGACAAACTCCATAGAAAAGCACATGCCATTGTACAGACAACAGAGAAGTGATTGCTCAATTGCATGGTCAAAAGTCCCATATGAAATGCGAGTGAACATCACTTAATGGGATAATTATCAAAAATAAATTCATAAACCTATTGTATTTGTCTCAATTCTATCATAATCCTTTCAGTTTGATCAAATTAATCATAAACCTCTTGACAATTTGCTAATATAGTCCATTTAACCAATTTGCTAATATAGTCCATTTAACCAATTTTGGTTTTGGTCAGAAATCGCCGATGTGCATGCCCGCTGTCTTATGTGGCATGGCCGACGACCGGCGTTATCGTGAACATTTTTTTTTTTCAAAATTCTTCTTTTTTCTTTTCTTTTATTTTTCATTGTAGCAGGTGAGGGTTGTCGGAGCTCGCCGGCCACTGAGCTTGCGTGTTTCTTTTTGTTCGTCATAAATTCCTAATTTGTTGACTCGATTTTTCTCTCCTCTTCATGGTGGTCCAACCAACATTTATGCCGTTCAAGATATCACTTTGGAATGTTGCTACATAACCAGGTACAGGAAACTGCCATGGTATCTATAGAAAAAGAAACTCATTCCATCCATGGGAAGATACTAGATTTGAAGTGTAAATTGATATTTTCATATATTCCTTTGACATCATAGTTATTAATACGGACCAATTCTCAATCTTATATTACGATACGATTCGAATCTATGCAATTCAAAGTCTAAAATATGCATCCATTCTATAAAAATAGTCAATTGAAAACAGACCGAATATACCCACTTTTTAGAAAGAAAAAAAAAACTCTTATATTCTCATGACATTGGTTGTGCTCATCGAAAGATCCATTTGTTTTTTGATGCATGCATTTTGATTTTCAAGCCATATGAAGTTGACTTTCTAGATTAATATCTTAAATCCATCATTTTCTTCTCAACTGCTATTATGTACAAAAGAATATGGTACAAATGCGAAATCCTCTTTAACCTTTTGATTCTTCATCTTTGGAAACATTGATTATCTAATGTTACGTGCAGCATCTTTCATCAAAAGGATTGGAGAACTGAAGTTGAGGCACAAATGCTCACTTAAGTTTGCAAATTTAGCTCTTCCCAAGAAGAAAACAGCTATGAAATCTCCGAAAATACTTCAATTTACTTTTGACATTGTCCTTCACAATGCATCTCAAGAAATCTCCGAAATTGTCAAGTTATGTCTAAAGAATTTTCCAGAGTTTATATGGGATAAAGATTTCATAAAAGAGATGATAAAAAAAAGTTACCCGGCATGTTGAGTTGATTAGACTAGTGGACTGTCATTTTACTAACGGTATTCTGACGAAAGAAGGCCTGACAAACCATGTGACAAAATGGTCACCAAGATGTGAATCCCCAGATGTTTCTGCGGCAGCTTTTCTTCTGCAGAAGGAGCTTCAACGGTTTAAGATCAGTTCACCTGATTTGTTTGCCACCCTTTCTGCTCTTTAATTCTCATTAACATTGATGGTCGTCCTTTATTTTTCTAAAGGTAATGGAAGGTAGGAGCGCTCCTTCTTTAAAGCGTCCGGACTTGCCAAAATATACATCGAAAAAAGAAAAGAAAACATATCGGGAAGTTTTTGTTAAAAACCGCGACGGTTGCATACCATCTCGCTCTCTCTCTTCTATCACCGCAACGGTTTACTTAAGGAGGCAGGGCAGTGGATGAAGAATACAACATCATTTTGTAGCCTTGTCCCCACCATCATTATGGTAGTTTACGTTGCAGCTTTTACAATATTTGGGGGCACCAACAGCAGTACGAAAATACTGATCTTACTAAAGAATGGCACATTCACGGTATTTGCGGTTGCATACACTTTCGCTCTCTTCTCTTCTATCATCGCCACATTGATGTTCTTGGCTATATTAACTTCATGCTACGCAATCGATGATTTCCTCTGCTCGCTATGGAGAAAAATGATAGTGGGCCTAACTTTTCTCTTCCTCTCTTTGGCCTTTATGTTGATTGTGTTCGGCTCTGCTCTTACAATGGTTCTGAGTGAACCATTGAAGTGGATTTACATTCTAATTACTTTTCTGGCTGCCTCCCTTGTCATATTGTTTGCAATCCCACTACTTCCTTTGTGTGTTGAAATGCTCGAATCCACCTATCGGCCCCTCCTCTACCGTCCCCTGTAGCTTCGGAAATGATCTCTGCTATTACTAGATAAGGAAATCTGTCATCTAATCTTTGTCTGCAGTTGTTATAGGGTGTGCAATGTGACAATCATGGCGTTTACTCATGTTTTAAGACTTTCTAAGTGCGGCATCAGCCATATTTATGCTAAAGTTCAACGAATGCCATCAAGTGCACACCTTGTCTCAATGTGTCAGTCGATATTTTGCCTCTAAACAGTGCGCGATTTTTTCATTGCTCATTGTTGTATTAAGGTGAATGCAATTTTTCAAAGGATTGGCAACATGGCCATCGATATTCAATAGGGTCCATCCATTCAAACAAAGCAATGATCCACACAAATCCTGTACACTACACAAGATGGCCACCCAACAAACAACTATTTCAGTTCAATAGAAGCTCAGCCTTCGAAATCAGTCTTCACCCACTGCTCATGCTTGCACCTAGGTCTGTCAAATGGGTGGGTTGAGTCGGTTTTGGGTCGGGTCACAAATGGTCCGATCCAAATTGACTTATTAACTCGTTTATAACCCATTTATGCGCAATGCAATTTTCTTGACCCATACTCAACCCGACCTATATTACTAAAACGGTTCCATATTTAACTAAATCTAGAAAAACTCATACCTAAACTGATATGAGAGTGTGGAGGGAGTAAGCGCAAGATTGAGTGAGGACGAGAGAGATAAGTTGAGTTTAAATAAGTTGTAAACCCATTTACGACTCATTTACAACCCATTTAACACCCATATTATACCTCTACCCATTTATGACCCATTTACTAAATATAACTAACCAATTTATGACCAATTTATTAATATATGGGTTAAGAAATGAGTTTATGATCCATTTTGACAGGTCTACTTGCACCTCATCCTCTCATCCATCTCTTTAGCTTTGACCTCCACTATTTTAGCTGCGTTCGCCATCGATTCCTCTTGCAATTTTGTAATCCTCATGTTCAGCTTCTTCTGCACACCGCCCCTCTCTGTGCCCAACCCTTCATGCTCCCTGACTCGGCAGCTACCAAAGTATAAATGTAAGTGTCAGGCTCGTACACCTATTGGTGGACTAAAGAGTTATAGCTCAAACCATTCATTTCATAGCGAATATGGACTCTTATCATAATGCTCATAGGGGATAGCTGCATTTGTTGCTCATCTCTATAATTTTTAACTATTAAAGAACAAGAGATTTACCAATTATTTCCCAAAATATATGGAAGACCGTAGGGCTAGCCTAATAAGAATCCACAAACGCGAACCTCACCGCCACATAAAATTCCTAATCAAGCTCGACTTATACATAGTCAATATGATCAAAACCATTATCGAGATAAACCCAATAAAGAGTAGACACGTTGGACGAATGGGTCCGTAATAAACTAATTTTGGTTATCGATATTATGCAATACATGCTGCCAGAAAAAGTACCTTGAAAATGAAACTACATAAAGCTGACAATTTCCAATTTTTGTTGTATAAGACATGTGGGAATTCCAAAATGTTGATAATTATAAAGTCCACACTTACATGAAATCATGAACGGGATGTAATCTTTTATAGTTGCAAAATTTGCACAAATGGATATATTAGTTCATTGGCCAATAAACAAATTAACCATGAAACATTCGTATGAAGAGTCTCCAGGTTGGGAGAGGCACGAAGTAAAGAATTAGAAGTTTCTCATAAATTTGTGAAATGAAAATCTAGTAAAAACCAATTAGAATGTTAATGATATTTAATAATAGAATTGTCAAAAGTAGAAGTGAGCAAGACGGACCGATCAAACCGGGAACCGATCCTACTGGTCTGGTTCCCGGTTTCTAAGTGAGACCGGACCATATTGGGAACCAATCACCCCTAGTCTAAAGACACTAGAGCCTACAGGTTTGACTTCTATGGCCCTGTTGGGAGGGCAAGTAACATCAAGTCTTCAAGTGGATTTGAAAATCAAATGGCCTTCAGCATGCCTAGAGTAAAAGGGAAGAAGTCAGGACCCCTACTTTAATAAACATAAAAAGTCAAAGTGCTACTCATCTTAAAAAGTCAAAATTCTTAGCACATAGATTTAAATTCATTGTGTTTTGAAAGCCCATTAGGGTCCAATGAACAAAATCTCACCTGGCCCGTACTAAAAATCACGAAATTAGTAAAATATTTCCTACATTGTCATAGGAATAATGACACAAATAGTCTCTGAACTTTGGTCCAATATATAATTTGATCCCTGAACTTTTAATTTATTCAATGTAGTCCTTGAACTTTAGCTTAATATTCAATTTGGTTCATGAACTTTTAATTTGTTCAATGTGGTCCCTAGACTTTTGGTACATGTTCATTTTAGTCCATAAACTATATAAAAATGTTCAATATAGTCCCTGAACTTGAATTGATGGAAGGACCACATTGAACATTTTCATATAGTTCAGGGACTAAATTGAATATGCACTCAAAGTTCAGGGACCACATTGAACAGACTAAAAGTTCAGGGACCAAATTGAACATTAGGCTAAAGTTCAGGGATTACATTAAACAAATTAAAGCTCAAGGATCAAATTGCACATTGAACCAAAGTTCAGGGACTGTTTGTGTCATTTTCTCTATTGTCATAATCACATTCATTTCACTTGACTAATCTGATCTAATTAGCTATGCTTGGGGGGTCTACCGTGCTAACGACGGATGCCAAACATAGGGTCGTTGCAACGTCGCACAATACGGACGCTAGTGACGGCGAAGTTTAAGACCAAACTTGTATTTGATTGCCTAATTTTTTCCTATTATTGTTAAACCATTCTTTATAGAATTGGCAGAAGAAGCACCCAAATGATGGCGAAGTCATGGAAAGTGATAGGCTCATGTAGATATCGATGGAAGTTTTTTATAGATACACAATTAAAATTACTTTCACATGGTTGAGAATTAAATAAATATAAAATCTCTTACGTTGATGAATTTGAAGGAAAGATAGCAAAGAAAGACTAAACTCAAAACCAATATCTCTTTTTGTCCAATTAGTGATATTATGTCCATTGATCATGCACTTTACTGTAAAGCTTAAATTGAACATGCTATTGTGAAACTCATCAATTTTATCATATTTACTTTCTGTGCTTGTTTAACTTTTCCACTACATAACTTTTATCACCATCATCATCATCATCATCTGGATTTGCATAGAGAGATGGCTAATTAGCTAATCCAACATCTATAATAGAATCAATCTAAAATGACATTAGTAAAAGTGGGTATGTTTTTTTTTTTTTTTTTGTAAAACAAGGGTATACCCTCGGATAAGAGTACTCACGAGTTTGACAACTTGAACTGACATAAAATGCGTGCAATTTTTCACTCAGCAATCTTTCACGATGTCTGCCAAGCATTATCATTTGCAAGTTTAGAAGATTGAATTGTGCACATATATGTGTCGATCTGTAATTGTTCGTCATATATTGTGCTGTCTGAAATTAGTTGGCTTATTGATTCGACATAGTTTGGCTACTTCTTTTTTTTTTTCTCAAAGAAATTATGAAAGAAACCTGCTATGCGGAGGCATACATGCATCTACATGTAAAGACATTATTTACAATCGAAGAATTTTTGTTCTATTGCATCCATTATTAAGACCATCTATAAATAGCACTATCATTAAATTAGTTCAAGCTCATTCCCAAGAAAAGTTAAGCGATGGCATCAAATAATTAAGAAAAGTGCCGTACATGGCTTTTACTCTTTCAGCACATATTTTATTGTGTAGCACAAAAAAATAGTTATTTTATTCTCCATGCCTAGCAAAACCCATGGATAAGCACCAAGTGTGACGTCCATAAATTAAATTCGAAAAATATACGACAAAAATAATGCAATAATCTATGTACTCATCGTGAGCATTTCAATTAGGACTTGATTGCTAACGAGATGAGATCAATCAATCATAGTAAAGTCCAATTGGTTCGTACTTAATTATATAAAGAAATTTATTTTAAACCTAAAGTGTCTTGTTTTTTTTATCGATGACACGTGATACATAATATATTTTCTACTGGTATAGAGAAGCTACTATAAAATATTTGCATATATCCTATGCCTTCTTGATATGCATAGTCTCATATGCCTTACACTAAATTTTTATAGGGATAATGACACAAACGGTCTTTGAACTTTTGCCCAATGTGCAATGTAGTCCATGAATTTTTAATTTGTTCAATATGGTCCATGGACTTTTGATCTGTTCAATGTGATCCCTGAACTTTTGGTACATGTTCAATGTAGTCCTTCCACTAAATTCAAATTCAATGACTATATTGAACATTTTCCATATAGTTCAGGGACTAAAGTTGAACATGTACTAAAAGTTCGGAGACGACATTGAACAAATTATAAGTTCATGGACCATATTGAACAAATTAAAAGTTGAGGGATCACATTGCACATTGAACCAAAGTTCAAGGACTGTTTGTATCATTTTTCCATTTTTATACTATGCTTTTCAACTTTATAAGCCGTCTTTGAATTTCACTTATTATAACCATGCTCTTATCTGGTTCTTTAAACTAATCAATATAAAAGGTGGCCGTCATATAAGATAACTCATGTCTAATCTTCCTATATTTGGCCAAAAAATAAACTATATCTTATCGACATGATTCTAAAACATTATGCTGCGAATTTCCTCTTCGTATGAAGTCAGCCTCCATAATTTACTACAAGGACAGCTACAGGGAAGCCCTTTAAAATGCCCTCTTCCACGAGTTTGCAGTGCATGAAATAATTCAGCTGATCATATGTCGAAGATTCATCCGAAAGCAACGCTTGATCTCCCGTCCCTGACGACTTCCCGTGATCGCACGTCCGCTAAACGGGAGGTCTTCACCGTGTGGATGAAGTCCATGATCATGAACAGCAAGGGATGCACCGTGTTCGACTCGAGCGGTGGAATTGTTTATCGGGTAGATAACTACGACTGCGAGCGAAGCAGCGAGGTCTATTTGATGGACCGCGGAGGGAAGGTTCTATTCACCATTCTTAAGAAGGTAAGAAAAGATCACGCACACAACATCAGCTCAAATTCTCTCTTCAACTGTCTAGAGTCGGCGGTTTGCGCCTTACTCTCGAAATTCGTTACCGCACTACAGAAACTTCAATAGATATGAGAAAGAAGTTGAGTGAGATCGAGTCGAATCGTGTCAGTTTCTCATTAATCGCATGCATGTTTCTATTGTTCTGTGAAGAAATATAGCTTGTGCAAGACATGGAAGGGTTATGGATCAACTGGATCGGAGGAGAGGAGGACGCTGTTTCAAGTCAAGAAGCCATTGAGTTTTAAGAAGGGAGAGTCGTTGTACGAGGTCACGGTTTGGACAGACAAGAACCAACCTAGCTACTTCTTCATTCAAGGACATGGCACCTCCAAGTCTGCGTGCAACATAACCAAGAGACTCGGGGGTCTCATAGCAGAGGTCTCTCTCTCTCTCTCTCTCTCTCTCTAAAAGATGGCATGAACATGAACTCAATCTCTACTTCGCCATTGAACAGGTGAAAGAGAAGATCTCAAGCTCGGGGGTCTCGCTGGGGGGCGATGTCTTGACGATGAGCGTGGAACCAAAAGTTGATCATTCACTCGCCGTGGGACTACTCGTTGTTTACGGACTATTCAACCGCAATTTGTGATGCAACAGAAACGCCTCGCCCTCATAGAGAGAGGGGATCGACGGTTGCACGGATCCCGGTTTACCGACACGTTTTAGAGAGTTTACTTCCAAAACAACGAAAGTCTGCCGTCGCACAGAAAATCACCACCGCCCTCTAGAAATTTACTTACCAGACCCGAGAAATCGGCGATTCCAGTTCGCGGTTTTTTGCAATTTTTTCAGGCATATAGGCTTACGTTATTTGTTGTAGCAAACGCGGAAAAGCAAACACAGAAGACGAGGATTTACGTGGTTCGATCACAACGTGATCTACGTCCACGGGCGAGGCAAAACAAAATTCCACTATAATCAAAGAGAGTACAGTTTTCAGAAGTCGAAACAACGACAAAAGCTCACGGCTTACAAAACTCTCTGAAAATAAAATTCTCTCTCTCTACATCAATGAGAAAACCTAGCCGCAGTATAAATAGTGCTCCCGAAATTTTTCCTCGGGGGCTACGCCCCCGAACCCCCCGAAACATTGGTTCGTTACTCCAGCTCGGGCGGACCGCCATAGAGATTTGTTCACTTGCTACGAGTTGGGCCTATCGGCCCAACTCTCCGCATCGCGAACTAAATCTCAATTTTCGGGTCGCACAAAAATATGTCGGGTCGGGTGTTGAACCGGACCAAGAACATAAAATTCAAGACATATTTAACATTATTTGTACAGTTCAGTTAGAGAACACGGAACAAAGAGCAGGTCAAGAAGCAATTGACATTTATTTACACATCATTTTCCCATGTCTTTTAACTGTTCTTTATACTCAATAAGACTGTATTCCAATGAAGGGTTTAAACTCTGACATGATTGGCGGAAATTAGACAAAATATCAAGTCATGGTTGACTTTGAAGAGACCCCTTTCAATTTGATCCTTGGACCGCAGTTAGATAAAATATTCTCGTACATGGTAACAGGACAGCTTCGTCATGAAGCAGTTTGACTCGACCATTACTTTTGCCGTGGTGCAATTCCAGAGCTTTAGGTTTCGAATTCAAACTGGACAGAACGACATTCGTTTCCAAACTCGGATTCGACATTCGTTCAATCAACGATTTGAGAAACAAGTACTTGGTATTAATGGCTCAGGCTTATTTAAATATCCAATAGGATCTTGCCGCATCATCTTATTTGCAAAATTCAGCAAAACGCCTTGGTATCCTTAACATTGTCGCTGTGTTCTTGATGACTAAAAGGATCCATTCGTCAACCTTATGCCCTAACTAATCTGCATCACATGGACAGTTATTTGGCTAAAGGATCAAAATCTCCAAGCACATTCTGTAAGTTATAGTGCAAGATTAAGCTCAACAAAGGAACCAAAATCTAGTAGCTAACTACTTCAGAAATAGTTTCATGTTAAATAACTCTAAGGATGAAAATACCATCGTGCTGCGATAGCCTAAAGAAGAGATTATGTACGTCCGTAGAGGAATCCAGTTCCGCACCTGTTACAATTCCAAGAACAGAACGAAGACATTGAGCGTGCATGGTTACAGTTTCAGCGCATCAAACATCGACAGTTTCCCTTAATCATAGGTATTGAAAAAAAAAACAGTAAATGATCACAAGTCAAAGGCTCTTGAAACTTGAAAAACATTGCAATCCCCAATTGAACAGACAACAGAGGAATGCCAAAATCATTGACAAGGAAACTCAAAGCCAGCACTTAGGTGTAAGACACTACAAACAGAGGATAACACCACGGTAAACTTGCCATAAAGAGAACCACAGAATCACAGTAGGCGGAGAAATTCAAGTGTAAGCATAGTGAAAGAATCTGGAAGCAGCAGTTTCAGCAACAAGGGCAATTTTCCCAATCGACAAGAGTAAACAAACATGACAGAGGTTGCAAAGTAGGCGGCAGACATCTATAAACAATAAGCTGATAACTCAATTGGGGCTCACCGCCACCACCTAAAGCAATTCGGCCTTAAACGACATCTTTGCCCTTTCTTCAAGTGTGTTCATATAACAAATACATGTTTGAAGATATCGAAAAGAGGGGTAATTCTTGTGAATTAACTTTACTTTCATGGAAAGACTGCTAATTCAAATGCAATCAGTCAACTGATGACATATGTGGTATGCATATAGCTTAAGGCACTTGATGGTGAATGAAGCAAATGTGACACATAACATAATGCATATCCATATTCATCAGCTGGACACAGACAGTGAGTTCACAAGACACTGTTGAATGCATCGGGTATGCGAAATCTCAGATTCTTCAATATAGCGAGACGCGCCACACGCATAAGTAAGCTTCAAGATAAAATGGGTGGAAGGGTCTAACATGTGGCAAATTCATACAACTTTTCCAGATTTCAAATGAACTGTTTGGTTAGGAAATAATAAGGAAGAGCCAAAAGCAAACATTATGTCTCAACAAAGAACCCGCACTTAGGGCACCTGTTCCAACTCTTTATTTTAGCCAGTTTCATCAACATTATGTCCTCCCTCTCTCTCTCCCCCTCCTTTAACCCCTGAAGCTGCTGACACTCTAACCCTGCATGCCACGGCACTCTACACTGCGCACAGAATAATCTCCGGCAATTCGGACACTCCGATTCCCTCACGACCGCGCCTCCATCATGGATCAACAACATGGAGCAATCCCTAAACGGGCAGTAAAACCTCTCCCCCTCCAAAATCAGAGCCTCGCACAATGCATTGCCCCGACGATCGAACAAGTCCAGAGGGAGTATTGACCTACAATACTCCGGCTCCAGTACGCCGCCGCAGCCCGAGACAGGGCAGCCTATGCGGGTCACGTTGTCGCCAAGCTTTGAAGTTACGTATTAAGTAACGCAATCATTGCAATATGCATGACTACAACCGTTCATACGAAACAGGTCGCTGTTTGTCCTCGGCTCGATGCAAATTTCACAGATAAATGAAGGATCCGGCTTGGAATTCGACGGCTGGTCTGTTTCGGTGACCAATGACCCACTGCGGGGATCCTTCTTGCACTTTCGCTTTTGGGAGAATGATGCCGGAGCCACCTTCAACAACATTATGTCCTCACTCTCTCTCCCCCCCCCCCCCCCCCCCTTTTCAAACCCTGAAACTCCCGACACTCCACCCCTGCATGCCACGGCACTCTACACTGTGCACAGAATAATCTCCGGCAATTCGGACATTCCGATTCCCTCACGACCGCACCTCCTTCGTCGATCAACAACGCCGAGCAATCCGTAAACGGGCAGTAAAACATCTCCGCTTCCAAAATCATAGCCTCGCACAATGCGTTGCCCCAACGATCGAACACCTCAGGAGGGAGTATCGAGCTACAATACGCCGGCTCCAGAATGCCGCCGCAGCCCGATACAGGGCAGCCTATGCGCTTCACGTTGTCGCGAAGCTGCGAGGCTAAGTATGTAGCAGCGCAATCATTGCAACATGCGTGACAGCAACCTGTGATACGAAACATGTCCTTCTTCGTCCTCGGCACGGTGCAAACTTCACAGATAAACGAAGGATCGGGCTTGGAATCCGACGCCTGACCTGTTTCAGTCATCGACGAGCCACTGTAGGGCTTCTTCTTCCACTTTCGCGAAGACGAAGTCCAAGTTTCGGTGGGAACCGAGTCCAGGACTCGCACGTCGTCGTCGTCGTCGTCCTCATTGAGGCTTTGGGACCTGGTTTGCACAAGAGAAGCGACGACCGCGTCACAGAGGCCTCTGTCCTCGGTGTGCTGCTCGACGGAGATGGCATTGGGCTTGCTGCCGCCCCCGGTGGCGACCGGAGCTAAGCTTGACGCCGACACGCCGTGCCGGTCGACGTCGACGCTGGCGCTCTCGACAACGACTTCTTCCGTCGCCATTGATTTTTTGTTCGAGCCGCGCGCGAAAACGGAGTATCGTTTCGCTTTCTGGGATTCATAAAGATAGAGTGAGTTGAATAAACTTATATTATTTTTAAATGAGGAAACTATGATTTAAATTAGGTAATTAATGAAATTATGGGATTCGATTGATAGGACGTTCGATCTTAAATTACAAAGGGATAATGACACAAACAGTCCCTGAATTTTGGCCCAATGTGTAATGTGGTCCCTGAACTTTTAATTTGTTCAATATAGTCCATGAACTTTAATCATATGTGCAATGTGGTCTCTGTAATTTTAATTTGTTCAATATAATCCCTGAACTATAACCCAATGTGCAATGTAGTCCCTGAACTATATGAACATGATCAATGTAGTCTCTGAACATGAATTAATGGAAGTATTACATTGAACATTTTCATATACTACATTGAACATATAATTCAGGGACTATTGGGTTAAAGTTCAGGGACTATATTAAACAAATTAAAAATTCAGGGACCACATTTCACATTGAGTTAAAGTTCTTGGACCATATTGAACAAATTAAAAGTTCAGGGATCATATTATATATTGAGCTAAAGTTCAGAGACTGTTTGTGTCATTTTTTCAATTACTAATTTGGTATGCAGTGATTTATCTTCTAGCACAGATACTGGCTCTTTCAAAATCTTCCCATTAAGCTTCTTTTTTTTTGAGTTTTTTTTTCATAAGTGAAATTATAAGCATTTGAAGTTGAAACTTCCGTAAAAAGTCAACATATTTCTACGAAAAAAAATAAATTTAAGGATTTGGATGATTACTAGAGGTGTCGGGTCGAGTCGGGTTGGGCTTTCATGATACCCTACTTGACCCAAAACCAACAGGATCGCGCTTGACTCGCCCAGACCCAGCCTAAGACCCAGTTTAGCATATACCCCAAGGATGGGATCGGGTTTCGGGTTTGATCAGCATATACCCCAAGGTCATGTCAGCAGAGGCCCCGACCTCCCGCCTCCGCCACCCCGATCGCCGCCGCAGCAGCCGCTGCGCGATCAATCTCTTCGATTCCGACGACAACCTAACGCTGCCCGTCTGCGATCCGATCGCCGCTGCCGATCGAACTGGAGCCCCGAGCAGGGACGTCGCTTCCGATCCCTACTCCGACGATTTGCTCCGGAAGCTCGACGGCGGGAGCGGCTCTGGCATGGATCTGTTCGCCGAGCGTCTCGGTTCGTGGGAGACGCGGATTCGGTGTCGGAAGAGGTAAATAGGTTGGATTTTGGGGTGATTGATGGGGATGATGACGTCTGTATGAATAATGGGGACGTAGATTTACGGATCGGGTTGGGGTCCGAAGCCCCCATTGCCCGCGAAGCCAGCCGTCCATCACCCCGGCAGCCATGCGCGGTTGCTGCTAATACCAATGCTGCCGCCACCGTTCCGAGTGCCGGAGCTCAAGTTTGCGGCCAGCGGGGACTTCGTCCGGTGACGCAGCTCCCGGTGCAGCTCGCCGAAGCTGGAGGACACGGACGTCCCGTCGTCGCCGGGCCACGAGGCGGAGGCGGAGGCAGCGGCGGCGACGGCTGCGGACGGCCGAGATTGGAGCGGCATGGTGGGGGGGCGCCTGGTGGGCCACGATTGCTAGCACTGTGAGCTTCGATGGTTAATGTTCTTAGGGTTTCGTCGTGTAGAGACAGAGAAGCGAGAGAAGGGGAAAGAGAGAGGGGGATTTGTGGGTGGTACCAAGGTGTCATGAGTCAGGCCCGACCGTAAACCAACTCTAATAATACCCACAACTAAAGAGGTTTGAATTTAGAATGACAATAACAATGCGGTTCTTGATGAAAATATTACTTTCACCCTTTTGGCTGATTACCCGCACTTCTATATTTATATCAATACCCTTCCACTAATTTACTTTTCATCTATAAGATCTAAAATAATATAAAGGCATGAATACGTTTATTGTCCAATTTAATAGCAAGCAAAGGGCTTTGTGAAGAATTTTCTTTTGTAATAGCCACGTCAGAATCTTTTATTTACTGATTTTATTTTGTACATTGCACTATATCGTGACCAAATTACAAAGTTATTAAGACAACAAATTCCGATGCAATTCGGAGCTTTAGGTTTCAAGTTCAAACTAGACGGAACAACATTTGTTTTCAAGCTCAGATTTGAATTATCTACTTGAGGTAAACCAAATTCACTTAGTAATCTCGATTTAATTAATAATTCGAAAAATACATATTCAGTATAAATGGACCCCGCTTACATGAATACCCAATAGAATCTTGCTGCGTCATCTTATTTACAAAATTCAACGAAACGCCTTGGTATCCCTAACATTGTTGCTGTGTCCTTGATGACTAAAAGTATCCATTCGTCAACCTTATGCCCTAGAAGATAAAAAATCTCCAAGCACAATGTGTAAGTTAAAGTGCAAGATTAAGCTCAAACGGAGGAACCAAAATCTAGTAGCTAACTTCTTCAGATACAGTTTCATATTAAATCGATCACCAGATGTATATACCGCCGTGCTGCAAAGCCTAAAGAAGCGATTATGTACATCACGCCGAGAGGATTCAACGCCGCCTCTTTCTACAGTAATCATGCCCCGGCCCCTTGGCCCCACATCGGTAGCAGAATTGAAGTCCGCACCTGTTACAATTTCCAGAACAGAACCGGGACATTGAGTTTGCATGGTTTCAGTTTCGGCCATCACACATTGACAAGGAAACTCAAACCCAGCACACTTAGGTGTTCAGACACTACAAACGGAAGATCACACCACGGTACACTTACCATACAAAGAACCACAGAATGCAGGCGTAGAAATAGAAGTGTAAGCATAGTAAAAGAATCTGGAAGCAGTAGTTTCAGGAGCATTTGGCAACTTTCACAATCAACAAGAGTAAACAAACATGAGAGAGCTAGCCAAGAAAACGGTGGACATCTATAAACAATAAGCTAATGACTCAATCGGGACTCACCATCACCACCTAAAGCAATTCGACCTCGAATAGCATCTAGATTTAGCAACCTTTACCCTTTCTTCGAGTGTGTCCATATGACATATACAAGTTTGAAGAGATTCAAAAGAAGGGTAATTCTTGTGAATTAACTTTACTTACACAGAAAGACTGCTAATTCAAATGCAATCAATGTTCATCTACTGATGAAAACCTCGTTGATCAACCATCACTAAGATGGATTTACACGGCCATGCCAAAACCAATGAAGGACAAGTACAATACACCAAGGCACAAAAACCCAAAAAAAAGGAAAGGCAGGACACACGGGAAGTGTCAAAGAACAAAGTAAACAACAATTGTTCAAGATAAACTGGGTCGAAGGTTCTGACATGCACAACTTCGAACTGTTTGGTTAGGGAAATATAAGGAAGGGCTAAGCAAACCAACCTGCACCGCACCGTCTCGCAACCAGAAATCTTCTGAACGTAGAAACTGCACTTAGGGCACCTCCTCCAATGCTTCTCCTCCGCCAGCTTCTTCAGCATTATGTCCTCCCTCTCTCTCTCCCCCTCGTTCAGCTTCTGAAACTCCTGGCACCCCATGCCCGCATGCCACGGCACTCTGCACTTCACGCAGAACAATCTCCGGCAGTTCGGACACTCCGACTCCCTCATGGCCTTGCGTCCGTCCTTGATCAACAAGGCCGAGCAATCCTTATACGGGCAGTAAAACCTCTCCGACTCCAAGATCAGAGCCTCGCACAACGCCTTGCCCCAACGGTCGAACACCTCCGGAGGGAGTATCGAGCTACAGCACACCGGCTCCAGAACGCCACCGCAGCCCGAGACGGGGCAGCCTATGCGCGTCACGTTGTCTTGGAGCTTTGAAGCTACGTACTTAGTAACGCATTCGTTGCAGTACGCGTGACTACAGCCCTTGATCCGAAACATGTCGCCGCCCGTCCTCGGCTCGACGCAAATCTCACAGACAAACGAAGGATCGGGCTCGGAATTCGACGCCTGACCCGGTTCGGTGACCGATGAGCCACTGTAGGGCTTCTTCCGCTTTCGCGAAGACGACGACCGGGTTCCGGCTGGAAGCGAGTCCAGGACTCGCACGTCGTCGCCCTCGTCGAGGCTTTCGGGCCTGGTTTGGTGAAGAGAAGCGGCGATCGCTTTGTAGAGGTCCCTGTCCTCGGTGTACTGCTCGACGGAGATGGCGTCGGACTTGGTCTTGCCCCCGGCGGCGATCGGGGAGAAGCGCGACGCCGGCCCGTCGTACCGGTCGACGTCGACGATCTCGACGGCGACTTCCTCCGTCGCCATGGGTTTCTTCGTTCGAGCCCGCGGTGTGCCAGTCCGGGAAGCACAAAACGAAAAAGGGGTATCGTTTCGCTTCAACTGGTTAGGTTTAATAAACTTAAATTATCTTTAAATAAGGAAAATTTAATTTAAATTAGGTAATTAATGAAATTTTGGGATTTTATTGACTACGATGTTCGATTTTAAATTACTAGTTTGGCGCAGACATAGGCTCTTTCAAAATCTTTCCATTAGGCTTTTCGAGTTTTTTTTTATTAATATAAGTAATATATTAAGCATTCGAGGTTGAAAATTGCGTAACAAGTCGGCATTTGTTTACGGGAAAAATAATAAATATAAGGGTTTGAATTATTATGAGATAAGGAATCTAAAGGGTTGCGAGATAAAAAGGTTTGAATTTAGAGTGCATAAAATAAATATAGAAACAATGTGATCCGTGACGAAATTAATATTTTGCATGAATCTCGGTATTTTCACACTTTTTGTTGGATCACTCGGCGCTTTTATATTAATATTGATTCGCTTCCGCTAATTTAATTTCTTTCTATAAGATCAAAAAAAAATATAATGGCATGAATAGGCTTATCGTCCATTTTAATTGAAAGAAAAGGACTTTTTGAAAAAAAGAATTTGGTAATAGCAAGGTTGAAATCTTTTATTTACTGATTTTATTCCATATATTGCACTACATCACGACCAAATTAAAGATTTTATAAGATAACAAAATGTAGATTACACGAAGATTATATAAGGACCTTCAAAGATCTCTCTCTCCTTTTGTAATTTCCTGTATATGAGAGAATAGGACAGATTAAAGTTATAAAGTCGAAAATTTGTTTTTTTTTTTTGCATAAATATGTGGATATCATTAATCAGATGAAGCACAAAAGCTTAGGAGAAACCCTTAGCATTTCAAAGAGACTAATTATGCAAGAAGACGGAGGAAGGAAGCCTCCATACAGTAGCCAATAAAACATTTACATGGGAAGGCCTACACTGTTGGTAGAGTGACGCCCTACCTCTCACAACCTTTCGTATCCTAGCCAATAGAAGATGAGCCTCAATCGACTCGATCCGATATCAAATGTAATTCGAAAGCTTTAGGTTTTGAGTTCAAACCGAACGGAACAAACTCTATTTTCAAACTCGGATTTCGAATTATTTACTTGTGGTAAACCTGATTCACTTGGTAATCTCGATTTAATCAATGATTTGACAAATGAATATTCGGTATTTAATGGATCCCACTTATTTGAATACCCTATAGAATCCTGCCGCATCATTTAATATGCCTATTTAATAAATCAATTTAGCGTGCCTAACATTGTTGCATAGTTCTTGATGACTAGAAGGAACCAATCATCAACCTTATGCCCAAGCACATTCTATAAGTCAAAGTGCAAGTAAAACTCGACAAAGGAACCAAAATCCAGTAGCTATGTACTTAAGAAATAGTTTCGTGTTAGATAGATCGCAAGATGCGATGCGTGATGGGGATGTGTTTTGAGTGACAATAGGAACTTTGACAGATGGACCCCGGTTTTTTTTTTTGGTCAGAAGACCCCAGTTAGATAAAACATTCTGGTGCATGATAATAGGACAGCTTTGTCCCGAAGCAGTTGACTCGTTCATAAGCTTTGCCGTCAAAAAGTAGTTCCAAATCTGCACACGTACCTACCAATATGCCCATAACCGAATTAAATACATGCAGATGACGTTACTGCAAATATTGATGTAATTCCGGAGGACGACATTTGTTTTCAAGCTCGGAATCGTATTATCTACCTGAGGTAAACCAAATTCACTTAGTAATCTCGGGTTTAACCAATGACTCGACAAACACATATTCAGTATCAATGGATCCCGCTTATTTAAATACTCAACAGGATCTTGCCACATCATCTAATTTGCAAAATTCAATAAATCACCTTAGTATGTACCTAACATTGTTGCCCATGTTCTTGATGACTAAAAAAGGATCCATCCGTCAACCTCGTGCCCTAACTAATCTTGCATCAGATGAATAGTCATTTGGCTAAAAGATCGAAATCTCCAAGCACATTCTATAAGTTAAAGTGCAAGATTCAGCTCAACAAAGGAACCAAAACCTAGTAGCGAACTACTTCTGAAGGAGTTTCATGTTAAATCAGTCGCGGGATGAAATTACCGCCGTGCTGCAATAGCCTAAAGAAGAGATTATGTGCATCGTGCCGAGAGGATTCAACGGCGACTCTTTTTACAGTAATGCAGCTCTTTCGCCTGGGCTCCTCATCCGTAGTAGAACTGACGCCCGCACCTGTTACAATTCCAAGAACAGAACGAAGACATTGAGTTTGCATGGTTTCAGTTTCAGCGTATCCTACATTGACAGTTTCCCTTGTTCACAGATAATGAAAAGAAAAAGGGTAGGTGATCACAAGTCAATGGCTCTTGGAAACTTGAAAAACATCGCACTCCCCAATTGAACAGACCACAAAGAATGCACACACATCACAAGGGGCAAATGAAGCTACAAGAAAATCATTGACAAGGAAACTCAAAGCCAGCACACTTAGGTGTTAGACACGACAAACAGAAGATAACACCACAGCAAACTTACCATACAGAGAACCACAGAATCACAGAGGGCGGAGAAATTTAACTGTAAGCATAGTAAAAGAATCTGGAAGCAGCAGTTTCAGCAACAATGGCAATTTTCACAATCAACAAGAGTAAACAAACATGACAGAGCTTGCAAAGTAGACAGCAGACATCCATAAACAATAAGCTAATGACTCAATCGGGACTCACCACCACCACCACCTAAAGCAATTCGACCTCGAAGGACAACTTGATTTTGCAACCTTTGTCCTTTCTTCAAGTGTGTCCATGTAACAAATACAAGTTTGAAGAGATCGTAAAGAAGGGAAATTCTTGCGAGTTAACTTTACTTTCATGGAAAGACTGCTGATTAAAATGCAATCAGTGTTCATCTACTGATGACATCTGTGGTATGCATATAGCTTAGAGAACTTGACGGTGAACGAAGCAGATGTGACACATAAACATAATGCACATCCATATGGTATCGGATTAACTTATTATCATCCTTCACATGGAGCTTACCCGGTATACTTTCACCAATTCATTAATCATCATTAACCTTTGTAGTTTTCATTTTCTTTTTCGAAAAAAAAACACCTTTCATTTAACCTGTGTATGTAACTGTGGCGAGGAATCTCTCTCTCTCTCTCTCTCTCTCTCTCTCTCTCTCTCTCTCTCTCTCTCTCTCTCTCTCTCTCTCTCTCTCTCTCTCTCTCTCTCTACAAACATAGAAAAGCCAACAAGTCCTATGCCGTAGCATAAACTGAGAATTTGAACAAATGCTAGTAAGGTAACTGTCTTCCTATTAGTTCCAGGCATATACTACTTGAGCATGTGGCAAATTCAGACAACTTTTCCAGATTTCACATGAACTGATTGGTTAGGGAAATATAAGGAAGAGCCAAAAGCGAACCAACCTGCACCTCACAAGCGCGCAACCATCGATCTTCTGAACATAGAACCGGCACTTTGGGCACCTCCTCCAAAGCTGCTTCTCAGCCAGCTTCAACAACATTATGTCCTCCCTCCCTCTCTCCCCCTCCTTTAACCGCTGAAACTGCTGGCACTCTATCCCTGCATGCCACGGCACTCTACACTGAGCACAGAACAATCTCCGGCAATTCGGACACTCCGATTCCCTCACGGCCTCGCCTCCGTCGTTCATCAACAACGCCGAGCAATCCCTAAACGGACAGTAAAACCTCTCCCCCTCCAAAATCAGAGCCTCGCACAATGCTTTGCCCCAACGATCGAACACCTCCGGAGGGAGTATCGAGCTACAATGCTCCAGCTCCAGTACGCCGCCGCAGCCTGATACAGGGCAGCCTACATGCGTCACGTTGTCGCCAAGCTTTGAAGTTACGTATTTAGTAACACACTCATTGCAATACACGTGACTACAACCCTTAATACGAAACATGTCGCTGCTCATCCTCGGCTCGATGCAAATTTCACAGACAAATGAAGGATCTGGCTTGGAATTCGACAGCTGGTCTGTTTCGGTGACCAATGACCCACTGTGGGGCTCCTTCTTGCACTTTCGCTTTCCCGAGAACGATGCCGGAGCCACCTTCAACAACATTATGTCGTCACTCCCTTTCTCCCCCTCATTCAACCCCTGAAACTCCTGACAGTTTAACCCTGCATGCCATGGCACTCTACACTGTGCACAGAATAATCTCCGGCAACTCGGACACTCCGATTCCCTCACGACCGCGCCTCCCTCGTCGATCAACAATGCCGAGCAATCCATAAATGGGCAGTAAAACCTCTCGGCCTCCAAAATCAGAGCCTCGCACAATGCATTGTCCCAACGATCGAACACCTCAGGAGGGAGTATCGAGCTACAATACCCCGGCTCCAGGATGCCGCGACAGCCCGAGACAGGGCAGCCTATGCGCGTCACGTTGTCGCGAAGCTTCGAAGCTACGTATGTAGCGGCGCAATCATTGCAACATGCGTGACTGCAGCCCGTGATACGAAACAGGTCCTTCTTCGTCCTCGGCACGGCGCAAACTTCGCAGACTAACGAAGGATCGGGCTTGGAATTCGACGGCTGACCTGTCTCGGTCACCGACGAGCCACTGTATGGCTTCTTCTTTCGCTTTCGCGAAGACGACGACCGAGTTTCGGTGGGAATGTGGTCCAGGACGCGCACGTCGTCGTCGTCATCGTCCACCTCGTTCAGTCTTTCGGACCTGCTTTGGAGAAGAGGAGCGACGACCGCTTCGCAGAGGTCTCCGTCCTGGGTGTGCTGCTCGACGGAGATGGCGTTGGACTCGCCGCCGCCCCCGGTGGCGATCGGAGCGAAGCGCGGCGCCGATACGGTGTGCCGGTCGACGTCGACGCCGGCGCTCTCGACGACGACTTCTTCCGTCGCCATTGATTTTTCGTTCGAGCCGCGCGCGAAAACGGAGTATCGTTTCGCTTTCTGAGATTCGTGGAGATAGAGTGAGTTGGATAAACTTATATTATTTTTAAATTAGGAAAATCTAATTTAAATTAGGTGTTAATGAAATTCTGGGATTTGATTGATAGGATGTTCAATCTTAAATTAGATCCTTTCAGAATCTTTCCATTCAGCTTTTTGAGCATTTTTTGCCGCGTTTTTTCCATTCTCACGGTGTTTCGACATTATCAATCTCTACCGGTCCCACTTTTTTAAGCATCATTTTTGGTTTAGTTGTGCTGTCCCATTTGTTTTCAAGCCTTGGTGGTATCTACTAAAAAAAAAAATTCTCTTTTGTGATATGTCGTTGTCACTAGTCGTCCAAGTTAGGGGTGTCAATGGGTCGGGTCGGGTTTTCATGATACCCGACCCGACCTGAAACCCATAGTGATGTACTTGACCCGAACCGACCCGGCCCGAGACCCATTCAGCATATAACCACAGCGACGGGTCGGTTCAGGTGGGTCCAGGTCGGGTTTCGAGTTTTTTTTTTTTTGGGGTCTCATGGGGTATGTTTAGAAGCAAGTCCAGCAATATATAAAAAGTGATATATATAGAAAGAATGAAAATTTGTTTACCCACTCAAAGACTGGGCAGAACAAACACGAGGCAACGACCCGAAAAGATCTCACAAAAAATGCAAGAGGAAAGTTCAATGACTCAGGCATTAATTTATTAAGCAAATCAATAGACAAAAGAAAACGAAGATATCAGCATACCCATTCTTGATCCGTCACTATCAGCAACAGCATCAATATCCCACTTCTACTTGAATATACAATCCGATTCAAGTCGTAAAAAGGGAACCAACCCAATACATGATGTGGGTCGTTTTCCTTTCGGAAGATTAAAGACAAATTTAGTTTGAGAGAGGTATTATTGCAAGCTTTTTCCGTGCAAAAAAGAAAGAAAAGGAGAGATCTTTTGATGCAAATGCTCCGGAGCAAGGAAGAAGATGATGGATCTTCACTTCTCTCACAAGACGCGAAAGATTAATGAAAATGCCGCAACAAAAACCATCAAAAGTAGCTTCCTTCTGCACAAAACACAACTCGGATGCTCCTGGTTCTACCGAGATGGTGTGCTGCCGCTATTTCTCTCTCTACCCAGTTCAAATCCGAGTCGAATGCTTCTGCCATTGAAATATGGTCCCCTAATCTGTGAACGATCAAACCACGACTTGAGCTAGAAATCCCCTGATCACCGACAAGACGCTAGACCGAAGACACCCATAAAGTTGAATAAAATCAGAAACCATGAACTGAGGTTTTGTCTAGTAAAGCTACGATCATGCTTGAGCAAGTGAGAGAGATGTGTCGCTGTGCTATGTTTGATTTGCAGAGGACGTTTGATTTCTGGCTTCGTGGAGGAAAATGGAAACCGAAGCTGAGGCCGAGACCGAGCAGGGACAAGGACGAGGCTGTGCGACTTCTAGGAAATGACTAGGGTTTTTTTAAGTCACGAGTAAAGCCCGACCTGGACCGACCCGGACCGACCCGGCCCGAAACAGGGAAAATACCCAAGTTTTTGAGCTCTTACTCGGACCGGAGTAGACCCAAACCGAAAAAGGCCCAATTTTTGGGGCTGGGTCAGGTCGGTACAAGCCGGGTCGGTACGGGTCGGGCTTTTTTTACAGCCCTAGTCCAAGCCACGTTACACTCATCGGTTTTTGAATCATTAACCAGAGTTTGATATCCAGGAACACAACAGACCTAAAGATTTTCGCATTGAACTTCTGAATGGTTACTAGAACACAGGGATCCGAATACTTGACGGGCAACAAGATCGCCTCATCGCATAAGGGTGCTCAGACATGAGGATCGACTTCTCTGTCACCTCTTCAGCCCTCTCAATCACTGGTAGCGATGGCTTGGCAACTGAGATTGACGCAGAAGTACGAGAGATTACAGGGGCAAATCCTTGTTAGTCTTAAGGATTGTCGTTCTAGAAGGTGGTGTAAACAACTTAGTGAGAGCAGGGAAGGGGATTCGAGCCATGTATTTGGAGGCTCGTAGGTGATGGTAAATCGGTGATAACAGTGACAATTAGGACTAAGAAGACGAAGAAGCACACATTGCCATTATCTTGATGAGGTTTTGGGCGAGGGCTTCAGCTCCTAGATCTAATTCTGGGGGGTTTTCTTGTCTTTGTGATAGATCAATCAAAGGGTTCGATGCGAGATGGGACAACAAATAACACATAAAGAAAAAGGGATGGAACGGGGGAGAATAAGGAAGAGTTATGAGATGGGTTTTTCACTAATAGTTGAGCTTTCGAGTTGAAGAAACGGAGATGGGAGAGGACTAGTTGGGTGAGGAGGATACGTGGGCAACAACACATATTATTGACATGAGAGGGGTATTTTAGAAAGAGAGAGAATAGAGAGAAACAAATGAGAATAAATAAGAGTAACGAATATTTAAAAAAAATGTGGGACCCATAAAGGTTAATATTGTCAAAATATTATGATGAGGAGTGTTTCAGCCATAATGGGAGTGAAAAAAGCGCGACCCTTACTTTTCATAAGTAATATATTAAGCATTTGAAGTTGAAAATTCGTAAAAAGTCGACATATGTTTACGAAGAAAATAAACGTGAGGGTACGAGTTATTATGGGAAAAGGAATCCAAATGGTTGTAATATAAAAAGGTTTGAATTTAGAATAAGTACATAAATATAGAAACAATGAGATTCTTGATTAAATTAATATTTTCGCTCTTTTTGTTGATTACCTGCACTCCTATATTAAATATCGATTCCCTTCCACTAATTTAGTTTTTTCGTATAAGATCTAAAAATTATAAAGGCATGAATATGTTTATCGTCCATTTTAATAGAAAGCAAAGGGCTTTTTGAAGAATTTTTTTCGTAATATCAAGGTTGAAATTTTTCTTACTTACTGATTTTATTCTGTATATTGTGCTGCATCACGACCAAATTACAGATTTCATAAGATAACAAATACCGATGTAATTCCAGAGCTTTAGGTTACAAGTTCAAACTGAACGGAACAACATTCGTTTTCAAGCTCGGATTCGAATTATCTACTTGAGGTAAACCAAATTCACATTGTAATATCAATTTAATCAATAATTCGACAAACACATATTCAGTATAAATGGATCCCGCTTATATAAATACCCAATAGAATCTTGCCGCATCATCTTATTTGCAAAATTCAACTAAATGCATGCCTCGGTATCCCTGACATTGTTGCAGTCTTCTTGATGACTAAACGATCCATTCATCAACCTTATGCCGTAACTAATCTTGCGTCAGATGGATAGTCAATTTGGCTACAAGATCAAAATCTCCAAGCACATTCTATAAGTTATAAGTGCAAGATTCAGCTCAACAGAGGAACCAATATCTAGTAGCTAACTACTTCAGAAATAGTTTCATGTTAAATCGATGGCAGGATGAAAATACCGCCGTGCTGCAATAGCCTAAAGAAGAGATTATGTACACCGTGCCGAGCGGATTCAACGCCGACACTCTCTACAGAAAAGCCGCTCTTTTAACCGGGCTCCACATCGGTAGCAGAATTGAACTCCGCACCTGTTACAATTCCAAGAACAGAACAAAGACCTTGAGTTTGCATGGATTCGGTTTTAGCCATCATACATTGACAGTCTCGCCTATTCACAGGTAATGAAAAAAGAAAGAAAAAAGAAAGCGGTAGGTGATCACATGTCAATGGCTCTTGAAAACTGGAAAAACATTGCACTCCCCAATTGAACAGACAACAGAGGAATGCCAAAATCATTGACAAGGAAACTCGAAGCCAGCACACTTAGGTGTTAGACACTACAAACAGATGATAACATCACGGTAAACTTACCATACATAGAACCACGGAATCACAGTAGGCGGAGAAATTTTAGTGCAAGCATAGTAAAAGAATCTGAGAGCAGCAGTTTCAGCAACAGTGGCAATTTTCCCAATTGACAAGAGTAAACAAACATGAGAGAGCTTGCAAAGTAGACGGCAGACATCTATAAACAATAAGCTAATAACTCAATTGGGACACACCACCGCCACCTAAAGCAATTCGACCTTGAACGACATGTAGAGATTTGGCAACCTGTGTACTTTCTTCGAGTGTGTCCATATAACAAATACAAGTTTGAAGAGATCGAAAAGGAGGGTAATTCTTGTGTATTAACTTTACTTTCAAGGAAAGACTGCTAATTCAAATGCAATCGGTGTCCATCAACTGATGACATCTGTGGTATGCATATAGCTTAAAAACTTGATGGTGAATGAAGCAAATGTGATGCATGACATAAAGCATATCCGTATGGTATCAGATTAACTTATCATCATCGTTTGCATGGAGCTAACCTGGTATACTTTCACCAATTCATTAACCATCATTAACCATTGTAGTTTCTTTTTTATTTGACCTGTGTATATAATGCGGCTAAGGAGGAATCTCTCTCTCTCTCTCAAAATGACAAACATAGAAAAGCCAACAAATCCTATGCTGTAGCATACACTGAGAATTTAAACAAATGCTAGTACGGTAACCTCTTATTTGAGTTCCAGGCATATACTATAGCATTGATGAAGAAACCGAGAATCAAGGAAATAAGAATCAAAAGATCTGTATCTTTGATGCAGAGGGGAAAAGCCATTGGAGTGAGAAAAAACATCAGAGCAATGAGTGACCATGGCAAATCAAACCACGTTGATCCAACATGACTAAGAGGATTTGCACAGGCATGCCAAAACCAATGATGGACAAGTAAACACACCAAGCCAAACAAACCAACAAAAGGAAAGGTAGGACATGGGAAAAGCCAAAAGAACAAGTAAACAACAATTATTCATCAAGAGGCCACAGACAGTGAGTTCACAAGGGACTGATGAATGCATTGGGTATGTGAAATCTCAGACTCTTCAATTTAGACAATGTTGAATGCATGCGGTAGGTGAAATCTCGGAATTTTCAATTAGCGAGCCCCACGCGAGATGTGCCACAGGTATAAGTAAGCGTCAAGATAAACTGGGTCGAAGGGACTAACATGCACAACTTTTCCGGATTTCGCACGAATTTGGGTTAGGGAAATATAAGGAAGAGCCAAAAGCAAACCAACCTGCACCTTACAAACGCGCAACCAGAAATCTTCTGAACATAGAACTTGCACTTAGGGCACCTCCTCCAATGCTGCTTCTCAGCCAGCTTCATCAACATTATGTCCTCCGTCCCTCTCTCCCCCTCCTTTAACCCCTGAAACTCCCGACACTCCACCCCGGCATGCCAAGGCACTCTACACTGTGCACAAAATAATCTTCGGCAATTCGGACACTCTGATTCCCTCGCGACTGCGCCTCGGTCGTTGATCAACAACGCCGAGCAATCCCTAAACGGGCAGTAAAACCTCTCCCCCTCCAAAATCAAAGCCTCGCACGATGCATTGCCCCAACGATCAAACACCTCTGGAGGGAGTATCGACCTACAATACTCCGGCTCCAGTATGCCGCCACAGCCCGAGACAGGGCAGCCTATGCCCGTCATGTTGTCGCCAAGCTTTGAAGTTACGTATTTAGTAACGCAATCATTGCAATATGCATGACTACAACCCTTAATATGAAACAGGTCGCTGTTCGTCCTCGGCTCGATGCAAATTTCACAGATAAATGAAGGATCGGACTTGGAATTCGACAGCTGGTCTGTTTCGGTGACCAATGACCCACTGTGGGGCTCCTTCTTGCACTTTCCCTTTCGCAAGATTGACGACGGAGCCACCTTCAACAACATTATGTCGTCCCTCCCTCTCTCTCCCTCATTCAACCCCTGAAACTCCTGACACTTAAACCCTGCATGCCACGGCACTCTACACTGAGCACAGAATAATCTCCGGCAATTCGGACACTCCGATTCCCTCACGACCGCGCCTCCCTCGTCGATCAACAACGCCGAGCAATCCGTAAACGGGCAGTAAAACCTCTCCGCCTCCAAAATCAGAGCCTCACACAATGCATTGCCCCAACGATCGAACACTTCAGGAGGGAGTATCGAGCTACAATGCCCCAGCTCCAGGACGCCGCCACAGCCCAAGACGGGGCAGCCTACGCGCGTCACGTTGTCATGAAGCTTCGAAGCTACGTGTTTAGTGACGCAATCGTTGCAACATGCGTGACCACAGCCCGTGATACGAAACGGGACCTCATTCGTCCTCGGGACAGCGCAAACTTCACAGATGAACGGAGGGTCGGACTTGGAATTCGACGGCTGACCTGTTTCGGTCACCGACGAGCCACTGAAGGACTTCTTCTTCCGCTTTCGCGAGGACGAAAACCGAGTTTCGGCGGGAACCGAGTCCAGGACTCGCACGTCGCAGTCGTCGTCTCCGTCCTCGGTGTACTGCTCGACGGAGATGGCGTCGGACTTGCTGCTCCCCCCGGCGGTGATCGGAGCGAAGCGCGACGCCGGCACGTCGTGCCGGTCGACGTCGATGCCCTCGACGACGACGACTACGTCTTCCGTCGACATTGATTTTTCTTGCGAGCCCGCGTTGTGTCAGTCCGGTGAGTTCAAATTATCTTAAATTATATTAAATGAGGAAAATCTAATTTAAATTAGGTATTAATGAAATTATGGGATTTGATTGCTGGGATGTTCGATCTTAAATTACTAATTTCCTGTGCGGTAGTCGAAAATAATATATATTTTTGACTTATTTATTTATTTTTAATTTAATTTATTTTCTTTCTCTTTCTTTTTTTCTTCTTCCCTTCTTCCTCTAGCCAACTGGTGAGGCTAAATCTCACCGTCACTGGGCGAGAGCGAGCTCGCCCGCCACTGGTGAGGCTCGACCCTCCTCGCCCTCACCTCTGGCCGGTTCTCGGCAACCAACTAGAGGAAGAAGGGAAAAAAAGAAAGAGAAAAAAAAAGAAAAAGAAAAAGAAAAAATTAAAATATTATTAAAAAAATTTCATATCAGCACCACATAGGACGGTCGTAGGGGTGTTAGCATTGAACAGTATACCCGAACCGAAACACGAACCGACCCGACGTTTCGGATATTTTCGGGCTGGGTCTACTTCATGTTTGTGTATTAGCTAAGCAAATGGGAATCACAATGGTTTCGGTTCGCTTCGTGTTTATGAACACGAACCGAACCGAAACACATATATTGTTATTTTCATTTTTACTTTTATTTTTAGAACTGAAACACAAAGTAAAGATCCTTTCTTCTCAATGGTTTCTCTTAGCCAAAATTTTTCAAAATAATTGATTGACACAATTATAAATTTCATAGGTTCCAACAACGTGGAAAAAATAGCGGATTGGAGCACAAACTACTCCAATATTAACAGCAATCTCATGCAGCGAAACTCGACCAAATAAGCTTTTCTTCTGCTAAGAAGATTTTAAGCAGGCAATTATCCACTCTTTATGCTTAATTGGATGCAATATACATCTTGTTAACAACATAAACATTCTCCATTAACAGCTGACGATGAATGTACATCCAATATGTGTGCTACATATTCATAAATTATGAGAATAGCAAATTTGTGCAATCATCAATCGTCAAAATATCTGAACTAATTATCTTATCCACTGATCTCCTTGAATGTGAAAATTCAAGCTTGGATGGCATGTTCAACATTTATAAACCACCAGAGATCTTTTGAGACAAACAAAGTGATGCAGTCAAAATGTAGATTCTACAACTATAGCACACAAACAAATAAAGTCTGATTGCAACACCAAACCTTCTACATGGAACGCATATGGAAATTCAACCCGTTGACACCCTATGTGTAATTGTATTATTCTCAATTAATGTCCGTTAAAGAATGGATGAGAAAAACGAAAAACCTTCGAGTCAACTGTAACATCATCAAATATTAGCTTGAACCCCAAAAAAAAACACACACACATAAACACAAAACCTCGAAAACTCGACCTGATTTTTCCATTTTGGATCATGTTCAATTCGAGTTGGGTTCGGGTCAAGAGTCCATACATCTTTTATAATTCGGGTTGGGTCGGGTATCATGGAAACCCGACCTCACCCATTAATACCCCTAGACGGTCAGTGTTTAATGGATCCCACTTATTTATATGCCGGATAGGATATTGTCGCATCATCTAATATGCACAATTCAATAAATCACTTTAGCATGCCTAACACTGTCGCCGTGTTTTTTATGACTAAAAGAATCCATTCGCCAACCTTGTGCCCTAACTAATCTTGGATCAGATGGTTAGTCATTTGGCTAAAAGATCACCAAGAAAAAAGAACACGTCACTAACCAATGAAAAAGATTGAGATGAGGTTCACGACCAAGGCCTAAAAACACAACATCAACCGAGGATAAAAAACTTCTAGATAAATGAAGTCCATCACCTAAGAATAAAAGACTAAGCCACCCGTCAAGGAAAAAGAATTTCGTAATAGGAAAAAGTTCACCACCAATACTTAAAAGAAACCCAATAAAGGATTTCTTGGTTCAATATCAAAGATATTTGCATAAAGAACCGAAATAGAATTTTGTTCACTTGAGGAAATTCTCACATATATTCAAATTCAACTCTTGTATCTCGTATAAATAAGATTACACCTATATTTACAAAGTGATTCTGCTAAGCAAACGAAAGCGACTCTCGAAATCTAGAAAGCCGAAATGACTCTTGGGGTACTCACATAATTAAGACCCTTGAAACTAGATCTACCAAATGAGTGGATCGGGTAAAAAATTATCAAACCCAAATAAACCCATTTTGACCCATTTCCATATAAAACAAACCTAGTAACCCATACCCGACCCAAAACGGCACATGCCTAACTTGTACCCGATCCGACCCAACCCATATTGTTGAAATATTTTCATATTTCACCCAATTTAGAAAAACCAATACCCAGACTGAGATTAGAGTGCAAAATGAGCGAACTCGAGATCGGGTGAGAACGAGAGAATGAAGACGGGGTCGTAGAGGTGGTTTGGGTCTAAACAAGCCGTAAACTATTTAACACCCATATTATGCTGGGTTTTACCATTCTAAACCATATCATGGTCTATTTACTTAACATAACTATATAACAACTCAGTCCATCGTATAAGGATTAAGAAGTGATCCATTTTGACGAATCTACTTCAAACAGACTTCACAATAAAGATTCATAAAAACTAAGAACTAAATACATTTAAGTAAAGACCAGACGCATGTATCTAATATTGAACACTCCAAATATGTCCATCGAGGGTGATGCTCCAAGTTGAATCAACATCTTCAGACATGGACCCTATAGCCGAAACTTGCCTTTGCTTGCAGGAGGAAGGATTGGTCTTGGATCAATCAACGAAATATGAGTTGAGCTTGATAGTTGTTCCATTGAGCATGATGCTCCCGTATCAGGATGTATATACCACCGTGCTGCAATAGCCTAAAGAAGAGATAGGTACATAGTACCAAGAGGATTCAACACCGACATTCAGTACAATAATGCGATTCTTTTGCCTGGGCTCCACATCGGTAGCAGAATTCAACTCCGCACCTGTTACAATTCCAAGAACAGAACGAAGACATTGAGTTTGTATGGTTTCAGTTTCAGCACATCATACATTGACAGTTTCCTTATTCACCAGTATTGAAAAAAAGAAAACCGATAGGTGATCACAAGTCAATGGCTCTTAAAAACTTGCAAAATATTGCACTCCCCAATTGAATAGACAACAGAGAGATGCCAAAAACGATAACCAAATATGATGCACACATTGCAAGGTGCAAATAAAGCTAAACGAAAATCATTGATGAGAAAACTCAATGCTAGCACTTAGACACTACAAACAGAGGATAACGCCACGGTAAACTTACCATACAGAGAACCACGGAATCACAGTAGGCGGAGAAATTTAAGTGCAAGCATAGCAAAAGAATCTGGAAGCAGTAGTTTTATCAACATAGGCAATTTTACCAATCAACAAGAGTAAACAAACGTGAGAGAGGTTGCAAACCTAGAACAACAACTTGATTTAGCAAACCTTTGCCCATTCTTCAAGTGTGTCCATGTAACAAATACAAGTTTGAAGAGATCGAAAAGAAGGGTATACATGTGAATTAACTTTACTTTCATGGAAAGACTGCTAATTCAAATGCAATCGGTGTTCATCAACTGATGACATCTGTGGTATGCACGTAGCATTAAGATCTTGGTGGTGAATGAAGTAAACACAACACATAACATAATGCATATTCATACGGTATCAAATTTACTTATTATCATCGTTCACACGGAACAAACTAGTTTCTCTTTTTTTTTTTTTTTTTAAAACACCTTTCATTTAACTTGTGTATAGAACTGTGGCTAGTTTCTCTTATTATCATCGTTCACACGGAACAAACTAGTTTCTTTGATGAAGAAACCGAGAATCAAGGAAATAAGAATCATAAGATCTCTAAATTTGATTAGCCACAATCACTTAAGTTTTTATCAAAAAAGAAAAAGAAAAATTCATGTAAGCAGTTAACTACTTGCCCATGTGCATGGCTAATTTATTTGAAATATCAAGTTTATATGAGTTGCAGTCATCCATCACATTTCCTAACAGAGTCAAAAGTGTAATTCCTTGTCGCAAAGATCCTCCAAGGAACCTCATCTCCTCATCAAAAGTTTTTTTCATTAGGAAATCAACAGATGCAGAGGGGAAAGCAATTGGAGTGAGAAAAAGCATGAGAGCAATGAGTGACCATGGCAAATCAAATCACGTTGATCAAACATAACTACGATGGATTTGCACAGGCATGCCAGAACCAATGAAGGATAAGTATAACACACCAAGCCACACAAACCAAGAAAAAAAGTAGGACACATGGGAAAAGCCAAAGAACAAATAAACAACAATTATTCATCAAATGGCCACAGACAGTGAGTTCACAAGACACTGTTAAATGCATCGGTATGTGAAATCTCAGACTCTTCAGTTTAGCGAGCCCCATGTGAGACGCACCACAGGTATAAGTAAGCCTCAAGATAAACTGGGTCGAAGTGTCTAACTGAGGCAAATTCATACAACTTTTCCACATTTCATATGAACTGTTTGGTTAAGGGAAAATGTTTAATTAAGGAAGTACAAGGAAGAGCCAAAAGCAAACCAACCTGCACTTCACAAACGCGCAACCAGAAATCTTCTGAACAAAGAACCTGCACTTAGGGCACCTCCTCCAATGCTTCTTCTTAGCCAGCTTCATCAACATTATGTCCTCCTTCCCTCTCTCCCCCTCAATTAACCCCTGATACTCCTGACACTCCACCCCTGCATGCCACGGCACTCTACACTGTGCACAAAACAATCTCCGGCAATTCGGACACTCCGATTCCCTCACGACCGCATCTCCATCATTGATCAACAACGCTGAGCAATCCTTAAATGGGCAGTAAAACCTCTCCGCCTCCAAAATCAGAGCTTCGCACAATGCATTGCCCCAACGATCGAACACCTCCGGAGGGAGTATCGACCTACAATACTCCGGCTCCAGAACGCCGCCACAGCCAGAGACAGGGCAGTCTATGCGCGTCACGTTGTCGTGAAGCTTTGAAGTTACGTATTTAGTAACGCAATCATTGCAATATGCATGACTACAACCCTTAATCGGAAACAGGTCGCTGTTTGTCCTTGGCTCGATGCAAATTTCACAGATAAATGAAGGATCAGGCTTGGGTTTCATCGGCTGATCTGTTTCGGTGACCAATGACCCACTGTAGGGTTTCCTCTTGCGCTTTGGCTTTCGCGAGGACGAAGACTGAGCCAGCTTAATCATTATGTCCTCATTCCCTTTCTCTCCCTCATTCAACCACTGAAACTCCTCACACTTAAACCCTGCATGCCACGGCACTCTACACTGTGCACAGAATAGTCTCCGGCAATTCGGACACTCCGATTTCCTCACGACCACGCCTCCGTCGTCGATCAACAACGCCAAGCAATCCTTAAACGGGCAGTTAAACCTCTCCGCCTCCGAAATCAGAGCCTCGCACAATGCATTGCCCCAACGATCGAACAGCTCCGGAGGGAGTATCGAGCTACAACAGCCCGGCTCCAGAACGCCGCCGCAGCCCGACACAGGGCAGCCTACGCGCGTCATGTTGTCGCGAAGCTTCGAAGCTACGTGTTTCGTAACGCAATCGTTGCAACACGCGTGACCACAGCCCGTGACACGAAAAGGGTCCTTGTTCCTCCTCGGCAGGGCGCAGATTTCACAGACAAACGAAGGACAGGGCTTGGAATTCGAGGGCTGACCTGTTTCGGTCACCGAGGAGCCGCTGTAGGGCTTCTTCTTCCGCTTTCGCGAAGACGAAGACCGCCGTGTTTCGGTGGGAACCGGGTCCAGGGCTCGCACGCCGCCGCCGCCGCCACCGGCGCCGTCCTCGCTGAGGCGTTGTGGCCTGGTTGGGAGAAGAGAAGCGAAGATCGCGTCGTAGAGGTCTCTGTCCTCGGTGTGCTGCTCGACGGAGACGGCGGTGGACCGGGCGTCGGCCCCGGTGGCCGTCGGAGCGAAGCGCGACGCCGACGCCGACGCGCCGCGCCGGCCGACGTCGACGCCCTCGGCGAGGGCTTTTTCCGTCGCCATGGGTTTTTCCGTTCGAGCCAGCGGTGGGTCAGTCCAGTGAGCACAAAACGAAAAAACGGTGTACCGTTTCGCTTTCTGGGATTCAGAAGGCTGGAGTGTGTTGAATAAGCTCAAATTATTTTAAATGAGGAAAACTTAAATAAAATTGGGTGTTAAAGAAATTATGGGATGTGATTGATATGATGGAAAATTTTCAAAATTTGGAAATTACGGGATCTGATTATTGTAAATGAGATCTTTCCTTTATAAGTAATATATTAAATTGTGCAAAATGGTTTGACATGTGTTCTATAAGAAAATAAATTTACGGGTTTGAATTTTTTCCATATAAGGAATTTAAGTTGTTGCAATATAAGGAGATTTGAATATCGAACACATACATAAATATAGAAACGATGTAATTGATGATGGAAATTAAAAAATTTCTTCATTCTCGTATTTTTTAAGCATTTTGTTGATTATTCACACATTTTAGGCTCGTTTGTTTCATGAAAAATGTTACATTTAAAGTCATTTTCCAAAAATATTTTGCCATTTTTCAATGTTTGGTTGAAATGTGAAAAAGAGCCCGAAAATATTTTTTGTCGTTTTGAAAGCAAAATATGATTTTCTAAATATATATACACTATTCATGAGCCCGTAACTTACACCCAAACATTTGGGGAAACTAGGCATGGGTAAGTGGATCGCAAATCCAGCCTCATTTCACCGTGACCCGAGTCCCAAGCAAAAACACAGGCACCAATCCCTTGTCCACAAAAGCCGAAACCAAAAATCCAATGCTCCTGCAAGACTTACTAGGACCCTGACTCAGGTCCACAAAGGTCGAGCCTAAGGCCCCGGTGCTCATGCTCAAGTCGCCGACATCTAGCCCCGGGTCCATAAAAGCCAAGCGTGGAACCCCGGTGACTTGGGTCTGGACACTCAAGCCCTCGTCCATCAAGGCTGCCCAAGGACGTCGGTGCCCATGCCCAGTCCCTGACCGACAACCAAACTCATGTTATACAGTCGAAAATTTGTAATTCGAATTATCTACTTGAGGTAAACCTTAATTCACTTAGTAATATTGGTTTAGTCAATTATTTGAGAAACACATAATCAGTATTTAATGAATCCCGCTTCTTTATATACCCCATAGGATCTTGCCGCATCATCTAATATGCATAATTCAATAAATCACCTTAGCATGCCTAACGTTGTTGCCGTGCTTTTGATGAGTAAATCTGCATCAACATTTGGCTAAAGATAACAATCTCCAAGCACAATTGTACAAGTTACAAAGGTGCAAGATTCAGCTCAACAAAGGAACCGAAATCTAGTAGCTTGCTAGCCACTTCAGAAATTGTTTCATGTTAAACAGATCGCAGGACGTATACACCGCTGTGCTGCAAAACCCTAAAGAAGAGATTATGTACATCATGCCGAGAGGATTCAACCCCGACACTTTGGACAATAATGCGACACTTGTGCCTGGGTTCCACATCGGTAGCAGAATTCGACTCCACACCTGTTACAATTCCAAGAACAGAACGAAGACGTTGAGTTTGCGGGGGATCAGTTTCAGTGCAAAAATACATTGACAGTTTCCATTCTTCACAGGCATTGAATAAAAAAAGAGTAGGTGATCAAAAGACAACAGCTCTTGAAAACTTGAAAATCGTTGCACTCCTGAATTGAACAGACTAGAGAAATGTCGAAAAAGATAACCAAATACGATGCACACGTTACAAGGGGCAAACAGAGCTACACGAATATCATTGACCAAGGAAACTCAAATCCAGCACCCAAGTGTTAGACACTACAAACAGAAGATAAGACCTTGGTATATACTTAATATACAGAGAACCCCGGAATCACAGTAGCAGGAGAAATTTTGAAATATGACAGTGGCCCCGTTTGGTTCAGTTTTTCCAAGGGACTTTTGGCCTTCAAACGCCCTTGGGGAAATGCTGGGGAGTTTGGTAAGCCTTCCCAAGGGACTTTCAAGTAAAAGCCAGCATTTGGCAAATGCTGAAACTAATTTTTTCTTCCCAAACTAACCTTACTAATTCTTTAATTGTTTTATTTTGCCCCTCGTTGTTACTGTTTATCTTCTTTGCGCGAGGGCGGCTGGCCAGAGTCGACGAGGCCAAATCGGGACGGCAAAGGGCCAACAAGGTCACCTGACCCCGGCAACAGCCGCCTGAGGTTGCGCGACCGCTCAGGCGACGGTCACTTGGGTCGCGCGACCTCCCAAGCAACAGCAGACCTAGGTCACGCGACCTCAGGCCTTATTGCCTAGGGTTGCGCGACCTCGGTGAGGGCCACCCGAGGTCGCACGACCCTTGCCGGGGGTCGCACGACCTCGGACGACGGCCGCCGATGAGGCCAGCACCAGGTCTGGCTCGCCAGCGGCCATAGCCCTTCGCTGCCATTTGCTTTTTTTTTTTTAATGAAAAATAAATAAACCCAAAGACATTTGCAAAAAAAAAATTTGCCAAACACTACTTGAGCCAAAGTAGCTTTAAAAATGATTTTTTACCAAACCTAGGGGCTTTAAGTTAAAGGTATTTGCATTTTCCAAGGCCCATTTGCAAAGCCGAACCAAACGGGGCTAGTGTAAGCATAGTAACAAAATTTGGAAGTAGTAGTTTCAGCAACATCAGCAATTTTTACATTCACGGAAAGACTGCTAGTCAGATTTCATCAACTAATCACATCTGTGGCATGCATATAGCTTGCCGTTTTAAGAGATATTGATGGTTAATGAAGCAGATGTGACACGGCACAATGCATATCCATATGGTAGATTAACTTGTTATCATTTCACCAACCCATTAACCATTAACCTTTGTAGTTTTACCTTTTTGAAAACAATGACCTTCCATTTAATGTACATTATTGCCATGGCTAAGGAGGAATCTCTCTCAAAGAGTCAAAGTGACAGACATAATACCAACAAGTCCTATGCTGTAGCATGAACTGAGAATTTATACAAATGCTAGAAAGGTTTGCTGTCTTCTTATTGAAGCTGCAGGCACATCCTATAGCACTCTAATAAAGAAACCAAGAATAAAAGAAATAAAGAATAATAAGATCAGTCTCTTTAATTAGCCACAATCACTCAAGTTGTTATCAGAAAAGAGAGAAAAGTTCGTGTAAGCAGCTAACTACTCAAGCGTGTGCATGGCTGATTTATTACAAGCATTGAGTTTATATTAGTTGCAGCCATCCATCACATTTCCTATCAGAGTAAAAAGTGTAATTCCTCACTGAAAAGATACCCTCCAAGGAACCTCATCTCCTCATCAGAAAGCTTTTTACAGATGCAGATGGGAAAACCAATAGGAGTGAGAAGAAACATACGAGCAATGAGTGACCATGGCAAATCAAACCAAGTTGATCAAACATAACTAAGACGGATTCGCGCAATTATTGCCAAAACCAATGAAAGGGACAAGTAAAATACACCTAGTAACACAAACCAACAACGAAAAAGGTGCATAGGAAAAGCCAAAGAACAAATAAACAACAATGATTCATCAAGAGCCCACAGAAAGTGAGTTCACCAGACATTGTTGAATGCATCGAGCACGTAAAATCTGATACTCTTCAATTTAGCGAGCCCCGCATGAGACGTGCCGCAGGTATATAAGCAAGCATCAAGATATATCGGGTTGAAGGGTCTAACACGCGGCAAATTCATACAACAACATTTCCAGATTTCACGTGAACAATCTGGTTAGGGAAATATAAGGAAGAGCCATAAGCAAGCAAACCAACCTGCACTTCACGAACGCACAACCATCGATCTTCTGAACATAGAAACTGCACTTGGGGCACCTCCTCCAATGCTTCTCCTCCGCCAGCTTCTTCAACATTATGTCCTCCCTCCCCCTCTCCCCCTCGTTCAACTTCTGAAACTCCTCACACCCCACCCCCATATGCCACGGCACTCGACACTGCGCGCAGAACATTCTCCGGCAATTCGGACACTCGGAATCCCTCACGACCTCGCCTCCGTCGCGGATCAACAACGCCGAGCAATCCCTAAACGGGCAGTAAAACCTCTCCGCCTCCAAAATCAGGGCCTCGCACAACGCGTTGCCCCAGCGATCGAACACCTCCGGAGGGAGTATCGACCTACAGTACACCGCCTCCAGAACGCCGCCGCAGCCGGAGACGGGGCAGCCTATGCGCGTCACGTTGTCTTGAAGCTTCGAAGCCACGTATTTGGCAACGCAATCGTTGCAGTACGCGTGGCTGCAGCCCTTGATCCGAAACAGGTCGCCGCTCGTCCTCGGCTCGACGCAGATTTCGCAGACGAACGAAGGATCGGGCTTGGAATTCGACGCCTGACCTGGCTCCGTCACCGATGAGCCGCTGTAGCGCTTCTTCCGCTTCCGCGAGGACGACGGCCGAGTTCCGGCGGGAACCGCGTCCAGGACTAGCACGTCGTCGTCGTCGCCGCCGCCGCCGCCGCCGTTGTTGAGGCTTTGGGACCTGGTTTGGAGGAGAGAAGCGACGATCGCCTCGTAGAGGTCTCTGTCCTCGATGTACTGCTCGACGGAGATGGCGTCGGACTTGCTGCTGCCCCCGGCGGCGATCGGGGCGAAGCGCGACGCCGGCACGTCGTACCGGTCGACGTCGACGATCTCGACGGCGACCTCCTCCGTCGCCATGGGGTTCCTTCTCCGTGGGAGCTGCGGGGCGCGTCAGAGTCCGGGATGCTCGGAGCGAAAACGAGCTGACGTTTCGACTTCGTGGGCTGATAAGAATGAACTTAAATTTATTTATTTTTATCTTTTTTGGTCGAAGAACTTAAATATATTTTAAAATGACGGAAATTTAATTTCGATTTCGGAATTAACGAAATCATGGAATGCGATCGTGGGGATGTTCGGGTTTTTTTAAATTACCGTTTGGATATGCAACGGCTATTTATCTTCAAAAGTTTTCCATTAAAGCGTTGGAGGTTTTCTATTTCTTTGTAAGTAAAATATATTAAGGTTGGCAATTGCGTAAAAAAATCCGGAATGTGTGTATAAAAAATAAATGCTTAGGGTTTGAATTATTTCGGGAAAAAGGGTTTTAAATGGTTGCGAGGTAAGAAGGTTTGAATTCTGAATGCGTAAACAATTACAGAACCAATGTGATTTTGTGATGACATTAATATTTTTTTCTCAATTCTCCATATTTTTCACTCTTTTTGTTTGATTCCCCGTGCTCTTATATTAATATCGATTCGATTCCGCTAATTTAGTTTCCTTACATAAAATCCAGAAAAATATAAGGGCATGAACAGGAAAGTGTGGAAGAAGTTGTTAATGGCGTGAATATTTTATGGTTCATTTTAGTAGCAAGCAAGGGCTTTTTGAAGAATTTTTTTGGTAATAGCAAGGTCCAAATCTTTTACTGACTGATTTAATTGGTATATTGCACTACATCATGACCAAATTACAGATTTCTCAAGATAACAAATCGTAGATTAAGCTAAGATTTATGTACTCCTTAATTTAATAAGGACCTTCAAAGATCTCTCTCTCCTTCTCCTTTTGTACTTTCCAAAGTAGCTTCCACATGTAGACTGGGATTACTTTGGAAAAAGTAAGAAAATATATTCGGATTAACTTTATCCCAACCCTGAAGAAGATCGTGTCTAAAGAAAAGAAAATAACTTCTTGGTATTTATGTACATGGAATTACAAAGTGAATGGTGATCGATGAGTTTGGATTGGAAAGTTTCAAATTCATAATTTAAATTTGAGTTGAAATGGTTTTCAACTGCGAGGAATTTCTCACTTGTTGTCGTAATCACAACGATCATGAGCAACCACAAATACAATATTATGAATTGCCGAAATATCCATAAACAAATATCCCGTCTACCGTCATCTATTGTTATCTCATGTCGATCATTTCTGAATTGCCAAAACTGGGGACACTAGCTTTAAGAATCGGGTCGTGACTGGGGACACTAGCTTTAAGAATCGGTTCGAGATCGAACACGACGAGACTCCGTGCTTCTCCAAGGCTTCTCGAGGCCCGAACAAGGTATAAAACAGTCTTAAACTTGGAAAACAATCTCAATTGCTACCAGTTCACAGTGCATAAAACAATCTTTAAACTTGGAAAAGAATAGAAGGCCTTCTTCACACAAAGACCTCCGCAGTTCATTCGTTCGTCCAATGTCATAATAAACTATACCCAACCATTGTTATTTACAGGCCTTTGACTTTGTATTTACAGTAGCCACCATTTGTAGAGGGAAACAGATAGAGCAGAACAGGCCAATCATGCGTACGTGTGACGATAGGGCAATGATCTATGAGCAGTAGGACCACGGACCGTCGAGAAAAGATCTTCCAGTGCAGCATATAAAGGCTCGGCAGCCTTCGGTCTATCCACCGTCCCAAGCAGTATGTCGGATGTGGTGAGATATGGATCGCCGTAGAAGCGCAGATTAGCATCCATCCTCGTGGCAACCATGTTACCCTCCAGTGACACCCCCACGAACGCACCTCCATCAAGGAACAAGCCATCGTCAGCTTTTCATATAGGGAAAGAGGAGATGGTAAATTAAAAGTCAATATTCATCAGACTTCCCGCCCAGCTTCTCTACCCTTGATGTTACAACAGTTTCAAAAAACTTCAATCCGAATTTGAAGCATCAAATTGTAAGGAAATCCCAACAAATGGTGCAAGGGGAAAAAAGAAAAAGAAGTTCACCCTGTGAGATAACTCCGACATAGGCTCTTCAATTTCTTAGCAACTTCATTGCACATATAGTATCTACAAGTTAAGCCTCCTTTATGCTACAACAAGCATGCCTCTCAAAGTAAGGTAAAAAAATAAGGCATTAAGTTCCATGCATCATCCGACCATATTGAGCAGCAAAACAGAAAAGCAATCAGCGCAACGCTACTGGTGAAACATGGCACTAAACATTGTTTTAGACATACAGCACCCACAATTACGAGGCTCGAGGATTTCTAAAGGCATTTTAAGCCATATTCTGAATTCCCTCAACCATAAGAACCAAACAACTCCAGATTAGATCAGCTCTGCCCAACGTCATGATACATTGTGATATTAAGGAGATAGGAGCAAGCAGTGTCGTTAAAAAATCGTACCATTAGCGATCCAAATCGTGTGACTCGACTCATTCATACACAAGACAATTCAATTCTTAGCTATGAATTGGAGATGCATCAGTATCACAAGCGAATCTTGCAATTTGTGCATGATTCGATACAATTTGGTACGATTCACTACAATTTGGTCAGACTCCTAGACTTGTGATTGTTGGACTCCAAAAGTTTTGGGATTGTGTTTTATAAACATTTAATGTTGTGAATGTTTACATGTTACAATTCCATTGATAAAGGCATCATTTTCTTGAATTTCTTACATATATCATTTGTGTTCATTGACACGATAGCATGATGTTTCTTCAAAATAATGTGTTTATATGTCTTATTACATTTTTTTTCTACATTTTCGCACTAATAGCTAGGGTTCAGTAACATTTTCCTTCTTTTCAAGTTACTCTAAAAAGTTTTTACTGAATCTCATGATTTACCATTTAGAAAATGAGCTTTATGACTCATGATTCCAATCTTGATTTGACAGCATAGCAAGTATTAGATGCGAATGAATGGGGTTCCCGGCATTTTACTCTATGAGCATATCGACCGAAAACATCATAATAGAACATCTGAAGGCATAAAACCAGACAATATACCTTTACTGCAACTGTAGGTGTAACACATGCCAGAACCCCTATCACCAGCTCGAAGATCTGCTTCCAACACTCTCCCTACAGGACCTGCTGCAGCACTGCAACCAGCACCAAGAGAGAAGTGCATGCGACTGCAAAATGTCTTCACAGCCTTGTAATCATGGAGTATAATGATGAAATCCATGATCTCGCCCCCGATCTGGAGTGCATCAATGAATGATGGGAAAACAAGAGAAAGTAGAAAATCATAAGACAAACATCAGACTAAAATTCCCCAAGATTAGCATCAAAAGCCGAAGAGCGCATATCTACCTGTTCACAATGAGGGAATACAAATCAAAAAGCACAGGAAATGTTAGAATCCAAGTTACCTGAGCACCCCATCCTAAACCAACAGAGAGTATTGCCGATGGGGCAGACCAAGTTCCATCTGCTCTTCGAGCAACGACCAAACCAGTGCCAATTTTATACGTAACCAGCACACCAGCTTTAGCTACAGTCACAATGGCCAAGCCTTTTGCACCTTGTAAAACTGCCAAGGGTATGGACTTCTCTGGGCTAGAAAGAGCAACCTGCCCACATCATCATGCAAAAGATTAAAGGCATTAGCGCCTAGTTTCATAATTGACAAGGGCATGAAAGAAACAATAATAGTTCACAACTGTCTGAAAAAAAGAACCAATTTATCATTCATAAGAATGAGGCCAATGGGATGGAAGAAAAGTAGAGTTCAATTGAAGCATAGCAGAAGGAGTGTCCATTATTAGCGCAATCCACCTGACAGTAACTTCTCAATGTATTAGAAGCTTTGTATATCTCATGTTCCATCTTTAAACCAACGGGAAGATTCAGCCATCCTCTCGTGCAGGTCCAATCCATGACGTCATGCTTAGCTACTTGCACCGCATTGCTAATGGAGTGGATAAGGATTCCTTGCAATGGGTCGAGCCTGTCGTAGCACGTGTCACAAACTCTCTGTGGATTCCTCTCCCTGAACTTGACAGGCAACAAGCACCTCCCCTTGGTACATATACGGCAGAAAATCCCACCACAGGACCGACAATGATGCCGTCCCCTAGTAAGCGCTGTGAAAGGAGCAGTGCACTGCATGCAAACAGTCGTAGAACTATCAGGAAGCCAGTCTGGAGGTTCCGCTTCCAACAAATCCTTATATGCACTGTGATTCTTTCCATCGAATTCAAGTAGCGGTGGGGCACTTGGGATGTAAACCGAGGAGTGCAAGTACGTATCTCCATTTTTACCTGACCCCAAGAATGAGACATTGGAGCTCGACAATTGCTGCCCTGCAGGAAGACTTGGACCTTTATTACGCCCAGTCAAAATTGCAATTATACCGCCAACCACATTTTTCAAGTTCACCTCTGGTGGACCATGAACCTGACTCGGGTTACTCACTTCATCACCGGAATCATATTCCTCCTCATAACCATCTTCCAATTCTGGCAGAAACGGGTACAGTCCATCCTGTTTGGAGTCTTTCGAGGCCGCTGGACCAGCATTTCCACCCTCCGAAACAATCCATCCAGAATCAGAGTATTCATCATCGTATGTAAACCCACCGTTCTCCTTTTTGTCTATCTTAGACAGCGAAGAATACGAAACTCTCCCTTTAGAAGTTGCCATGGACTAACCCGCATGTATAATTAAGCACCACAACGCATATCATACATGAACTCGGCTATGAAAATGGTAACTTGCCCTGCAAAAGATGCACAGAATTTCAGATAGACATACTACAGAGAGAATATGAAGCTCCAAGCAGCTAATTACACCAACATATTGCAGAGAACAATCCAGAATAACCATGCCTTGCAATAAGATAAGTCTCAACTAGACATAAAACATCAGAAGAAACGCCAAAACAGAAAGTGGCATCAAAATCCTCACGTAAAACAAGCAGCAGAAATTACACCATACCTATCCAACCAAAGTCATCCAAACATCAACAACCATCTCCCACGCATGAAAATCAAAACTAGCACAAACATTAACCAAAACAGCAAAAAAGCATTTCGATTTCTCCCTAATTCACTGAACTATCAATCACCCAGATGAAAAAAACCTCAGAAAACACCAGCTCCTCCCCCACGATTCAAACGACAACCGCCAAAAAGAACCAATAATTTTGCTTACGGATTAGGGTTTTCCTCGTGGGGTGGGGGGCAAAAAGACGCTACCTTTCGTGGCGGGTCACCTCTCAGACGCCCTGGGCGCGACGAACACGACGCCACGATTGATGAAACACGACCAAAAAGCCTCCTGGAGATGGCAATGAATGATCGTGCCCGTACGGGTGAAGATGGAAGGAAATTGACTTCTGGGGTTCTTCAATCGGCTCTTCCTTAAAAATCTTAGCCACAGCGATAGGAAGATCCTCGGACTCTCTGACACGGGCTGATACGGCGTCGCTGCGTTGGCTTGAGACGTGTCCACACGGGACTTCTGTGTCAAGATACACAGACATACGAAAACAAGTCATCTCATCGCTTTTGCCAAAATCTCAAGGACGGCGCCGTACAACCCTTGGAATAAGTACGTTAAAAATGTTCTAAAATTTATCACGAAAGTATAATTGAGTCCTGAAAATATTAAAATATATAATTAAGTTCTAAAATTTATCGTAAAATTATAATTGAGTCCTAAAACTTATCAACTCATAAAACTTGTATAATTAGTCCAATCAAGTCCATTTGTTGATCGTATTTTTTGAAAGTTTTAGGACTTGATTGAACTTTTACGATAAATTTTAGGATTTTATTGTATTTTTTTGAAAGTTTCAGAACTTGATTGCACTTTTGTGATAAATTTTATGACTTTATTGCATATTTTGAAAATTTTATAACTCAATTACGCTTTTGTAATAAGTTTTAGGATTTCTAATGCACTTATCTTATGATCTTTTATATCACTAAAATCCACCCAATTTTTACCAAAAGAATAAAATTACCTACCTACATTTTAAAAACATTTTCCTAAAATATAATCGATTGTACAATTATATAATTAAGAAAATGTAGAATTTTTCCAATTAGTATCTCATCGTGTATAAATGTATGCAATACAATTGATAATTTTCAGGAAAATGTTTTCCAAAATAAAGGTTTTTCGCGAAACAAACGGACCATTAATCATTAAATTGCAATTTAATTTGGCGACACCAAATATATTTGCTTTCCTTTTTTTAAGTTTTTCTATTTATATGTACGATCCAATTACCATAACTAAGAATTTCATATGTTCAGTTTTTGTTTATTGTAGGTATCCCGTGTATATTAAAGGCAATATGTTTTTTTCATTGTTAGATTTTAGTTCCATAAAAATCATTTTTGTCAAAAAGAGAGATTTCCAAGAAACCTTATTCTTTTCCACTTTGTCGAGTAAATTTATGGATAAACTGTCAAGTAGAATCTAGAAAAAATTTAGCATAGACAATTTTTTAACACAATCACTTGTTTATAATTTTTCACTTTTGTTGTGCATAACACCATTAGACCCTTTCTTATCGATTTTCTTTCGTATACATATATATAATGGGATGATTGGATGAAGAAAAAACAACCCTCATTGAAGATTTTCCAAAATAAAGTCACATTTACATCTTTCAAATATCAAATTTAATTAAATCCAAACATTACATAAAAATAAGAATGTTAGTGAAATCTCATTGTTTTGGATTAATAGATATTAATACCATCTTTGATGTTTACAAAAAAAATATCAAGATCTCATTGTGCATAATGTATTCACTGTATTTTTCTATATTCAAGTAACGTCTTCCGTATTCCATGTAAAAGTATCTCGCCCATAGTAAAGAAAAAAAAGACAATTCTTCGATATGGTCCATGAAAGAGAAAGGATCCAAAATAACACAATGCCTTACAATGAGATAAGTTTCGCATAAATTTCACCATATCTATCCAACCAAAGTCATCCTAACATGCGTAAAAGTCAAAACTAGCAAGAGAACATCAACATCATATAAAGCAGCAAAAAAGCCTTTCGATTTATCCGCATTTCGAAAACAACAACATTCGAAGAGGATCAAATAATTTTGCTTATAGATTGGGGTTTCCTTCCTCCTAAGCAAGAGGTAAAGCTACTTGGTCCGAGGCCTCACTTCTTGTGGACCTCGACATACCTTGGACGTAAAACATCGAGAAGATATTTCCTCTTCCTGAAAAAGATAAATGTTCGGGGGGAATTGGGGGGTTAGGTGTGCGGGCACGCTAAAATAAGGAACGAAGGTTTGTCAACCCGTCGAGTGTATACACCTAGACAGGTAGGGCAGTCTAGTCGGAGCTTCAGCTCCCGCTCTTGTGGTGAGGATACCCTTAACCACCGAGGATCCACTGAGTATTAGGGTTTCCTCATGGCAAGACCGACCAGCGACGGCAACCCGGTGGCGCGCCGTGACGGTGCTCCTCGGTGCTCGATCGGCGGCCATGTCAACGGATTCATCTCGTTGACTATTCTTGTTGATTTGGATCGAGCCCAAGCCCAAGCCCAAGCCCAAGCCCAGCCAAACGGGATCGTCTTCTCTCCACCCTTATTACTCAGGGACTCAACGGGGGGGTTTTGGTGTCAGCTGAAGAGGAGAGAAATGGCGGAAGAAGCAATCCTAGGGTTCTTGGAGAACCACGACGAGATCGCCGATTCCGGCGAGTTCGCGGCGGCGCATGGGATCGACCACAACGAGGTGGTCAACGTCATCAAGAGCCTCCACGGCTTCAGATACATCGACCCTCAGGTCATTTTCGCCGTCCAGTGGTGCCCCGCTGCTTTTGCCGATCGGTCGTGCGCCCGCATTTTTCGTCGATTCTTCTCTGGGTTTTGTTTGTAGCGAGTGCTAAAGGGCGTGTGTGTGTATGGGGCAATGCTTGTCCGTTCCGTTGCTCGTACGCCGCGGGAGAGTCTTGATTATGACGGGGTTGGACATGGCGGAATTGGTGTTGATATGGGTACATTGGAGTTTGTGGACGCCGATCATCCACCGGGTCGCGGATTTCGTTGCATGTGTTTGTGCTTTTCGCTTCTTTGTTACACCAATGTTAACGTTATGGGCTGGACTGGACGTGCAGGACATTAAGAGGGAAACGTGGGTGCTTACAGAGGAAGGGAAGACGTATGCGGTTGCCGGATCACCTGAAGTGCAGCTGTTTTTGGCTGTACCGCCAGAGGGTATCTCTCGTGATGAACTTCAGGTTAGTACCGCCACTTTCCATCTGATTGGTTTTTGCCATGCTGTCGACGTTGTGCCTGGCGAGTGATTCTTTTGTAGCAAGTTTGCTTTCTAGGGGGTAAATGTGGATTTCATCCTGCGAGTTGAGTGTATAGCATATGGAGCTGTTGACATATTTCTAAAAGTTTTCCCTTTTCGAATTCTATGTAAGAATATCTAAGAATGGATGAATTATCACCGAGTTAATTCATGGATGCAGAAAAGGCTGGACCCCTCGGTTTTCAAAATAGGTTGTGCACAAGCAGGGAAGAATAAATGGGTCGAGATGGGCAAACATATATCTAGAAAGGTAAGCAACTATGCTATTTTGTTGATGAATTTTCTGGCTTTGTATCTTCTGTTCAAAAGCTTTCTTCCTTGCTTATTTAGGTTTCCTTAGGGTTTGACTTCATTTTATTAGATCGTCTGATCTGTATTCCTCCGATTTGTAAGAGCGTGAATAATTCTTTCTTATTTAATTCCTTTTTCTTGAGTTTCGCGGAACTCGTGAAGTGAGTATTTTACAGATATTCGGTTCTTGATCTATAAAATGTTCTGACTGCAGATGTGTTGATGCAATTTCCTGCATAATGGTGCCTTATTTTAGTTGTTTGGATGCTACTGGAATTTACTGACTGTAAAGTTGGAAGAATTGAACTAAACATTCTGCTAATTGCTGTAAAGGTTTATTGAGGAATGCCTGCCTTTCAGGTCAACATCCAATGAAAGCCATCTATTTCTGGAGTATCCAGAAATGAAGAAGAAAGCACTACAGAAAATGTGTTGTTTCTTATTTGCTGCTACTTTGCATTACCTTTGGCATTTACTTTTACTGAAAGCAGCTGAGATGGAAGAAATTTCCCCCATTTTCAAGTCATTTGGATTTCTCTGAACATTTTTCTGCCTTCCGTCCATGTTGGACTTTCAAGTAATGCAGTGCAGTCTTTCCCTGTTAACATTTAGGCTTTCTCATTAGCTATTGTTTTTCTGTGTCCATAGTTTTGCTTGGAGAATCTATGAGATGTACTCATCCTTTGCACATTTGTAATTTGCAACACAGTCAATGCATTATGATACACTAGAACTATGGAGCACTAAAATTTACATTGCCAAATTTTTAGTGGAGAAACACAGTAACTTGTATTGAATCTTTAAATATCTTGCAACTTAGGGTATTCATTTTAGCATGATCTTTTCTACCATTTAGCATTCTAAAATGTTTTCTTCTAACAATTAATTCATTTAGCATTTCATTTTCGTTTGCCAATCAGCTGCCATCCTTGCTCTTGGCGATATTGGTTTCCTTTTAATTTTTTTTTAATGCATGTCCTATTTTATATTTATAGAATAAAATAAAATGTACAAAGCATACGAGCAAAATAAATGGGCTTGAAATTTACTTGAGAGCTATAAAGTATTTTCTTTTAGTTTCTAACATGGAATATATTGTTTGAGCTGCACTCCGTTCTTCATGTTCAATGTTTTACTTTCCCAGATTGTTAGCATTTGAATTTGATTGTGGGTATATAAGTTCTATGTGACTTTTCTTTGTTCTAGTTGTATTATAAACTGCTAAAGGAAGAATCAGTGTGTCTTGGATGTTAGATGATCTAACATCAGATAGTTTGTTGGCTTGCCTCATTTGGTTTGCTGCGTTGAATAGGTTTTTTTTTTTTTCTTTCTCATGACTTCTGCCATTACTATTAGCATCAGTTGTCTTCATAAGTTTAAGAGTGAAGTCAAATGTTTAGTGCAATTGTGGAGAGCTTGAGTGGCTGGATTTGAATTTTAGTTGGTATATAAGTTCCTGATACATTATTATTGGTTGAGTTTTTCTTTGAGGATAAAAAAAGGAAACCCACTTGTTCTTGGCTCTAAGTTTTGAATGCACCCATTTTCTATTCCTTATTTTATATTTTTAACAAAGAAATAGAAATCTTCTTGTAGGTTCAACATGTGGATGACAAAGTCAAAGATATGCTTACACGGATAAAAGATGGGCAGGTGAGTGAACTGTTCGTGAATTCTTTCTTACCACTTAGACCTTCTTCGTTGTAATATGTCATTCGTTATTATAATTTTTTTTTTTGTCATTGTAAGACTTACTTTCCATGTAATAAGTATCATCTAGTATGTAACAAGAGATCTCTCTGACGTTTGAGAGTAAAATGGTAAGATCTTCAATGAAGTGGGGTTCTTCAAAAGATGCATGCGGATAATACCAAACACTCGAGAAAATTATTGTTTAGTAGGTCCATGTTGTCTATCGTTCGGTATGAAGTTATGAACCTTCTTAGGCCCCGTTTGGTTCAGCATTCCCAAGGGGCTTTGGCCTCGAAAGCCCTTGGGGAAATGCTAGGGCGTTTGGCAAGCATTCCCCATGGGCTTTTGACCGAAAGCCAGCATTGAGAATGCTCAAAGCTGGTCAGGACCAACTTTGGGCTTTCAACATTTGCCAAATGCTGAAACTAATTTTTTTCCTCCTAAACTACCCTCACTTATTCTTTAATATTCCGGTTTTCCACTTGTTATTGTTCATCTTCTTCGTGAAAGGGCGGCCGGCGACACCGGAACTGGACGGCAAAGGGCGGGCGAGGTCGCCCGACCCAGGCGATGGCCACCTGAGGTCGCGCGACCGCCCAGGCGCCGTCGGCCTGGGTCGCGCGACCCCAGGTGGCTGTCGTTTGAGGTCGCGTGAGTCCATGCGACGGTGCCTGGGTCGTGCGACCTCAGGCCTTGTCGCTTGAGGTCGGGCGACGGCTGTCAGTGCCGGATCTGGCTCGCTGGTGGCCTTAGCCCTTCCCGCCTTCGGCAAAGGGTAACCTTTTTTTTTTAATAAAAAAGAAAATCCCAAAGCCCTTTGCAAAAAAAAAAAAAAAACCAAACACTACTTGGGCCAAAGTAGCTTCACAAAGAATTTTTTACTAAATGCCATTTGCATTTTCCCAATGGGCTTTAACCTAAAGGTATTTGCATTCCCCCGAGGCTCATTTGCAAAGTTGAACCAAACGGGCCCTTAAGCCATTTGTGGCAAATGGTCTCAACTTTTTGCTAGAGATACTACTGAAATTCCTGTGGCTAGTAGACATGCGATTGTTTGAGTTGCAATGGGTGCTGTAAGTTATTGAGGTTCACAATGTGGGCTTATCCATCAGGGAGAAGTATTTTATGTGTTGGTCATACAGCTGATTTGGCGTGATTGACCAATCACATTGCTTGCTATGCATTTCATTTATTTGGCACTTAAAATTTGAAATCACTCAATTTTAATTGGCTTGTCACACCACGTATTATTGGGAAGTGGTGTACTTCTCACATGGATAACTTTCTCATCCACCAAAGTCATGCATAATGGGGTATGGATATTTGGTAGGCTTTGGTGAGTATCTGGTTGCTTGTGCATCGATGCAAGCTTAAGGATGTGTAGCATGAGGTTTACTACAATAAAATCGACACATTAGTAATTTAAGGACTTGTCCCCCTCTTGTTCTTCTCTTTTAGATCCAGATTTAAATTTGAGTAGTTTATACAGACTATTTTGTCCCTTTTTTCCTTCCCGCTCATGTCATTTTTGAAAGGTCTCTTGACCTAATATCCCCTTTGTCTCAGGATATTGATGCAGACAACATCAAAGCTCTCAGAGCAAGAAAGCTTATTATTCCACAGTAAATACTATCTTTTAACTTTTGGTTTGCAAATTACTTGGTTGGTCCAGAAGTTGTAAACTTTCTCGGGTTTTCTGTTCTTAATGCTCACATCTATGTAAAACCTGTTTTCTTCAAGGACATGGAAGGGTTACTCAGTGAAGAGAGGTCCTAATTATGCCCCTAAAAGGAAGAAGGCTGCTACAGATTTGACTCGGGAAAATCTCCAGAGGTATTAATTTTACGTTTTGGTTTTTTTTTTTTTGGTCGGTGTTTTACCTTTTGGTTTATTTATTGAGAAAGTTGTGCATTAATGTTGCTAAATTAGTTGGTCTATGAGGGAAATTGTTTGACGTGTGAGTTTCTGTTTACCCAATGTCCCCTACCTTACAGCTACATATCCCTAAAGATGTGAAGTTCCATTATTTCGGAAAAGTAGAGGGAGTCTGCTGTTGTATGAAAGTCTTCAGATTTATCATTAGAGAGAAAAAGGAACATACATTTACCTTTTAAGTGGATTTCAAATGCTTCTCACTTTCTTTATTGACAGAGGAAAGGGAATTTGACCCTTAAACGGCGATTCGGTTGAAGGGTGATTTTGGTCTTCCAGACGTAACCTTTAAGTTCTTGTGTTTACTTTTATGCTTTTTCTTTTACTAATTTATTCACTTATTTGAATGTCTTGCTTTAGCAGCCAAGCAATTCTCACATTGTTAGAATCTATGAACGCTATTACCTAGTAACTCTCCATTTTCGTAATCATTGGATTATTTACTGTTATGGGTTGTCTTTGTCACATACATGTAACTTGGCTATTTTAAATTGAGGAAATCACACAAGGCTGATTGGTCGATGGATGTAGACCCTGATAATGGTAGCTCATACTGTTTTAGATGAGATATGATGTGCTTGTGTCCGGTTCACTTTTGTGAACTGATAAAGCGCGCTCTTTTATTGCAGGGGTGACTGGAAGGATTTAGAGTTCAAAGAGTATAACTTCAGCGCCAAGGGTCCACCTGCCGGAGGTGGCCATATTCATCCACTTCTCAAGGCAAGGATTTTATTCTTTAGATGTTTTTATTGAGGAGATTAATATTATGCTTAGCCTGTTCCAGTCTGTTTGACCCAAGATGATTGGACGTAGGGCCTAAGGAGAATATGAATTGATCATATCCTTAGCTTTGACCTCTGCTGAAGGGTCCCTACTTGGTGGTCAAATCAACACAATGGACCAACTACTTCAGAACCCCGGTCACTTTTGTAGACTGAAGTAGTACCATGAGTCATCATGGCTACATTTAATCTCTTAGACAGTTAAGGTGCTTAGTGCCATGGAAACTGTGCGTCCCCCCGGGCATGAACTGAGATTTTGATGTTATGTTCAACTCAACTGGTTGTTGCATGTATCTTTTTATTAATCATGGTATCGCTTCTAAATTTTGAGATCTAGAGTTATCTCCTTCACTTGACATTGATGTGGAAAACCTTTGTTAATCATAAGGATGAATACTGTGTCAATTGTGTAGAGAAATACAGAGCTAGGTACTCAGTGGGTCCTGCAAAAATCATAAAGAGTATATTTAGTCGGACTGTTTGTCAATTTCATAGGAACTGGCCATGTGGATCAATAAATTGGCATCTATTGAAGAGAATTAAGTGGATATGTTAGAGGAGATGAAATCTGCATAAAAATCTATGATATGGTATAACCTGAAAAAAGAAGTTATGGAAAGTCTATTTTGTCACATGCTGAATGTGTTCAGCTAGATCTTGAATATTTTTATGCGGGTCTGGGTCACATATTGTTGACAACACTCCATAAGGTCCAAAATGTTTCAATTTTTAATTGAATTACGAACCGTGCTACCTATCAAAGAAGTGAGGACAGTATCTGGAGTCAAGTAACTTGACTTGCAAAGGATATTATTGAACTTCTTGATTACTTAATTTTTTAGATCGGCTATCAGAAGTATTAATTTATTTTTGGAAGATAAAAAGCAAGTATAGCTGCCCAAAAACAAAGTCCATGTAATTTATGTTTCCTACCATCTTGCTTTCTCCGATTGTTATGGCTACTAAAAGCTGCTCCATTTGCAACATTCATTTGAAATCTTTCATAAACATAGTGGAACTTCGATATGACAGTGAGCTCTTTGCAGTATCATCCTCAAGTTCGTGCTGTTGCCACCGATATTCTCTCATATGTCCATCATTTAAAGTTTTTGCAAATTCGACATATGCAATTTAAGCTTAATTTCTTAAATTTGAAACTTGGACTAGTTATAGATCCTCATCAACTTCGAATAGTCTGACTTCCCCATCACTTTCCTAACTTTTCTTACGAATATTTTATTTTCCTCATTTTCAGGTGAGGCAGCAGTTGAAGAATATATTTCTTTATATGGGGTAAGACGTGGCAATTTCTCATGCTACTGAAAGTATGACAGTTTGTTTACCCTTTTGTTCGTTGGTTCCATAGTTGCTTACAGTGGCTCTTTTGTTGGTTGCAGTTTCGAGGAAATGCCCACAAACAACTTTGTGGAAAGCAGGTATGGGTTCTCATCTCTGTTTTGCTGTTCTATACAAGCTTCATGTTGAAGTCGGTGCTCAGTGATATGTTAAGCACTCATTACAATGATCACAAAACTTACACTAATTGGTCTTATGTATAATACATCTATATTAAGGTTCCATAGTTGGACAACATGCTTCAATTCCTGGTTTTTGCATGCTCTCCAGACACAGATTGAAAGTAGAAAGAATATATAGCACAAAGTACACATTTTCCCTGGATAAAAGGTCATCTCAATTTGTCTGTGAGTTCTATCTGTTGGTGCTGAACATGGGGGGTTTTGGATGCCTACATTCTTCAACTTTTTGTAACTGATGATGCATCTGATGTATTGAGGGCTAAGCAGATGCATGTAAGCGTGCATCTTGAAGGCTAAGTTGATAAATATGAGTTTAGTTGTTTATTGTCTACTTCACGAAATCAGTAATAAGAATAATGAGATCTACCATGCATGAGGTGCTTTTGCCTTATATTTACTGTTGCCCAGCTTTGTTGTAGAATACCAGTCTATGAAGATCTTACCCATTTCTGGTTAATGTGCAGTTTCTGGAACTTTGATGCTCTGTTCCAGCCTCAGCAACACCCTGCTCGTGATTCACATGATACTTTCTTTCTGAAAGGTCTGTCCAATTTGATTGTGTGATCGGTAGTTTCACTTTTTGTGAAGTTGTTCTCATATTTATATGGCTTGTAAACGCATATAGCTCCTTCCATCACGAGGGAACTTCCTGAAGATTATGTTGAACGTGTGAAGAGAGTTCACGAATCGGGTGGTTACCAGTCTCGAGGGTATCATATTTATTTGTTTCATGTTCTTATCAATTCATGTTCATTTTTAACTCCACTCCTGTATTAATCTCTGCTATTGATGTAAGATTTGCCTCACATTTTTTTTTTGCTGATGGATTTTTTTTTTGGGTGAACAGATATGGATATGAGTGGAAAAGAGATGAAGCAAATAAGAACCTTTTACGAACTCACACGACTGCTGTTTCCACGCGGATGCTTTACTTGTTGGCACAGGTGTGGTTGTGCTTGATGCTTTCCTGTCAAAAAGCTTCCTCTGCAATTGTTTGGCCAATCCTAGACTTTGCATTTCTTTCTGTTTATTGTCTCGTTGCATAGTATTGGATCACTTCATCTAGAATAACTTGCAACATTGCCGACAAGAACTAGAACCATTTATGAGCCTTTCATTTTTGCTCCCTTGCTATACCACCTCATAGCCAGTTATAGTTTGTAGAACATAATAAATGTTGGTTTAGACACTTGGTAAATACCGTTAACATATTTTCTGCAGTTCTTCATGTTCCTATAGAACTGTTACATACCCACTTGTTTCAGTTTTTACTTTCTCGCCAAAACCAAAAGAATAGAAAAGATTACAAAAACAATTACATGATTTCAATTTTGCAAATGAATTTAACTGTCCATGTTTTTAAGAATCAGGGTGTTCAACATTAAGTAAAAAGTACAATATCGATTGCTAAAAAGGAAACAGTAGCATAGTGAAGTAAAAGTCGCTTCACACACTAAATGACTTTGTGATGTTATTGTGCAATTTGTCCTAGTATGTTCCGCTTTGAACTAGAAGCATTATTGGGGCCTCTTTGGAAGCAAAATAAGTATTATTTCGGTGTATGATTCTGCCTTAAAAGATTTAAAAAGAAAGAGATTAATCTTTTTTAATTATGAAAAGCTACTAAATGTCAATGTTTAGATGTTTTGCAAGGTTTTGGGAGTTCCAAATTAGATAAAGCTAAAATGTGAGTCGCAAATAAAAGTGGAAGTCAATTCAAATTGACCTTTTATTGTTTGATTTCTTGACATTACTTGCAGAAGAAACCCTTTGAACCAAAGAAGTACTTTTCAATCGATCGTGTTTTCAGAAATGAAGCGGTAGATCGGACCCATCTCGCAGAGTTCCACCAGATCGAAGGTAATTATCTGATTATCCTGGCATGTCGAGAATTGTCGGAGTATATCTGGATTTTGTAGGTTGTTCAGTTACACTGTTTCTCAAATAAGTAGAATAAATACTTAATTGGAGTTTACATCTGTTCTCTGTCCTGAGTTTTCCAATTGTCTCTACGATAAATAAAATCCGGTAGATCTGTGGCATCAGGTGTCAAGCTGTGTCCAAGGTACGGATATGCTGTCTCTAGATAGAACCGTGTTTAAGTGAAAGTGAGTAGAAACATTTTTGGATATTCTGGTAGATATCACATTGGTTCTTTGTATTAATCACCTTTCCGAATCATGACTCTGATTTCAGGTCTCGTATGTGATCGAGGGCTTACTCTTGGAGATTTGATTGGAGTCCTGCATGATTTTTTCTCTCGTATAGGTAAAGAGTGTTCCATGATATCAGCCAACAGAAAGACCTTGGGGAGCCCCAGACAATGATGTGCAGGTTTAAGGTGGTCTTGGTAAATATGTATATTTGACGTACCTCAATTCTTTATCCAGGCATGTCGAAGCTCCGTTTCAAGCCTGCTTACAATCCATATACCGAACCTAGCATGGAGATTTTCAGGTAACATAAGTAGCTTTGTATAGCTTGTTTCGTACGGAATAGGGATCGATCTAGTAGCGGTGGTCTTCTTCGTTACAAGACCCAAGAGGTCTTCCGTTCAATTCCTACCTCTCCCTATTGCTTACCTTCGCACCCCTATACTTGGCTAAGCAAATTGTTTTACATTTTGGCCAGTTACCATGAGGGCCTTGGGAAATGGGTGGAGATAGGGAACTCTGGCATGTTCAGACCTGAAATGTTGCTTCCAATGGGACTTCCTGAGGATGTTCGCGTTATTGCCTGGGGACTCTCCCTTGAAAGGTAAATAGTGTCTCTTCATATTCTTGTTTGTGGCTTAATTGGATGATGAAGTTGCAGGGGTACTATCACATTGGGCGTGTTTTGATGTTAGGATAAATGCAAATGAAATTGATTTTCTGAAGTAGCTGCAGTTTTTCCAATTTCTTTCGTTACTATAGGTTTAGGTTAGGCTGCTTGGCATATTTGTTGCTCAAATCCTTTCATGTTTTGTGGTTTTTGACCCAGACCTACAATGATACTTTATGGGATTGATAACATCCGGGATCTGTTTGGACACAAGGTACGATCTCTCTTTGTTCTTCCCTTTCTCGAGATCTTTCCAGTGAACTGCCCCTACTATTGTCCATGTACTTTTGTCTCATGCAGGTTGATCTCGGTCTTATTAAGAGGAACCCGATATGTCGTCTTGGAATTGACTAAATTATGGGGAACTCATTTTTTGGGGCGCATTTCAATTCTACACATGTTCTTACCTTTTAGAACAAGCAGAAATTCTTACACAGGTCGAGAAGACCATTTCTTTTGTTAACCTGAACGTGCTATAGAAGCACCGTACTTCAATTTTAGTGGTTGCTAGTGAAAATGTGTGTTTCAAATCCTCTGTGCCTCTCTTTTTATCTTGCATAGATCTCATGCCGATGCCTGTGTGGTCATGTTGCTTCGATCCACGCATTGATACCGAGTTCAGATCCGCCCTTGATCGTCCCCTGTTAGCCGACGTGATGTCGACCCTGATGCCAAAACCAATTCGCTCTAATCGAATTCTTGCCAAGTTTGACTAGTTTGAGGATTTGAGGATTTGAACAGAGTAGAGGATATTTAGGCCCGATCCGCCCTGCTGAGGCCGTCCGCTCGACCCGGACTTATATGGACTATGTCTAATTGAATTAGAATTTCATTTTGGATATTAAGGTACGGACCCTACAAACGAACATCCTTGTCTAAATTGTACAAAGCTGGCGGCCTAGAATCCGAGAGGAATCGAAAGAGAAATAGAAAACTTCCTCAGCTCTCGAATTCATTCCCATTACGCAATCCGACAAAATCTCATGTCCAAATAGCCTCAAGAAACTTCATTGTCAATCTCACACAAAACATTAAAAAACAATATAAAATCTCGAAAAGTGTTCAAAATCTAGGTACAGAGGAAAAAACAAAAAAGAGTTCCGCCTTCTTATGCAAACTTCCCGTCATCCAAATTGGACGGATTCGACGAGTTTCAGGACGTGACTACATTCTTTGGAAATTTGGAAATTTTTGAACTCGATTGCACTTTCACGGCAAATTTCGAGGTCTTTGATGCACTCGTCCTCAAAGAAAAAAAACTACGTTCGGGGAACTCAAACGTCGGTACTCTTCAAATAGTAAGATTTCCTATATAAGACTCTCATCTCACAAGAAAAGGAGAAGACAGTTTCGAAACGACAATTTCCAGGCGTTTCGGACCAACATGTCGTGCGAGAACGGAAAGGAAACTCGTACTTAGAAAGCAAATTCTACGTCACAACCTCGTGGGATTTCTTTCGCTTCCAGACGCTTTGTGCTCGCGTCTAAGCAACAACTATTTTCACGTGCACATTTTGGCAAATAAGGACACGAAACATCATGATTTCTTCTTTTCCTATTTTCAAAATAGGCTCGTGACGTGTACCCAGTTGCCAAATTTGTTTGATTAACCAAATTAGCAATGATGATAAACATTAGGAATGGATAGATAATGAGGAATAATAAATGGAGCATATGGTATATACTATTTGCCCTTGTGCAGCCACTAGGGGTGTACCACTGAAATTCCCCCAAGTGTATGATGTGCCGCATTGAATTTTCAATCTTGAAATTCGACCATTCACGACTCTTGGGAGCAACAAAATATTGGGTCATTGCATGGCAATCCATCGAGTGGATAGAATCGTGAGAATTTGAGGAGCAACTTGAAATTTTACACGTAACAAATTTGCATGGGATAACAACACAAATGGTTTCTGAACTTTGGTTCAATGCGAAACGCCGTCCATGTACTTTTGAACAAACAGAAGGACTACATCAAACATTTACTAATAAGTCAAGGTTTACATGGAACAAATTAAAAGTCTAAAGACAACACTGCACATTGGACCAAAGTTTCAGGGACCGTTTGTATCATTTTACCATTTACATATGTATCAAAGAATTATCTTAATTCCACATTTATGTTTCATAGCCAATCCAGCACACGAACCCAATGGCCTCAAACTCTCGACTCGCGATCCTAGCCGGCCACAACAACCGAGGTCGACACATACGAACGACCTGTAACCGTATAAATATACACCGCCGTTACATCATTTCCATGATCTAATACGACATATCGTTTATCGATCAAATTACCCGAGAAAAGCACGAGGAATTTATCGGGACTCCAGTCTGAATCGATCCCTCGTTTCTTCCCTTTTTTCGTCGGACACACTTAGGGCAATAACTTCAAACACAGCACAAGGTGCTCTTTCAACTTCGTACCACGGGGAATCCTATGCCAAAATGATTGAATCCTATATTACTAGTATGCAAAACGGAAAGGAGCGAGAGAGAGAGAGAGAGATCGACTCTCAATGTGAAAACCTGGGCCATAGGTCAACCATTAACATTAATCATCGAAGCCAACAGCTAATGTCTCTTTAGTTACAACTGTCCGAAAACAGCAAAATGGGGCCGGTACCATCCTCCGCATGATGTCATCGTCGACATCATCGCCCAATCATACGGGGTTTTTTCCGGGTCGTACCCGATTCGAACATTGAACTCCGGCCGTCTTGCGCAACCTGGCCTCGCCCTCTTTTTCGTACAAGATGCCAAGCCCATTTCACACATGATGTAATCGTCATTATAGCAATTTTTGAAAGGGTTAATGCTACGAAAAGCCTTAAACTGGAACGTATGCGACAGAATTATCCCAAATTAACTTTTTTACTACAAAAAATCCAAAACTGGTACGCCAAATCATAAAAAACCCAAAACCGGTTTACTTGTGACAAATTTATCTCTTGTTAAATTGGATTAATATCACGAAAAATCACAAATTGATAAACTTGTGACAAACGGATGGGTTAAACTAGGGTTGATCGGTTCACAGTCCGATCCGATTCCAAGGTGGAACCGAGAATCGAGGACTGGACCGGTCCCCTAGGGTTTAGTTCACATTTTACTAATTTTTGTCAATGAATTTATGCCAACGAGGTTCACTTAAAGTTTAGTTCATATTTTAGAAATTTTTTTGAAGAAATAAAAAAAAGTACATGTAGTCGGTCCGATTTAGTCCGGTTCCCCATTGGAACCGGGAATCGGACCGCTTGGACACCGATTCCACTTTTAGGAACCGAGAACTGGATCGACACTTCTAGAAACCGGACCCAACCAGCCAGTTCGGCTCGGCCCGATCTGGGTGGATCCCGGTTTGGGTGATCCGTTTTGCACACCCCTAGGTTAAACGCCAAACCGGTACACCAGTCAACTGCCACGTGCCATCCAACTCAGCAATTTGACGGTAAAATTTAACGGAAACCAACAGAGGGTAAATTTGTCGCTGGTGTATCAGTTTGAGGCTTTTCGTGGTATTAACCATTCTCGAAATTATCATTAATTATTAGATTTTTATTTTTATTTATATATATATTTTTTGGGTGCTCGAAGTGCATTGACATCTGTCCTTGAATTGCTCATTTCGGGCCATAGTCAACTTCGAGGATGAGAAACGGAGAAAAAGATTGGGGGTTTGTGATTACGTGTTTTTGGAATTTGCTTCCCCATCGTTCATTTATGCCTTGCACTTGATGGCTCGAACGAGACATGTACGATGTGGTGCGGAAGCTAACGAAAGCAAATGAGCGACGTTGGCATGAACCACACTCCACGCCATGGTGTTGGGTCCAAACGTTGCGACCGTTCGGGCATATGACGATATTCGTTCAGTTATTCACCGGAGAGCCACGAGAATCTTACCGAGATGCGCAAAAAAGGGAAACACGAGTTCTCGAAATCAAATTTTCTTTTTGTATGGCTGGCATATTGACGTAGTTTCAATCTCGATACTGATATCTACCGGCCTGACCTGGTCATATGCGTAAATCACGTATTGTTGGGACTAGCGAATTCACGAAAAGTCATCTTATCTCGACCTGACTGCAAGAGCCCTAGCCGAGTTCCGACCTCTTTTCGACTTCTAGGTTGAAATGATCTTTTAACAGCTGGCATAGTTGAGTGGGGGTGTCAAGGGGATTTTGAGCTTTATGAATTTTAGGTTGCATATCTTCGATCCCACATCCGAGTGCAAACTGCCACTTGCGATGGCCACCTGCACAAGTGAAAGGCCTGAAATTAGGGGTGTCAAAACCAAACACAGTACCCGAACCGAAACACGAACCGACCCGATCCGAACACGAAATTTTCTTATTGGGTCGGGTTGGGTCTCAACTTGTTTGGGTAACAATAAAAAGAATTGGGTATTGTTTGGATCTATTGGGCTTGGGTACCCAAGCCCAACCCAAACAATAAGCCAACCCAAACAATTTTCAAGCTGAAATTGATATGTTCATAGAGTCATTGGTGCCTAATATATATGAATTAGTCGAGTCCCGCTGGGCGGTCTCGAGCCTACCGGGGCTAGGCTTCGTGACTAAATAGCCTCATCGAAATCCGATGACAAATGCACCTCGAACCCATTGGCTCGCACAAGCTCGTGACTACCCTTGGCCATTGCTGGCAAGACGCTTTTTTTTTGGCACTCGATTTTGTTAGTTTCTAAACCTGCATTATGTTCTTTTGTTGGGGGTTGACATGGCAACCGTGTGAGATCCAAGTGGCCATCGTGTTAGCAATTTTTCCCATTAAATTATTTAGATTCCAATCGAAACAAATTAATCGTATAAAATCGAGAACTCGATACTCTAGACGATGAAAATCAAAGTCCGGCGACCTAAGTTACCATCGAAGCAATTTACCGAGCGCGGGCTAAAAGCGCATACGAAAACCCCGATACTCATCCTTGAAAGAGCCTTATGGACTCAAATTCTAGCGTACGAAACAAGTTCCTTAACAATCAATCCATACATTGCACTCCTCAAAACGTCGAGCACCTCTAACCAAATTTAAAAAAAAAAAAAAAGCGGATCGTCCTCAGCATAAAATCAGAAAATAACGCAACCCAAAAATCATCAAAAAATAATAAGGAAAAAAGCCAAAACAGACACAAACTATGTTCACCGTAAAAAATCCTGAACTATGCCTACTGTGTCACATTAAACATTAACCATTAATTTAAGGTTCATATGGAATAAATTAAAAGTCTAAAACCAACACCGCGCACCTGACCAAAGTTTAAGAACCATTCGTTTCATGTTACCATGTACGTAGGTATCAAACAATTATCCTAATTCCACATTTATCTTTCATAGCTGATCTAGCGCACGGACCAAATGGCTTCAAACTCTCGGCTCGCGATCATAGCCGGCCACAACAACCGAGGTCAGACACGTACGAACCATCTGTACCCGTATAAATATACACCGCCGTTACATCGTTCCAAAAACCTGATACGACAGATCGTTTATCGATCAAATTATCCCAGAAAAAAACCACGACGAATTTATCGGGGTTCTCGTATGAATCGATCCCTCGTTTCTTCCCTTTTTGGTCAGCCGCACTTAGGGCGATAACTCCAAACACAGCACAAGGCACTCTTTCAACTTCGTACCACGAGGAATCCTATGCCAAAAAGATTGAATCCTATTACTAGCATGCAAAACGGAAAAGGGGCGAGAGACCATAGATCAACTATTAACATTAATCATCGAAGCCGACAGCTAATGTCTTTTTAGTTACAACTGGTCCGAAAACAGCAAAAATCGGGTCGGGACCATCCTCCCGCATGACGTCATCGTCGACATCGTCGCCTAACCGCACGAGGTATTTTTTCCGGGTCGTGCCCGATCCGATTTGACATCACCCGATTCGCACGTTGAATTCCGGCCGTCCCGCGCAACCTGGAGTCGCCCTCTTTTTGTACAGGCGCCAAGCCCGAACCGATACACTCGTGACGAATTTACCCTAAACTAATTTTTTGATCACGAAAAATCTCAAAGTGGTACATTCATGACAAATTTATCCTCCGTTAGTTTCCGTTAAATTGGATTAATACAATGAAAAACCCCAAACTGGTACACCTATGATAAATAAAGGTAAAATCCCAAATTGGTAAACTTGTCAACCGCCACGTATCATGCAACTCAGCAATTTAACTGTAAAATTTAATGGAGAGTAAATTTGTTACAAGTACCCAAGTTTGGGGTTTTTGATGATCAAAAAATTAGTTTGAGATAAATTTGTCATATGTGTATCGGTTTAAGAGTTTTTCGCGGCATTAATCCATTTTTGAAATTAGCATTAATTATTGGATTTTTGTTTTTATTTATATATTTTTTTTGGGTGCTCGAGGTGCATTGACACCTGTTCTTGAATTGCTCATTTCGGGTCAAAGCCAACTTCGAGGATGAGAAGCGGAGAAAAGATGGGGGGGTTTGGGATTTTATGTGTTTTGGGGAATTGCTTCCCCATCGTTCATTCGTGGCTTGCACTTGATGGTTCGAACGAGACTAGTACGATGTGGCGTGGAAGTTAACGAAACCAAATGAGTAATGTTGGCATGAAACGCACTCCACGCCATGGTGTTGTGTCCAAACGTTACAACCATTTCGGGCGTACGACGGTATTCATTCGAATTCAATTGTTTCGACACGGTTTCAATCTCGATACTGGAATATGCCGGCACGATGTGGCGGTACGCAAATTGCGCATGTCGGGACTAGCGAATTCATGGAGAGTCATCTTATCGCGACTTGGCTACAGGAGACGACGTCCGAGTTCCAACATTTTTCCCTAACTTCTAGGTTGAAATAATCTTTTGATAGTTGAAATAGTTGATTGGCGGTGTCAAGGGGATTTCGAGCTTGGGAATTTGAGGTCACATCTTCGATCCCACATCCGAGTGCAAGCTACTACATGCAATGGTCATATGCACAAGTGAAAGGCCTGAAATTGACAGATTTATAAAGTGGCCGCTTTAGATTGGCGTCTAATATATATGAATTTGTCGGGTCACACAAGGCTATCCCGAGCCTAGCCGGGCTAGGCTTCGTAACTATTAGCCTCATCTAAATCCGACCGCAAATTCACCTCGAACCCATTGGCTCGGACAAGCTCGTGACTGCCAGATCCATGATCAAGTTTAGTTGAAAAGTCGCCCCTTGGCCAGTGTTGGCAAGACGCTTTTTTTTTTTTTTTGGGCACTTGATTTTGTTAGTTTCTAAACTTGCATTATAGTTCTTTTGTTGGTGGTTGACATAGCAATCGTGTTAGATCTAAGTGGCCATCATGTTAGCAATTCTTCCTATTAAATTATTTAGATTCCGATCGAGATAAATTAATCGGAAAATATCGATAACTCGATACTCTAGACAACGAAAATCAAAGTTCAGCGACCTAAGTTACCATCGGAGCAATTTACCGAGCACGGTCTAAAGTGCATATGAAAACTCCGATACTCATCCTTTTTTTTTTTTATCGGGACGATACGCATCCTTAAAAAGAGCCTTCTAGACTCAAATTCTAGTGTACGAAACAAGTTCCTTAACAATCAATCCATACATTGCACTCCTCAAAACGTCGACCACCTCTAACCAAATTTAAAAAAAAGAAAGATGGTCATCCTCAGCATAAAATCAGAATAACGCAACCCAAAAATCATCAAAATATAATAAGGAAAAAAGCCGTATCCCGAACTGTTTTTTTATGGTATAAAAAATTTGCAAACTATTCCTACCGTGATGCATTTACATTAAACTTTTTGTCGTGACATATAAAATCCCGAACTTGTACTTTCACGACACATTCGACCTCATTCAAGGTTCTATCGAATGATTTTTCAGCCAAAAACAAGATCGTTCCATGTGAGTGACACCGTGTCATATCACCGTTTGCTTCCCGGCGTCCATGTGTGCAAGATATTTTCAACGGTTCCCATCGACGGTACTTTTGATAGGAGGTTAAACGTGTCGCCACGAGTACAAATTTGAGATTTTTGGTGTCACGGAAGATAGACATAGCTCGGGATTATTTTTTTTTTTGGGGTGACCTTTTTCCGCATTTATTCAATTCATTGAAAATTGGGCCATAACATGAATCACATGAGCGATCCAGCGAAGTTGTGGCTTTGGTTCGCGCTCGCGTCGCGAGATCTGAGCAGCAGCGATCATCGCCTCCCCACCACCGCCTCCACCACCACCGTATAAAAGCGGCCGGCACCAAACTCCGTCGTCATCATCGTCATCAATCATAACTCTCTCGAATCCTCTCGAGGCTTCCCGTCTTCTCGAACCTCGGAAGAGCGGAGGCACCGCGGGGCGCGCGATCCCTCCCTCCCCCCCCGATCTCGGTCATTGCGGCTCCTCGCCGGCGTCCACCGTTGCCCCGACGGCGGACGGGAGCGGCGGCGGCGGCGACGGTCGGCGGCTGAGTCGGAGGAGATTCGACTCGATTCGATTCCGATTGGCCGCGGGCGGCTGGCTTTGATCGGAAGATGCTCTACCTGAAGCAGCCGAGCTCGGTGTTGTGCATGGGGAGTAGTGGTGATAGCTGCGGTTCCTGTTGTTGCTCTTCTTCGTCGTGCGGATTGGTGGTAGGGTGGTGAACAGGGCGGAGGTTCCTCGATTCCCCCGGCGGTCTGGTGCATGCTCTTCTGATAGTTTCCCTGAGCCTGTGGCTCGGGGAAGGGCCTGAGCTGAGGGGAGGGGGGCGTGCGCTTGCGAAGGATGGCTCTGCGTGCCGAGATGGAGGGCTCGTTGCGCTCTCTCGACGCCTGTATGCAGAAATTCAGGCTCTACGAGACTCGATCGGTAAGTTTTATCTCTTCTCTCGTCTGGATCAGCTGATTTGCTTTTTGACTGAGATCTTCTCGGTTCGACATTATGTTGTTAGCTCTCGCGATGTTTCCTCGGTAGCTGTCGTCGCAGTGGCTTGGTTCTCGATCGTATCAGCTCGTTTCAGCTTAGTTTGGTTTTAGTTGCTGATGGTCATATTGATCGGGTCAGCCTTTAGTCGAGTGAAGCGGGTGTTAAGTTGGTTAGATTTGTTAATTACTTTTTGAGGAAATCGGATGAACTTCATTTCAAAGTTGATTAGCTGATATAGCATTGGCTCAATTGGATGATATCGGCTTCAGTTATTTAACAGCACGCTAGCGAGGAAGATGAGTGGTACAGGGATAGATAATTGAGCTCATTTTGTTGGAAATACGTTCGTTCTTAGCTTCTGCCGATTGCTTCGCGGAAATTGAGATACAAGATGGTCAGCAAGAGCCTAAAATTAAATCAGTGATCCCCCCCTTTTTCCTCTGTCATCATGAGAATTGTGATTTGTGGGTAGCATTTTGCACTTGACCATGGCAATTCAGTCTCCATTATTATAAGCAGCTTCTTGAAGTATTTTGATGCTGATGTACATGCTTGCCTGTGAATGCATCCAATTCAGATGTATTACGTGATTGTATGTGGAATGCATACTCTGTTGTTTTAGCCCTGAGTAGAAATAATTGTCTGCAAAACTTGGAATAGCTGCTTGGCATTTCTGTGGTTCAAATATCAAACCGTGAAAGCTTTTTCGCCGTCAAAATCAATAATTGCTTCCAGTGTTTACTTAGCTTCTGAGAACCGGTATGCTCATTTACCCCCTAAATTCTTATCTGGAAGTTGGCCAGCTAACTCTGCAATTTTTAAATGCTACAGATGTTCTACATGATAGGAAGGGACAAGAGTAGGACATATTGGAGAGTCCTGAAGATTGATAGACTGGATCCATCCGAGCTAAATATTCTAGAAGATTCTACCACTTATACTGAGCATGAATGTTCTGACCTATTAAGGAGAATACATGAGGGTAACATATCTACTGGAGGATTGAAATTTGTGACTACTTGCTACGGGATAATTGGTATGTGAAATTTTTCTTGTTATAGCTGCATTCGTCTTAACTGTCTGCTATTATCACAATACAACTCATTGTCATCTCATTACAGGGTTCATTAAGTTCTTAGGACCTTACTACATGCTGCTTATAACAAAGCGAACGGAGATAGGTGCCATCTGTGGTCATACTGTGTATGCCATCTCTAAGAGCGAGATGATTCCTCTTCCAAATTCCACTGTTCGTTCCAATTTACCAAATTCAAGGGATGAAGACAGGTCAATTTCTACCATGTGTTCACTTGTAGATCTCATGCTTCTTTTGAAGGAAATCGAAAAGAGACATTCCTCTAATTTCTGTTAAGACTAGCATATGCAATGTTTATGCTATGTTCACAATGTGTATATATATAAAAGTCTGCATGAAGAAGATGCATGTGCATTAGTCCATCTTTAGTAGTAACCTGACCTTGGTTGCCTGAGTCCTTGTAAGTGCAAATGCGACATGCTGATCTAGAAAATTATGTCTCACAGTCTATTTTTGGCCACTTAATTTTCTTTTTTTGTGTTTCTTCCTCTCATGTATTAGATACAAGAGGCTACTATGCACAATCGACCTCACGAAGGACTTCTTTTTTAGCTACTCATACCATGTTATGCGTAACCTACAAAAGAACTTTTGTGACGATGAAGCTGGGCACATTCTCTACGAGACCATGTTCGTCTGGAACGAATTCTTAACTCGGGAAATTCGGAATCACCTCAAAAACACACTGTGGACGGTTGCTTTAGTGTATGGTTTCTTTAAACAGGTGAGGAATTAGTATTGTCAAGATGATATTATATTCTAAGAATTGATGAGCTTTTTCCATTGTTGTCATTCAAAAATTTTATCGTGTTAAAAGCCGCCATTATTGGTCTTCTTTTGTGACTTTCATTTGTCCATTAAAAGGGAAAAGATGCTGGTTTTACGATTACTGTGTAGACTTTGGTTGCCATCAATGGCACCCTCCACCTTGTCCATGCTTTTAAACGATTCTTATTTGACTTTCTTATTCAACTCATACTGATGACTCGTGGTATTTTGATTCTAGGCTACACTTTCTGTTGCAGGAAGAGACATCACATTGACTCTTATTGCAAGACGTTCACGACATTATGCTGGCATGAGGTTGGGACTTTATACTGATGATATTTCGATTTTTGTTCCAAATTCTTTGAGATACCTTCAGCCATCTGTAACATATTTTAGGATGAGTTCGGCACCCTTTCCTCATATGCAGATAACCTTTCGCTGTTATCCATGTATCTGGCATCTATTTTATCTCGTTCAGTGCTCCTTCTACTTAACTCTTTAGGTACCTGAAACGAGGGGTGAATGATAAGGGAAAAGTAGCTAATGATGTGGAGACAGAACAGATAGTGTATGAGGGTGTCCCTGAAGGCCTTCCCGTGCAAATAACTTCTGTTGTCCAGAATCGTGGGTCAATCCCTCTTTTCTGGTCGCAGGAAACTTCCCGTTTGAATCTTAAACCGGATATAATAGGTAGGCCCTTGTACTTAATATGGTTTAGTGATGATGCTTATATACTGTGTATTTATGCTGACTTTTCCTGCATTCAGTGTCGAAGAAGGACCAGACTTATGAAGCCACCCGACTTCATTTTAAAAATCTTGCCAGCAGATATGGCAATCCTATAATTATTTTGAATCTGATCAAGGTAAGTGTGCACCTTTCTGTGTATAGAGGGTCTAATTTTTGTCGATGATATTTCTTAATGTTGTCGTTGTTTCATTCTTTTTCTTGACACGCCATCACGTGTGTGCGCTCTCTTTCTTTTATTCTTTCTAAACATGCTATCGACATTGCAAAGCGGGGGACCTAAATATGGTCAAGTAGCTAGCCTTTTACTTTTGCTTGATCTAACAAACGAGTGCTTTTACTCGATCATCGTCCCTTCATCCACCTCCCTATTAATTCTCATTGCTGACAGACGGAAGAGAAGAAGCCCCGTGAATCCATTCTTCGTGCAGAGTTTGCCAATGCAATTGATTTTATTAATAAAGACTTGCCTGAGGAAAATCGTCTGAGGTTTCTTCACTGGGATCTACACAAACATTCTCGGAGGTGAACATTTTATGAGCTCGAGTCATTGCCATTTTCTTATATTAATGTTCTTTCTTGTGAAATCTGATATATTCTAAAAGTGTTTTTCTCCTCTTTCCTCACAGCAAAGCCACAAACGTTCTGTTACTTTTGGGTAAAGTGGCTACTTATGCATTAACGTTAACAGGTTTCTTCTATTGTCAAGTATCACCAGCCTCGAGACCTGATGATTGTCTGAATCGGTCTTCTTCAGAGTAAGTGAAGGAAACATCTAAGTTACTTAAATAAGTGCATGATCAGTACTGAAACCATCATTAGGAAGACAGTCCTACTTTAAAACTTTAGCATCAATTTTTTTCATGCCAAAGCTTTTAGTTTGTAATATTTTCGCGAATGAGTGTGTATCATCTAAAACTGTATTATTTGAGATGTGATCTTCAGTAGTTCTGGCTCTCGTTTGGAGATACATAGAGAACAAGGATGTTGCCTTGCACTCCTTTTCTTTGCTTGGTTCTGGAACGTCCAACCTCTCACTAAAGACCTATTCCTTTGCCAAAACATAAATATGCCTTGTGGAGTTCTCTCTTTCATGTCATTTTATTGTATCACTTAAATGAGTAACTCTTGCTCCTTGCCTGTTTTTGGATGCAAACGTGAATTTTCTGTTTGTGTGTTTGTAAAGTTGTTCTTCACTTTATGAGCTGAATTTTGATAATTCCTCATTACTTGTTTCGTGTAAATCTTATAAATCCATGGATGGGTAGGATGCATCTTCAGTGTCATTCTCTGATGTATTTCGCCAATAGTTCTGATTTCCTCTTGGCTTGTAATTGGTGCAAATATGATGCAGGAAAGTTAATAATAGTGGCTTGAGTTCGATGGATCTTGGTGAGAACGGAAATGATGTGGGAGATCTTTTGGAGAGAAAACCTAGTGAAGGTGACAACTTAATAAATGGAAATCATTCTGGAAAGCCTTCAATGTTCCAAAGAGGGGTACTAAGAACCAATTGCATTGATTGTCTGGATCGAACAAATGTTGCGCAATACGCATACGGGTTGACAGCTCTAGGTCAACAACTTCATGCTCTTGGAAGTATAGACTGCCCCAAAATAGACCTTGATGCTCCTTTAGCTGATGAATTGATGGGGTTCTATGAGAGGATGGGGGACACACTTGCTCAACAATATGGTGGCTCAGCGGCTCATAACAAGGTACTATAATCTAAAAGTTGCTTTCCTAGCATATGGTCCAAACCTTAGAAAGGTGGTTCATCCTAGGATTTGTACGCATAGTGTCTGTTTGACTGTATTCAGGCATCGCTGAGATATTTGGAGGAATTTCCCTTTCAAATAGTCTCATCATCATTCTTTTCATTCTGGAACTTAGTCCATTTGCTGAAATTAACGAAACTGACTAATATGCATTATGCCATTACTCACTTGTGTATCCAATCTTGAGTGGTGAGGAAGAAATAACCCATAGACATTTTAAATTAACAATGAACTCAAGCAAAGATGAAATGCTCTTTGTCTTTTCTGCATCAGAATCTCTCTCTTTCTTTAAAATTGCTAACCCTGAAGTTTAAACATTTTGGCTTGTTTAAAAATTTTGAGATAGCCTTATCATGAAATTCTTGATTTCAAGGGGAACTGAGACAACTGCAGTATCTATATTGTGGTTTCTCATAGTTGCTCAAGGTTTTTATTAAGTCATGTTTGTGGTTAAATGCTCTCTACTCGTTCTTCGTCAACTTATATCCTAGTATTCTTTGATTACAAAATATTTCAAAAATCCAACTATTCAGAATATTATGGTTAAAATTTGTGAAGGATTTAGCTTTTGGCACTGGGTAATTGCTGCTTCTTTCATCTGCAAGATGTTTGTGGTTTACTTGTCGAACTTTGACATGTGCAGGTATTCTCTCAGAGACGGGGTCAGTGGAAAGCAGCCACTCAATCTCAAGAGTTCTTCAGAACTTTACAACGATATTACAACAATGCTTACATGGATGCTATGAAACAGGATGCAATTGATGTGTAAGCTTCTTTTAATATGAGTGTTTGGCTTTCTTTTTGCTCTTTAACAGGCTGGATGAGTTTGGTTAGACTTTTAGTCTCTAATGCTGCTGCATTGGATGGATTGTTTTAAGTATGTGGTAGGCCAATTGAATTATGCTTTCCTTGCTGAAACATGGATTCCTTGAGGCCTCAAGCAGGGACGGAGCTAGAACATTTTGGCTGTGGGTGCATTAACATAATGGTGAAAATTAATTTTAGATAAATTAAGCTTAATTTACTATATTCATCTCTAGGAAATGCGTCATACTTTAGAAATCCTACTAAACTCTAGGCAAAATTCCAGATACTAGACACAAACGTGAATCATAATGTGAATTTTTATGGATCAATGGTAATGGGTCAAAATTTTAGTGGGGTTAACATAAAAATTGACAAAGACAGTTAATATTTGTTTGGAAGAACGTATCGTAACTATAAAAAATATGAAAGTTAAGGGGGGCAACTGCCCCTACCATTGATGCCTTGGCACTGTTCCTGGGCTCAATGATAATTTACTTCAAGACTGTTCTCAGTAGTAAATCAGATGTGTTGGGGGTGTACTCAATGTAGCTTTCTTTTTTACCATTATTAGTGTACAGGCTGATTTTTTGCTCTTCTGGAAGAACTTCAATTGACGGGTTGTTTAGTCTTATGAGGTTTATGTCTGAACAATTTTGCCAGATTTTTGGGGAATTTCCTGCCGGAGATTGATAAGCCTGCAGTCTGGGAGCTGGATTCTGACCAACCCTCTGATTCTGCGAGGAATGGACAGACGGATGTCGATGAAGATGGAAGGTACTTGTATTTTGCTGGCCTAACACACTGAGCTTATAGATGTCAGTATTGGGATTTTGAATCGTATTTCATTTGATCACGTATCTGTTTTTTTTTTTGGGTTCTTAAGTATTGTAGATTTGATAACCACGTCTTAAACAAATCTATACTATGCTAAACATAGTGTTTTGGCAATGACCTACTATTTCTCATCACGAGGAGAAAGATCAAAAGTATACTAAAATGTAATTCTTCAGAAAAGTAGATTCTTAGTGGAATCTAATTCATTGTGAGAGAACAGGTAAAAATAGGGGATTGAGGAAGCCTGTGATGCTTTTTCAGTTAATTTTTTTTTGATCAAGTTTTTCAGTAAAATTTGGTGGATCAGTGTTCTCACAGCTCTGACTTTTGTTATCTGGTAAATTAGTTTGAATCGGTTGCTAAGACTTAAGGGCTATAACATTTCTAGGTCAATTTTCAAAAGATGCATGTCAGATGGGAATATTCTTCGAAAAACAAACCCATCAATGTCAACAACAAAGATCGAGCAGGAGAAGTTTTGTGGTTCAGTTTTACCTGATCGATCAGAGGGAGCAAGGAGAGTACTCAGCGAGTCGTCACCTGACATTTCAACCTCAGAGAGTGAAATGACATTTTCAAGGTTTGGCTATTTCATCTTTTCCTCACGTCTTACATTTCCAGCTAAATTGTTCAGGTGGTTAGGATACTACTCATGCACAACAGCCAAGGAGGAGTTAATTGGAATTTGCATTCTGCTGGCTGTGGATGCTAGATTGAGTTTGTTTTTATTGACTGAGCTGTGTTGTGAAGTGTGGGCTGTTCTCTGGTGGATTATACAAAATCTATGGTACTACATACTGTATCGCCATATGCCATCTGTATATGCCATCTGTTTTGTCAAGTTAAGGCATCTGAAGATTGTTTCCATCTTTTTATTTGTGCCTTATGGTAGTTGTTCTTTGAGGATTTTTCTCTTGGACTTTTTCAATAACCCTAAATTGTGACTTTATATTGTGGGATTGATGCTGGGACATTATAAATGTTGAGGCGGGGAGACGCTTTAGAGTGAATCTCTCTTCTTGAGGTTTTCATTTAATTTCAAAAACAAAATTAGTAAAATGACGAAAAAGGCCCTTTCTGAGAGCCATAAATTCAGGTCTTATCAATTCTTGCTTAACTTTTCTATTTTTATTTTTGATAGATAAAACGAAATTCTTTATCTGGGACTCGAACCTGGGTCTCTTGGGTGAGAGCCGAGTATTCTAACCAATTAGACTACTATGTAAGATTCTTGCTGTACTTAATATCAGGTATCGAGAATTTGAGGCTAAGAAAGTAAAGTTTATGCATGAAGAAGTCACTTGTATTGCTATGTAGATGCATGTCTACATGATCTAGATGGGATTAGAAGCTTTATGTGTCGTAATGATCCTCCTTACTATGTTGATGTGTTCATGTGTTAACTGTTCCACTTCCGCATGACTGTTTTTAGGGTCATTGTATCAAGAGACTTGTCTCATGTGGCATCTGTGGCAATGCTCTGATGGGTCTGGCTTGCACTTCATGTGCGATTCTGTGCTAGTTGCTAAATGACAAGTGGCAAACCGTAACTCCATTGACATACACTGCATGCTTACAATGCATCTTTGTTTAGGTACACCCCTTCAATGCCTCGGAGACAGCTATTTGGAGATGTACATCGAGAAAACAATCATATCTACTACTCTGAGTATGGAGATGCATCAAATTGCTCCAACTTTGTTGATCTAGATTGGCTCTCATCATCAGGAAACTCATGTGAGGAGGAGCCTTACGAAAGGTAAATTCATGTGATTGGAGCTTCAAGGTTGAAATGTTAGAACACTAGTTGGCCTTGCTAACTTGTAAGCGTGAAAAATACTGATTGATCAGTGGATTCATTATAAGTTCCTCACCTTAGAAAGGGTTATTATGGATGATATAGGCCACATAGGCCTACGTGGTTGTGCTAGACTTGCATCGCAAATTGCAGTATGTCAAAATTTCACAGCTAGGACTTCTTACCCATGTCTCTCTTTGGCTAACTTCTGGTGTCTTTTGAAGAGTTATTTCTATTTTGTTTTCACTCTGTGTATTGTTCTTGGTGTCAGACAGTATGGCTACATAAATACTTACTCTAACACACCGAATGTAAGGATGTATGTGCTCTCTTGTTATTACAGATGACCATCTATGACTCTTGGCCCATTTACTTTTCAAGTCGGATGTGATCTGAGTATATAGATTCAGTATCGAAGAACTATTTATTAACAAAGTTATCTATAGGTCATCAATACTCACAAGCTCTCCAGTTGCCGGATTGTCATCAGAGAATGTCATGTATGGAATTGGGGCGACCCCATCTACAAGTGATTCCAGCATGAAGGTCAGTGCCCTTCCTCAAGATTCTAGCAACAACTTTTCAGAAATCAACTCTTGTTGACTCTTACCGGTGAGACACCATTTAAATGTGACTTTCAATTATGAAGCATTACAGTAATAGGGGACAAATTACTTCTGCTTGCAGGACTCAAACCTGCTTTATGTACCTTAGCTTGAATAATGCACAGATGTTTAACTAATCTTTTGTCCAGATATGGTCTTTACTTCAAACAATGTAGAATTGATAGTTGTGCTCAGGGATGCAATATTTATCTGAAATGGATAATTTCCTTTGCCTCCACGTCAGCCTCCATTGAGTGGCTCTTGTTACACTGTAATTGTCCAACAGTTGAAAGTCTACTGAGATTACGATGCTTACAGTTTTTTTATATGGGCCTCTTTTGCGTTATTTATTATACCTTGAAGACCGATGAGAATGGTTAGCTATTACAAGAATTAAGGGGTCGAATTTTGAGTGTTCAAATTAAAGCTCACAACTTCATTGTAAAATAGTTTACTGGCATTTTATGTTAGTTTTATTTGTGTCAAATTTTTATGAACCTTCTGGAACATCAAATCAATATTGTGTTAGACAACTTTATGGGGTTCGGTTAATACTTTTATTTTATGACCCTAATCAGATTGTATCAACTTTTCATTTAATAAATTGGTTTGTACTTGTCTAGTGTCATAAATCAATTAATGGCTTGTAGTATGCTCCAGTTGGCCTAATTATTTCAATTCACTTGAGAGTTAAAACCACTAGCGTGGTAGTGCCGAGAGCCATCTAGAGTTAATCGTGAGATTTTTATTTGGAACAACCCCAAACACGTGCAATGGAGCTTGACAGTAAATCTAATAAATGAAATGGTCTAATCTACGGACAGCATGTACGAGCGTGGATGCACTTGGGTTATACCCTGCACCTATTAAACATATGATCAATTGGTAAACAGAAGTTCTATATTATTTGGAAATGCTAGTGTTTGCTTGGACTCTTTCATCTTAATATCGTCTCAGTGCTGATACTATCAAACCGATCCAACTAGTAGGTGATTTGTTTGGTCAGTGTTTAGTCATATACTTGACTTATTCTTTCTCGCGATGGAACTGTGATGGTCCTTAGAACCTCTCTAGCATGCAACGTGTGACGGGAGTTGTTAGTATTGTCCGGTTGAAAAGGGTGACGGGGGATTTGCTTTCTCTTGAGTTACTTATGCTTGTCCTTGCAGACAAGGGATGTTTTTTTTTTCATCATATTGTCTGTGAAGAGAACCCTTTTCGTGCCAGTGACCATTGCTTTTTTAGAATTTATCACGCCATTCCGTAGCAAGAAACTTTTCGACTTTGTTCTGAATGGCATAGCTATTACTTCTCTCTCCAGGTAAGGGAGCATACTGCGACTGAGCTATCGTATCATAACTCCCATAATTCTGATGTCTTGGAGGAATTTTCAGATGGCTTTGTACAATGGGTAACCTACGGAGAGGCGCTCTGCCACTGAAGCCCAGCTGATTCCCTCAAGGTTCTTCTCGTGTTCCCTTTTTTGAACTTGTTCCGATCTATACAGAGTCGATGCATCGAATGGAAGATATAGGAGACTGTATCACGAACAAAGAGGACTCGGGGCGGGAAAAAAAAGGGGGGGTGAGGGCGATCGGCTTCGGTATTTCCGTTAGTCCTCCTAGTTGAGTGACCTGATTGATTAGTACAAAAGAGTAAATAGCAACGGTTAGAATTCTTTCTGGCGCTCTTCATTTTCGCCTACTTAAAAATTTCATCCGGGAACTCGGTAGGTTCGAACTTGTAAATATCTATCTGCTTTCACTTTGTGAGCTCCACTTCTTTTAAGCCACAGATAATCGATTCTTTATTCCTTGATATGATCCTACTTGCACCTACCCGTGCCTTACATTGCAAACATTAGCCGTCAAGAGGTACTAGAGCCTCTACAGTTTGTCAAATCCTGTGATTTCTAGGCATATATGCATGTGAGTGGTACTCCCTCTTCATTAATGTAGCCGGAACTCTCAGTGTTGTGTTTTGCCATATGAGTCGACGAGTCATTTGCCGAATGATCTTTGTGGATGTTTTCCAAGACACGATATAAGAAAATATAGCGAGCCAATCTTCCTTTTCAGTCTACAGTGAAGTTGGCCGAAAATGAGTACAAGCCTTAATGTCTCGATCTGGTATGCTGATGGTCATCTGCATAGCGAATCATCGGTCTTCACCCCCGGAAGCAATCTGTTGAAGTCACGCTTGTGCATCTACATGTTACATCCCCTTTCAATTGTTCGAGCAACAAATTCGAGCAACACATGGCACATAAGAGTTGCGGATATCAAAAGCTGATGCTCGAGTTCGTGTTGTGGGTACAAGAAGTCGTTACCTTTGTTGTATGAGCATGTTCTTGTCGCAATTGGCTGCCAAACCTGTCGAGCTCGGACCTAAAAGCTCGTTCTTCGAAATACCATGACAGTGGGGATTCTGTTACCTTTGTTGTATGAGCATGTTCTTGTCGCAATTGGCTGCCAAACCTGTCGAGGTCGGACCTAAAAGCTCGTTCTTCGAAATACCATGACAGTGGGGATTCTGTCGACGCTACCTCGCTTTGCCTTGGGCGAAGGTTTGAACTCATTTGAATGACCTGATGCCACCGAAGGAGGGCAAAATTTTGGACCTTGCAAAGCTGGTGTCACTAGTCTCACGTGTATCCTGCAATCTTGACTAATCCATTTAACCGCTCACCCCGTGAGAGCAGAGCTTTGCTTTAATGTTCCCTTATCTAAATTGTGTGCACCCGTGACACTCCACTGAGCATCCAAAACAGAGGTGGCCAATTTGACAATTTCCAGAGCAAAAGATATGCCACTTTTTCGCAGCTAACCAGGACCAGCGAAGTTAATTCCTTAGTTTGGGCCGGGTTTTAGGACGAGCGAGTCTTGCGTGCATCCAGATCATATGAGCCCCATCCCGTCTCGACTATTAAATGTTGTTGGCTCTGCATTGGGCTCATATATCTAACGACTGAAATTAAGTGAATTAGCTTATACCCCGGGTGCATGTGCGTAATCTTTCGTTTTCTACACCCTTTTTCAAGCCTGCCTACACGTTGGTTTCCAGCCCCATTTGGTCAGGACATGCCTGGAGGGGACTACCGGGCGAGCCGCGATTAGGTCCAATCCAGCAAGCTAAGGACTGGCTAAAGTGGGCTTGTAGGACACGTAAAAACCACCCAGGTCCAAATGCTGGGATCAAGCCAGGATTTTAGGCACCGGGCCGGAGCCTGTCCAGCTAAAGAGAGAAACTGGAATTGTACAACAAAATGGAGAACATTGGCCCTTTCCTAGATCTCAACAAAACTGGGTGTGCGTTTGATTCGGCATTCAGAATGAGCTTTGGGGCTCTAAAGTCCCTTGGCCAAATACAAATGGCGTTTGGCTACTTTTTTGACTCCCTTTGGGGTGCTGCAATTGCATCTCCAAGACTCTCCAAAGGACTTGAGAACTTGAGAAGTCGGATTTTCAAAATGTAGAGCCTTGGTCTAATGAAAATTTCAAAACTTTCCATTTTACCCTTATTTATCAAGTATACTTCCATTTTTACCCCTTTTAAAACAAATCCTAAAAATCCTCGCTCTTGTCTCTTTCACTCTCGACAGATCTTTGCTCTCCACGGACAACTCTCTTCGGGTGCGTTTGGTTCAGTATTCTCAAGGGGGTTTGGGGGAATGCAAAGACCTTTAACACCTTTAGGGAAATGCAAATTGCGTTTGGTAAAAAATCTTTTGTGAAGTTACTTTGGCCCAAGTAATGTTTGGCAAATCTTATTTTGCAAAGGGCTTTCGGAATTTTTTTATTAAAAAAAAAAGCTTACCCTTCACCGAAGCCGGCGATGGGTTATGACCGCCGGCGAGCCAAATTTGGCACCGGCGGCCGTCGCCCAAGGTCGGGCGACCCCCGGTGAGGGTCGCGCGACCCCAGGCGACGGACGCGTGAGGTTGTGCAACCAAGGCAATGGCCGCCTGGGGTCGCCCGACCTTCGGCGGCCCAACCTTGGGCGACGACCGTCGGCGCCAGATCTGGCTTGCCGGCTGCCGTAGCCCATCACCCGACCCAGGCGGCCGTCGCCTAGGGTTGCACGACCCAGGCGGCCCTCGCTAGGGTCAGGCGAGCCACCGGGGTCAGGTGACCTCATCGGCCCCTCGCCGACCACCCTTAGCCCAAAGAAAATGAACAGTCATAAGGGGCAAAATTGGAATATTAAAGAATTAGTGATAGTAGTTTGGGAAGAAAAAAAATTGGATTCAGCATTTGCCAAATGCTGAAAGCTTAAAGCTGGTCCGAATCAGCCTTGGGCTTTCAGCATTCCCAATGCTGACTTTCGGCCGAAAGCTAATTGAAAATACTTGCTAAACGCCTTAGCATTTCCCTAAGGGCCTTTCGAGGCTGAAAGCCCCTTGGGAATGCTGAACCAAACGCACACTTCGCCTCTTTGCTCTCGACACCGCTTACTTCTCTTCTCTCATGCCTGCTCTCAACACCGCTAGCCTCTCTTCCCTAAACGTATGTTGGTTTTTACGATTTTTGGATAACTTCGTGTTGATCAAAACTTGAAAGGACATAACTTGTAAGAGCTTGATTCCTCAACGCCACTTGGCCTCTCTTCCCTAAACGTATGTTTTTACAATTTTTGTATAGCTTCGTGTTGATCAAAACTTGAAAGGACATAACTTGCAAGAACTTGATTCCTCATACTATTGTTTATTAATCTAGCTTTGCTCAAATTGGTTCCATATGTGCGTCTGCTTCCTTACTTAGCTTGGTATTCCATGTATTTGTAATTAGTGTTGGTATTATTACGCTTTTCAATTATAGTTTACCAAACAATATTTGCATCTCACCAAATCTCTTTAGGCGAAATGTCTTTACATTTCCCCAAAAGCTTTCCCTAAATGCTGAACCGAACGTGCACTAAGTCGGATTGTGCCAGATTCTTATGAAGGCCATTTTCCCAGACCACTCAACTAAATTCTTTTCAGTTGAAGCAGAGCCAGGCCTCACGGCCTCAATGGGTTGACCCACCGCAATGACGGGCGGGCCGGCTTCTAGCCTCTAGAGAAACTTGGAAGTGCTCATCAACGCACCAGAATGTATCTTGCTGCCGTTACTTCTCTGAAAAGTTAAAAACAGAATAAATAGAAATTCTAAGCATGGCCAGGAAACCTAGCAAAGTTTGCACATCTCCAAAATTTAATATTTCAGTGCAGTAACGTATGCGTGAAGCTTGTGTGTACCAATTCACGTCAAACATGCTGCAAAGCACACAAAAATTTCGAGAATTCCTGCTTTAGGTTGGATGAATCAACCCAGGATGGGGAAAATGCGGGTGATGTGCTCTAATGGAATGCTCTCTGCAGCGTTTTTCTTCAGTTCGGGATGATTGAACTCGTTCTGGGATATGAGGATCAGTTGACCTTTGCCCTGTCCCTTCTCCAAGGCCCAGCCAGAGTTGGCAACTTGGTGTTCAAGGAACTTGTCCAGCGATAGACCTTCTATATTGATAGCCTGTAATGCAATGCGCCAAATCATGAGCTTTGCTAAATGTATGCTATTAAGTGAATCGACCGACTTCCCTTGACTCTTAGATGGGTAGTAAGGCAAGTGAAAATAGCTAGGAATAAGTACTTGCACATTACCCAGTACATAGACCATCTATTCCCCTCTTACTTGCAAACTACATATTTTCTCTATCAATGCGAAAGATATGATTCCAGTAACATGATGCCTTTAATTTCTTTAGGTCCAAATTCTGCTTTCAACAAAAAGAAAAGTGGACTATGGATAAACAAAAGAGGTACACAATGGACAAGTACCTCTGCAAGCACGGCCCTGGGAACCTTTTGGTATGTCAATGACAATACATGAACAGCATATGCTTGGATTGCTTGTTCAAAACCTGCATTAAAGATTTGTAAGCTATTTGTGCATTGAGATATTGATAGGAAATCAAGAAAGTTATTAATGATAACAGTAAACTTAATACAAGTTCTCACAACATAGTAGAGCAGAAAGTCCATTGGCGACAAAGCCCACAGAAGCAAAAACTAAGGACCTTAACGCCCTTGAGACAGGATAGGAGACAATATACTTTGATATTATTGATCATTCTTTGATTTGAACTTCTAATAGCCAAGAATCAATAAGAAAGCTAAAAGAAAAGAAAAAAGACAAGGAAAAAAGTGATGACTTCTAACCAAGAAAGATCCAAATCTGGCATCGCTTGAGTTTCCGACAACGGATGTGGTCTGAATTTCTGAGCAGAAATATATGTAAAGCTAAAATTTCATAATTAGATCCTAGACAAGAGGTAGCTTTCAGATCACTGGTAGTATTGGCCACATTTATTAGTCCAGAACGTGAACAAACATTCATATAAAGCCATTACCAAAGTAATGGACAGTCAGACCAGAGATAGATGGCTAAGCCAACTGTAAAGGAAAATTGTAAAACGTAGGCGACAACTCGTCTAAATTATGCATTAGATGCATTTCTTCTGTCAATATAGAAGTCATCTCTTTGCAAATACTATTCCAGCTTCTTATTTGAGAGCTAAAACTTTTACCCAAGACAGTGCTAGCATCCTCAGCCAAATTGCAGCAAACTAACGCCATAGATGGAATAATTCATTCCTGTTCCATGACTCCAGTATGCGTATTGGAATCATCAAATATGCACTATGTATGACTCTTGCCCATTTAGGCTCTTTGATTCTATCAATCATCAATTACAATGCCTCAACCAAAACTATGGACAATGATAGTAATAGTAATGGTCACAGTATTTTCATAACTATAAATCCAATGAAAACAAAGGAAGTTGACCACTATATACAGAACACAACACTCAAGTGCAGCACCTCAAGTCAATTACCTGGCACAACTTCAACCAGATGACGACTCTTAGCCGCCTCCTCCCAGAACTGACGAAATCTTCCTGTCTGCATATAGGGGGATAAGCATTGAGCAATAGTCGATCTCTCATGGAATTCATGAGAAAACAAACTTACTATAGACATACCTCCAAATAATGCGAGAGGACAATCAAAGTCTTGAATGGATCTTCCATTTGCTGATAAATCAACCAGACATAAGAAAAGGAATAATTCACTACACAGCCCTAGGATACAGTAAGGTTAACCTAGACTAAGAACAGAAGGAAACTTTGAGAAGGGAAGATTCAGGAAAAGTGAAACCCTTCCAACATAAAGGGAAACAAGCTTCCGAATAGATAAATTTATCACTGCAAACCAACTGACCCTACACATACAGTCTTTGCTTACAGAAATGTCTAAACTTCTACAAATCAAACGACACGGTCCCAAAGGTCGATTATACCATGAGGAAAAGGAATAGAAGAACCATACCACTCGCTCTGGAATCAAGAAGAGACAAAGGCTGAAATCCGGAGCTGGCATTGCCATGAGAGCCTGATCCATATACGAAAACAAAGGGAGAGATCATTGGAAACGCATGGCATCGCAAAGCACAATACAAGAATATATCGGCGTCTTGGCGAGTTGGACCTTTATCAAGATGCGAGCAACGATTTGGGAGCTCATCTTGTCAGGTTCAAACTGCAAACACAGGACAACATCAGCCGTCTACTAACAATTAACAACCGCAAGAAGCAAATCAGGACAAGCTAACTAATCAAATCATCAGCCTAAAAGTTCAAAAAGCTCAAATCACCCCGGCAAAAAGAATCAGCATTTATTACGGTAGTGACCTCGCCGCATTACCTGATAAAGGCGAAGGAGGCAGAGATTTGCATCCAAGCTGTAGGTCTGCGACGAAACCTGCCAAACCCAACATCGATATTAGCATCCCGCTAGTGCTCTCCGCAACCCTGAAAAACAAACAGCTTCCCCGCGGCGCGGCGGATTTGCGCGAGTCACCCACGTTCCAATTCCATCTGACCTCCGTAAAGCACAAGCCTTCACGAACACTCGCGCTTTTCTTTTTTTTTCACAAGAAACTCGACCCAATCCGACCGCCGCCGCCGCAACGGCGGAAAAACCCAAACCAGCAGCAAAAAACCCGCCCCGCAGGACGATTGATTCGTTCATCCGGCCGACGTACCTGCTCGTTGACGTGGTTCTCGAGATCCGGAAGGATGTCCGGGTTGTAGGGGTTGAGCGCGACGAGCTGCTCCACCGTGTACGAGACCTGCTCCCTCCCCATATCTCCCCGTCGCCGACGCGCCGGCCACGGACCACCGTCGATCGCGAGCTCTTCAATCTGACCGGACGATCTGCTCGAACGGAGACCCTTCGGAATCCGATTTCGGTCGCCTTCCGTCGTCTGCGTCGGCGGTAATCGAAGGCGGCGAGGACGACGCGACCAGAGAGATTGGAGAACGCAGCGAGGAGGGAGCGAAAGGGTTTAGGTTCTGCTTCTTCGGTTTGCGTGGCGGTGAAATGACGCCTTTGTCCCCCCACGCTTTTCTCATCTCAATATTTCCTTTTTTCCGGAAATTTTAGAAATTCCTTGAGCATGACGATGAACAAAATAAGATTTGAATTATTTTCGTTTGGTTAAATTAAGGATTGCAATTAACCGTCCTGGTTATTCTTTCAATAATGTCGATAAATTTAATCATCTATATAGTTTGGTAAATTAAGGATTGTAAAAGCCATCTTTGTTAGTCTTTTTCCCAATCTACTTTCACGTAAAAGTAAATTCCTATTACACAATCAATAACGCGGTACAATTACAAATTTAAAAAAAAAAGACGACTTGAAAAATGGAATAGATATAAAAAACTCCCGGTGCACGAGCATTTTAACCGGTGATGCTAAAATTATTCCACATCAGAGTGATCAAAACACCAGTTTTGACAATATTAGGTACATCTCTCGTTAAGCCTAACATCAGTAATCAAAAGAGATCAGTTAACCAACTAGGAGCAGCATCAGAAATTCACGAATTCTTGCCGCCGATCCTTTCAGTTCCAGCTTAAGTGTCGGCGCGCTTTCGGGCTTCTCTAAGCACGCGCTCGATCTTCGCCTCGTGGAACGAACCTCGACAATCTCCTGCAATCATCATCATCCCCACATGAAAGGTTGGCTTACAGATGCAAGAGGTTCGATATCAAGTTCCAGCCCAACCAGGACTTCTTGTCATTTGGGGAGACAAAGTTGAGCTGGAACATCTCCTTGCTGACGTGCTCGCCCGACTCGCAGAACCCGACGAGCTTCGCGACGATCTCCGCGCTCTCATGCACGTGCTGCATGTTGTAAGGGTCCGTCCACAGCCGGTTCACCAGCTGCAGCCTCCTCTGCTTCCCCACTGGCGGGATTTCCCATTTCACGTACAGCATCTCTCTCTCCTCCGCACTCAGCTTCGAGCTGACCCTCTTCGCCAAGTACTCCCTCTCCTGCTTAAGAGCCTTTATGCTGTGTAACAAGAACATAACCCAAGATACATGTTCAATGACTCAACTATCATGCCATAACATATCAGAACTATTGGCATTTGTGCAACAGATTTGCTAATGCAAGTCGATTAGTTTAGTATGTAGTACTTTCTTTCGAAGTATCATTATAATTCTTTGGTAAAAAGAACTAAATGTTGTATCGTATGCGTTTAGAAGGACTAATTCAGATACTTGAGAACATACCTTGACGAAACAGATCCGGCCGGTTCATCACCCAACAACGCCGGGCTCGCATTGCCAAGCTCTGCCAAATGTTGCTCCAGCCATGTCAACCTTTTGAGCTCAACCTCCAAGTATATCTGATCTGATGGGTCCCCTCTAAAGAGCAAATAGAATTGTGTGCGGTGCACGATCGAAACATGGCACAAATGCCATAACATGATGATCTGCTTTCTCTGATCCTCGAATATCAAGGGCCATGGCTGGGGAGACTGCTCTATTGTATCCGCCCCGTCCATAGTTGTCCCATTTGTTTCCAATTCCAACACCTACCATATAAAAAGAAAATGTTTATCCCCCAGCTAAAAATCTATATTAATCGCCTTACAAGGAGAGAAAAAAAAGAAAATCACAGTAAAAAGGCTACTCTTGCTGATGCACCTCCTCATGCTTTTTGTCTCATTGTTATTCACTTGCCTACCTCAATTAGCACTGTCCAAATCACAATGCAGTTCACACAGATGCAGGTGCAAACTGAACAAATACACCAAGATTGAAGGACAAAAATGTAATTCGCTCTACAATTGTTCATTGAAAATGTAATCAAACAGATATTCAGATACCATAACTCTGTCTGAGATTAACTGCTTGCTGGTAGACATCACATGCTTAATGTGAACAACGGAAATTATCTTAATCAACTTTGAACTAACAAAACTCTATATCTAAACGTAACTTACCTGACAAACTAAAAGCTGCTTCTGATACTGAAGCTTGACCACCCGCTCTTTTAATTCAGTGACATAAGCTTTAATGCTCCGGATGTTCTCCTCAGCAGCATTTTTGAACATTTTCTGCATCTTCTTCACATTAACTGATCCTGATTTTCCCGGGGTCGGAGTTCCCTCTCTTGACGAGATATATTGCTTACTTGCATCACTTATTTCGCTACTGGGAACATAAACATTTCCGTCAGGAGCCTTGTTCTCAGTTTCATAATCCATCACCTTCCGAGAGGAGGACATTGGTGAACATGGTGACCTAATAATGTGTTGGATGTTTGGACTGTTGCTCAAGGAGAAAGGATGAGACCTCTTCTTCTTCGATTGGGTCTTGTCCTCTGGAGACCCAGCACTAGCCTGAAAAGATGAAACAAGCTTGTCTATTGATTCCTGAACACATTCCAGCTTCCTTTCCAGCATTGCGATGCTGTTCTCTTGAGAGTTTAGTCGAAGGATTTCTTCCTGCAGATTGGCCGTCTCTCCAATCTTGATACCTTCAGGAATAGAGTTGACTACTTTCATGTCTTTGATTTCAGAAAGTAGCTTTGCTATGTTCTCTGCAGCCTCTTGACTTCCTAATCTGTGGGAAGCGATCTCTTTGTGGAGTATCTCAATTGCTCGGTTAGCCTCCTCCCCGAGCTGCCTTTGGCGCTCTTCTATTTTCCGAATTTCATGTACGAGCATGGAAGGGTCAATTGAGGTAATTGACTGCCTCAGTGTCGAATGCCCCCCAAATGCATTTCTTGGTCGAGTTACAGGAGTAGATCTACCAGGCCCTGTTTCCATCTCCACTGGAAAAGAAAGACACCTAACTACCTGACTTGAAGGTCCTTCTTGATTGAGGCCCTGAAGTTCGACAAGGGATAGAAAGAAGAGTTTTGCTTAATATAGACTTCAGTCACAGTCGTGTGGTGGTATAAATACGTCAAACTTCTCCTCTTAGACAGAGAAGAACTGATATTGAGATTAGAGTTTTACCAAGAGTTGGCATTTCTTCACTTACCTCTGTCTATTATGATGTTTCCCCCACTAATTCTTACTGTCTGATATTGGTTCATTTTTTATGATTCCTGATCACAGAACAAGATTCTGCACGTTTATAGTCAGCAAAGTACCTTGCGTTCCTTATGCTGTGTTCTTTCTACTTCAAGCTGGGACTGTGCTAGATCTCTCTGGCGCTTGAGCTCTTTCATTTCCCTCTCCATCTGCATATTTAAAGTTTCTTCTGGTAAATTCAATTTATGTTCCAACTCTGGTGATATGAGCATAAAACCAGCTACTAGGAAGAAACTCATGCACAGTGTTCAAAAGCAAAGTTCTCTTTGTGCTCACCACACAACTGTATTGTTAACATGAGAAGTATTGCATCATACTTGTATGAAAGCACCTACCTCCTGGATTTTCATGTCCTTCTCCCTCAGTAGGGCTGTTAAACGCGAAGAGGATGAAAGATCTGGACTCCGCAGCTCTGCTTCAAGTCTGGCCACTTCCTTCTGAAGACGCTTCACCAACTTTTTCTCAGATATAAACTGAATACAAAATATGCCTATTAGCAGCAAAGAAAGGACCTAACCCAATTATGAGCAGAAACAGATTGGACAATCACGCAAGCAATCTGACTATCAATGTCACACAAAATGTTTTTACTCTCCCTGGCAAACTTCATTGAACTCCTAGAGAATGAGCAAGTGTCATATGATGAGAGGTCAATTGAGCTTTGTTTGTGAGGTTTTCAGAAAGAAAAATGTCTGAGCAGGTTGATGGACACATCTCAAATTGTAAAAACTGTTATCTCTTGGGTTATCAAGAAATCCTGAAGTTGCGGGTTTTCTATCGGTCCATCAAGTTAAAAAGTGGTAAAAACTTGTATAACCTTTGCTACCTGCAAAATGACTACCCTTTATACTATTTCTACCAAAAGAGTGACATACTTTCAAAGAAGCACTGATGATAGATATTGCGTTCTTAACTCTACACTGGAACTGAAAGTCCAGCAAAGGAAAAAATCTTAGAAGAAACTGACAGATCTTGAATGATCTTCCATGTTACTTATCTTACCATGTTTACTTGGGCTGTGTTGGTGACTTCCTTAGCACTTGTTGCAAAAGAAAGCGTGTTTTTTGACTGCTCTACGTGACTCAGAGCTGGACTCATGGTACAAATTATTGCTGTTCGAGCATTTCCTCCAAGGGAGGGCTGCAGTATTCTTGTAAGCTTAGAATCTCTGTATGGTATATGCCCACTCCTTTTTCCAACACTGCATGGATATATTAGCATGAGATGAAGTCCAATCAGATTTACATTTGAACAGTGGTGGACTGCAAAAATGATTTGAATATGAGAACATCATGTCACCACATCTATCTAGATTATGATTTAATAAAATCTTATTCCAGGATTGATGTTTTCCCCAAGAAAATAGACAGCTAGTACGATTTCCCAAGGAGAGTGAAACCATCCTTTGCACCTCTTAGACGATAGGATACTTAGTTGGAACCACATGCATCATTACTTTCACTGTCAATACTATGCATTATTTCTGGGGAGGTAGCAAGTTAACACTCATCCCCAAATTACAAATTCCACGTGATGCCTTTAATAGCTGGATTCTGGAACAGCCATTTAAGTCACGAGGGTATAGGTTGGCTTTTCCTCATTTCTGAGCTTCTAATTGTTAATTCACTTGAGGTATTGAGAAGTGAACAAGAGTTAGCTCATCGATGAAAACAGGGTGGATGAACTAGAATTACTATCACAATTACGGGTACTTCAAAGTAAAATATCCCTAAGACAGCCATTGCTTTTAGGTTTCACCATTGACAGTTACTGAAAACAAGAAAACGGTAAATCTAAGGCCAAACTATGACTTTGGAGTGCTTTGATGAATGAAGATGTAAGATATCAAGCTTTTCTCATCTACCTTAGCTTTCTAATGACATTAGTTAATGTAAGCAAACTGCGGTTGATATGACTGCCTTCCTTCAGTCTTGTGCCACCTGCATTTGTTTGACATGCACGCTCACTTCCAGCGAGGTCCACAAGATTCTGAAAGTAAATAAGCTCGTCTGTTCAACTCCAATTCTTTCGATCAAAAAAACAAAATAACTGAAGATGCATAAGGCATACCAAACTGGCAATGAATGACTTCACACACTCTGAGTTCTCTCTGAGACTGCTCTCAATCGTCTGAATCCAAACAAAAATCCACGACAAGAAGACAGTTAGTACTGCGTGGAAAGTTAAGTTCAGGCTAAGGTTTCTCCAGCAACTAAAAAGCAAAATAAATTTGCCGGTGTCTATAACAGTGGAACCAGTCATAATTATTCGAGTGAGAGAAAGAATGCTATTCAACAAGTGGAAATTGACAGCAATAAAATTATGATGAAAACTATGATCTCGAACAAGCAGATAAATTAAGATGAAATCACAAATATATATGGAGTCATACCAGCCTAATTATCTGATGAGATCTCGAGCTTTTATCATTTAGAGCAGTTTCTCCAATTTGCCTTTGAGCTGAGGAATTAGTACATTAATACATTGTGCCAATTTAAAAAGAGAATCATCGACTTTATCCAATCATGCAGTGCATTATGTAGGCTCAAATAATTGATTATATAAAGATAAAAAAAGTACGAATAGATGAATAATTTGTTCGATAAATCTTTATCAAAATGATAGAGGGTTATAAATGTCGGACGGTTCTCTCTCCTCCACGAACTCAAAGTGGGCTTGACTTTAGAAAAGCTTCTTGATGGAGAGATGATTCGACACAGAGCTAAACCCCAGTAAATCAAGAAGCTTCAATTACCTTCACAAATACCAATTAAGTGATGCAAGTGTTGACTGTCCTTAACAACTACTTCAGCTAATTTTTCCACAATGGTCCCTTTCTGTATTGCAAAACAAAGAGAAGGAGAGAGAAGCAAATTCTGAGTAAAACATAGGTACTAATGCATCGTACTGTTTTAGAAAGGTTCCTTGCAGACAAAATAGAAACATTTGAGTACCTCAGGATCATCGAGGAGCCGAAGAGGACCAGAATCATGATTCAGAAGGTCTGCAACACTTTCATTGTATATCTCCAATGCTGAAACCTTCAGAACAAAGTCTCTCTCCGGGTTCTGAAAGTTTGATTGTAGAGTAAGTTGGTTTCCCGCTACGGCGAGACTATATTTCTTCAGCAGGAAAAACGCTTGATAAATTTCTATTGTTATAATGAGAAGTACCTCCTTGATGTGTTCATAGATGTCCTTGATAGCATTCTCAGTGATTCCTCTCATGGTGTATGTTTTCCCGCTACTGGTTTGCCCATAAGCAAAAATAGTTGCTGCAACAATTGGAAAATGTCTAATTCTAGAAACAAAACAATTTGCATTAGATTTTCATGTCAAGGTATTAACTACTAACTAGTTCCATACAATTAATTCCTTTGAGGGCTGAGAGGGCAACATCTTTGGCTCCTTCTTCATACACCATGCAAGTCGAACTTGTAGGACCAAATACCCTATCTGCATTGTAAACCAACATCAGAATCAGATATCAAAGAATTCCCAGGTTGTCTCACGTCACATTAGTTTACTTATCCACATTACTATCTGGAAATATAACTCTCTTTTGCAATTATGGTAACTCCTTAACGCAAAGATCCTAGTAACTAAATTTTGGCAAGGAAATAATCCACAAACATAAATAGACGCTTCAACAGTACCAAATACCCTATCTGCATTGTAAACCAGCATCAGAATCAGAAATCAAAGAATTCCCAGATTGTATCACATCACATTAGTATATTTATCAACATGACTACCTGTAAACATAACTCTCTTTTGCAATTATGGTAATTCCTTAATGACAAAGGTCTTAGTAACTAAATTTTGGTGAGGACATAATCCACAAACATAAATAGACACTTCAACAGTACCAAATCCGTAGGAAGCTGCACCACGTTCTTGATTGGGATTCTTGTAAATGATAATGTTGTCATCAGCGCATTCCCATGCAATCAGGTCGTACAATGCTTGTTCTCTCCGACTTAAAGGCCTCAGACGGACGGTGACAAATATCTTCTCCTCTCGACGTGGTGCCCCCGGTGTAGATGAAGGGGTTCTTCGCACCTTAGAGGATGGCGTAGCTGGTGCCCTGTCAATCATGTTCGCTCACTGCACCCCGCACTGAAAAACTGCAAAATTGTTTAGGCTAATGGACGGCGTAAGTATCACAAAGTCTGTCATGACAAAGGCACTTGTGTCGCAGGGAACAGGAATCACCGGTGACCGCGATAAGTCTCACTTTTAGAACAAATTTCTCTGTCTAAAGGGCAGTGTAAATGAAGTCGAGCTCTGAAAAGGCTGTATTATATTAATCACGGTTCGCTTGCAGTATTTGTTTCTTTAAACAGATATAACGATGATTTTACAATAACTGCGATTCCCATTGTAGGATCTTCATCCCATGCAGCCCGAGGAATAGCTGGAAATCACATTGTCACAATGCGAAGTCGTATTCTTCGCATTCTTAAAAAAGGCACACCCTTAGTTGCTAACACAAACAGCGCTGAATTCGGTGGGAACGCTCCGATTACCACACGGCATAGATCAATCAGCATAACCGTCCACACCTCCCCACTTCACAGTCCAACAACAAGCTGAAGAACTAACTAGCCAACCTAGTCACAAGCCCTCGGGAAGCGATTTCGCTAGTGATTCCAGGACTAAAATCCATCGATACGTCACATCATCATCAGCAGATTCGCCCGAAAGCGAAGAAATCCGGACGCAAACGAATCGAAGACAAAACACCGACGAAGCAGCCGTGCACTCAAGTTTTTCATATCAAACGATTCCCCCGGAAAGGGCGAGAAAACGATTCATCAGATGCGTTCGCTTCCACGTTCCACGAATCCTTCATCCACACGCAGCAACAAAAAAGAAAAAAGAAGGAAAAAAAAAGAAAAGAACACCTGAAACCACCGGAGATGGAGACGCGACGCGACTACCGACGGAATCACGGCAGGAAAATACGCAGACCAGGACCGTCACCGGCGGCAAATCGTCCCGGCGACTGAATCGGCCACGATCGACGAAGAGAAGAGAGAGGTCCGGCAGAGTCGAAGAGGTCAGCGAACGAACTGCGGGAGAGGGAGAGAGAAATGAGCGAGTCGGCGAAATAACGGCTATTTTTGTTTCTAATTCTTTATTTATTTCGGTTCCGTTTTTTGAGTTCAGGCGCGGCCCGAAGGAAATTCCTCCTTTTTTAAGACCCCTATAAAAAAAAAAAACAAAAGGAAAAGAGAGAATTCGTTGCACTTATTTTGAATTGCAGCCATTTGATTTCGGGTCACGGGTCGGACCCCGCATTTGATTTCGGGGGCAACCCGGATTCCATCGCTCGTGGCTTGATTACATTGGAATTTCACAATTTTGCCTGCCAAATATCGGAATCCCTAAATCTTGATATGAATTCGGTACATTAAAACCATGCACGTTACCGATCTTTGGATACAATAGGCTTCACGCGAGACTTTGAGTCTAGGACCGATGTTCTCGATGTGTAAAAAATGAATGGGACATGTAAGATTTATCATGCCAAAAAAGAAGCATGCCCTACACTTTTCGATCGTCTTCTTCGATTTGTCTTGGTCGAAATTCGAATCAATCGAAGAGGTCGACTCGATTTCGATCGGGGTGTGAGATTTCCGCAAGACAACGTACTGGAAAAAGATCCCGATCATCAAATTATAAGGATGTGGAAAGCAACCCTAGATGAAAAATTAACTATTGATCAGTTGGTTATGTTCCATGGTTACGCGCCACTAATCGAGGGCATTTGGTGTGTGATAATCTCTCTTCATGTATATCCTCCTTGTGAAGGCTTTGTTTGGGCAAGTATTGATACACCGAAGATGGGCCTGCTTTATCGAGTCACTGTGCATTAAGCCCAATGACAAAGGTGGCCCAACTCCGTCGAAGATGGGCCTACTTTGTCGAGTCGTTATGCACTGAGCCCAATGACAAATGTGGCCCAACTCCATCCCGTGCCATTTTCGGTTTCGAACTCGTTCAATGTTTCTTATTTTAAACATGCACACTCCCACTTATTTTTTATACGGTAAAAAGCATGTCCTCTCTTCTTTTCCCGCTTAATTAGAAACCCCGTCTTTGAACTATTGCAAAATGTTCGATCAGGCCTTTTCGACTTTTTCTTTGTGCAATTGAGTCATTAAACCATACATTTTCTTTTGTTCAGGTTAATCATTCTGTTTCTGGCCAAAAAAAGAAAAGTCAATCCTTCTATTAAATTTAGGAATGGAATGCTGGGGGACAAAAATCTAAAAACCCTAACCAAGGTTCACGGCATAGGAGAAGGGAGGGCTCCTCGGCTGGGGTAGGTGATGGTGGCATGTCGATGAGGCACAGCGAGGGCAGTCGAGTGCTCGATGACGTTAGGTGATTGTTGTGTGGCCTCCGTCGCCCCCAATCCAAGCAGGCGCACGCACGCACGCACATAGAGCGAGAGGGAGACACATAGAGAGAAAAAAAAAATGGTGGTGGCATCGTAGCCACTACTTGGTCCGACATGGCCGGGGTCACACGACCCCCATCCCAAGTGAACCCAGGCAATTTAGATATGGCCGAGGTTGGTTGACCCCGACTTCACCTTGCCGAGGTCACTTGACCGCAATGGCCCATTGCCTTGTTTCCATGATGTTCTCTCGCACCCCGGTTTCCTTATGTTCTAATCGTTTAAATTAATTTTAGTTTTATAATGTTTTCTTATTCCCGAATCCTTTTTTCATTTGTGAAATATCAAGTCAGCATTTGACGGTAACTTAATCATCACGTCAGTATTTCTGTCCACAATTTAACAGAAGAATCAACTTGAACAAAAAAGTGTATAGTTTAATGACTCAATTATACACTAAACACGTGCACTTTTACGAGTAAGAAGATATAAAGAAAATCAATCAGCAATCCTTGAGCTAGTTAAGATTATTCACCAATAATAAAGAAAAAAAGAAAAACCTAATAGATCTTTTACGTGGCTTCTTATGTTTGAAAAGGATGGGCAACATAACCCATAAAAACTCCTGGATCTTAGAATTCGTGTTGAATGTGCAAGTTTTGTGACATGCAATCAACTCTCTAAGATCTCGTGAGTTTTCATTAGGGTTAATACCACAAAAAATCCTAAATTGGTATATTTACAATAAATTTGAACTAATTTTTTGATCACGAAAAATCTCAAACTAGTGGGCTGAATCTTCAATCAAGTGGCTTGCATCCGGATTATCCGTTTATTCATCCTTTGTCTTTCTCCCTAGAAGATGAATGTCCGGAAGAACTGAAATGGTTTTACTGGTATGCATTTAATTGTCATACTTTTGTCATTCAATTTCCAACAGTAAAGATGCCAAGAATTATCAGCCAATCAATCCGAGAAATCGGTCATGGTGGAAAATACCATTATTTTGCGAAATTGCTTTATTGGTTTAAACCCTTGGCAGCATGGAAAGGCTTTTTCACAGAGTAACTTAGAGTATGCAGGCCAAATCTTGAGCTACATACAATCGTTCTCTTTTATAGGCCGTGGATATTTGTCAAGCCTAACAGCGATGTTTCTAGATACCCGGCGGATGTAGGAGTCACAATCTACTAAGCTCAAGAAGTCCCTGTCAAGCTTTATAAGACGTTGTCATGTTGCATTAGAGCTAATCCACGAGAATATAGGGAAATTCATCGAAGACTCTGTGAATATGACTACACCATTCCTCCAAGAGTTTGGCTAGACGACAATACTGATGTGCCATAGGATTATTTATCCGATTATCAAAAGACAAAACCCATAATTCAGGCTGCTTTAGAGGAATTTAGAAGAGATAACTCAGATTAGCCGAAATTTTCACAGGACCCATTGTATGGATCACTTTTTCAAGATCCCTTTGATTATGGACCATCATTAAGTCTTGGAGACTCTTCATCAATGATGAATGTGGACAATTGGCCCCGGCCTGTCATGCCAAGAACACATTGATCTCTTGGTGATAATCCAATATTAGTTTTCATTAAATTTTACCGTTAAATTTTCGAGTTGGATAACACGTGGCAGTTGACAGGTGTACCGGTTTGGGGTTTTACCTCCATCTGTCACAGGTGTACCATTTTGTGATTTTTCGTGATATTAATCCAATTTAACGAATGATAAATTGGTCACAAATGTACCAGTTTGGGATTTTTGTTGGTCAATAAATTAGTTTAGGATAAATCTGTCACGGGTATACCAGTTTGGGGTTTTAGATGGTCAAAATATTAATTTGGGATAAATTTGTGATAGGTGTACTAGTTTGGAGTTTTTCTTGGTATTAACCCTTTCTATTACAATAAAAATAAAGTTGGAAATAAAGTTGGTATCTAACTATTGATTACTAAAACTCGTATGCTTATGAAGCAGCATGCTGTTTATGGAAATACTTGCAATATACATATGATACAAGTCAGAATATGATATAAGTTTCATAGACCAATCTCGGTATACATAACATTTTTCACCATAATACACCCACGATATTGGTCACCATGCGGGACGTTCTGTCCAAGCGACTTTATGGAGCCAAAAAAGAAAGAAGTGATCACAACAACAACTTATCGTTTGGTTCGAGGTCCACGAAAAAGGTTGTATCGTTCGATCCGGTTAGTCCGAATTCGATATTCATACATTATTAAGACCAAATTAGTGCGCACTATGCGCTTCGCACGCGAGTTTTACAAAGGTATCTTGACAAGTTCTTTTATAGATAGCATGGAGTTTTGCTTCGAATTAAGACTTCATTTGTCTCGCGGAAAATAGATGATTTGGAAAACATTTTCCTATAAATAATTATTTGTATCGGTTGAAATAAGTAGTCAACAAAATAATTTCATTTATCGACAATAACTTATGTTTCAATATTTTCATGAACGATTGAAATATTTTTCGTCTGCTCATTTTTGTATGCAATACAAGAGATCGTTTCTAGGAAAATATTTTCAAAATCATTCATCTTTTACGAAACAAACGGAGCCTAAAAGTAAATACATTTTTCCCGCTTGTGACCTTGGAAAAAATTGCTGAAGAGAAAAATTCCAAAATTTGGATGGAGACGAAAGGAAAATCTCTCTCTCGAAGGGTAAATATAGATAAACCTCGAGTGCACGTGTATTTTCACTTTTTCTCATTTTTGGCCTAACCCTCGAATAATTTTCGAATTTGTCGAGGTATGCAGCATATTAGAAAGGGAAAATGACACAAATAATCATGAATTTTAGCCCAATGTGCAATGTGGTCCATGAACTTTAATTTTGTTAATTGTGGTCCCTAAACTTTAGATCGATGTGTAGTGTCGTCCCTAAGTTTTTAATCTGTTCAATGTGGTCCATGAAATTTTAGTACATGTTTAATTTAGTCTCTAAACTGTATGGAAAATATTCAATGTTGTCTCCGAACTTGAATTGGAAGAAGGACGGCATTAAATATTTTCATACAGTCTAGAGATTAAATTGATAATAAAAGTTTAAGTATCATATTAAATAAATTAAAAATTTTAAAAATAATATTATATACTTAATTAAAGTATAAATATTATATTATATATTGCGTCAAAGTCTACCATAAACGGTAAGGAGGGTTGCTTAAAATTCTTTTGGCCCATTGATTTTGGTCCGTCAAATAAGATGGAGTTGACAGTGCTCATGAAAGAGGAGACATTAGAATAACCAAAAGCGGGTCAAATCACGTCAAATCCGACCTCGGATCCGGATCCGGATCCCAAAACCAACCAATGTGGGGGGTGGAATCGCCAGAAAAACGAGTGGCTCAGTGAGTTTAGGGGAAGAGGCAAAAGTAGACAAAGCGAAAGCAGCCAAAGTTTCCGACAAATACGCCCGAAAAGACCAGTAAAAAAACGGCATAAAAAGTCAAGAGACATGAGAGGGGAATCTCCCAGGATGTGTTTCGACGTAAAAAGAGGGGATATGAAATGGACAGCACTCGAGCTTGTCCCCCCACTCCACCCACTGGGGCTTGTTTTGATCCCTTGGCGTACGGAGATTGATGTAGTT